CTTTCCTCTGGATTCGACAACTTGTTGACCCTTTCGATGCGGACGTGAATACTGTCTCGCTTTAAGCTAGATATTCTACACCCAATTCACAAAGTGGAGCCTTTATATGTAGATGTTGGAGCCAATTACGTCAAAAGGACTTAAGGTTGAAGGTCAGAGATAGGCATGTTGTGACATTTGGCAGCGTTTACGGCGTGTAAACTTAATTAGCATTTGGAAATTACAGGACGAATGACACCGAAAAATAAACGGCGTGAGAACAAACTTGTAAAAAAATATGTTTTCATTGTTCTACAAATTAAATAAAACTAAGTGAATGTTTATTGCGAAATTGAGATTAGCAAGTTTGATATCCTGTTGTTCCAGAGAGATCGTTCCCGAACCCTGTAAAATAATGAAACCGGCCTGGTAACGTTCCATTGTTTCCGAAACTTATATTACATGTCTTTGTGCCAACAGGTTAAGAAAATTTGTCACGAACATGGTAGGAAAATCACGAAATTTTTACTCAATTGGTTTTTTATTGGTTATTTCTCACCCGTAGGCTGCAAAATAAAACGAACTTGTCAAGGTATAATGGTGCTTATCTGTTTGCAGGTGGTTTATTGCCAAGTAAACATTTCCGATTTCTCATCATGCCGTATAAACGGCCATCAGCAACCAATTAATCCTTCCACAACATATATCAAATAATCATATCTCCAGGTGTCTATTGAAAAAATATTTACTCGCTTGGTGATGAATGTCGTGGGATGAATTTTGCGCGGCTCCTACAAAATCTGAGCTCGGAAATATAGTTACAAGATTTTATCTTATTTTATCTTTTATGTTATAAAGAGAGATGGTGAGCTGTGTCAGTCGCACTCTTTCAAAATAAGATGACAATAATAAATAGTGCGAATAACTCTTGACCACTCTAGAGTCAAATGGTCTTAGGATTGAGGAAGCACTTAACATCAAACTCCATATCCGACTTTCAGCATGAGGTTTCATGCTGATCAATACACAACTCTCAGACGCGAAAAAAAAAAAAAAAAAAGAAAAAAATAACTACAGTTGAATACTAGAAAGTTCCAAGCTTGCATGAGCTGGAAATGACTGATAAGAAAACGCTTTGCCTCTTGGGCGTTTTGATTGCGTGTTTTATTTTTTCCGTTTGTTCTCTGGTATCAGCGACTTCAATCAACGCTGCGCGATTCTGAACTCTCTCCAAAAATTTGCTTTTTTGTGTCGTGTGAAATAACAAGAGCTCTTTAAACTCATTACAAAGAATCAAATCGATAACATCTGATTGTAGTTTAATTCCACCATGCTTTACAAAAATATCTTATATCTGCGTTTTGAAAGAGACCCTTATGATGTACAGCTAAAGTATGAGAATTTCTGGCGTCTTTTGACACAAGATAGAACTGAGAATAATTTTGCAACGAATGTCCTCAAGCGTAAATCTGCCTTTCGTGCGAAAACTGAAATAAAATATGTGAACATGAAGAGGAAAAAAGGCTATCCTAGATAAAAGCGAAAAGGTAGTCAACACTCTCATTTAACTGAATTTACGCAAACAATAACATCTGGAATCATTTGAATTTGAACCTAAGTAACATTTAGTTCGTTTCCTGTGGGAGCCCCCTCAAAACTAAAAAAAAAAAGGAGGTTGTTGCTGTTGCTTTTCAGAATTGAAAGTAGTGGTAAGGCGGTTTTAGTCATAACTTACCGCGTTTTATAAAAGCTTCTTTATTATCGTAAATAGTTTTGGTAGTGGTGCCCGTGATGCACTGCTGCACGGGCTCAAATCCCGTCGGTCTGAATTTTTTAACGCCTCTTTTCAGTAATTTCTTTGATTGCAGCTTACCTGGGAGGATAACTTCCTTACCTCTATTTACATTATTAGTCTTTGACAAAAATCACGCAAAAATTACTTACAATTAAAACTTGTTAATGAAGATAAAACTATGCTCCACCCAGCGAGTCAGTATTTTGGGCCATTCATGGAGTCCTATTTCCATACGACCCGGTTTGCCTCCCTCTTTTGTTTGACCCGGCCCAAGTCTCCCTCCTTTTATCGCTACGCCGCCATCACCGCGCCGCTTGCCATAATGCTTCGTTTCAGCAGCTCTGGGAGCGAGGGTATTATTGTAAAGAGCTCTCGAGTAACGGCAGCAGAGTACGGTATTTTGAGTAAGAGTTAGTTGGCCAATGCCTCTGCTAAGTTTTAAGTAATAGTTAGCCGGTCGAGACAAGCGGAAAAGCGCAAAAAATGGCCAGCGAGCGAATCTAAGTACGCACGCCATATTTTGTGCGCCCACTTTTTCGTTCTCCTCCTCAGAATGAGAGTCTGGAGGAGCGTGAAGCAGGCCGCACTTGAGTCATCGTTTCCCTATTCTTTAGGAATACTCTGCCCAACAGGATACCTTAAGGACAAGAAGAGATAACGTAATCCCAAGTAAAGAGATAGGAAAGGACAATGAAATGTTCCATTTGTCTCATCAACGGGATCGCACCTGAATCATTAACAAAAAACGCAAACGCAGAACGCAGCGTGGCAAGGGAATTTGGTGGTAGATGGGAGGAAAATGGTATTTTGTCTATTTTCGTCTGCAGCATTTCTTTTTGACTCCTCCGTGCTCGTCATAATGATTTTGGGCTCTGCTCACTTTCAGAGTGGCCGCTTCACCCCTCTAGCTCACGTCTGACCGATGATAGGACGATCTAAGGTTAAAAAGTTAGTGTGGAAAAATTTAAAAGTTATGGTTTCCAAAGGATGACCTCAAATCTAAACCAATGTTTAAAAAAACATTTTCCGTCCTTCAAGATGAAGCTTGGAGGGTTTCCTCCTGTCCCCTTCCCCTCCCCCCTCGAGAAAGAGAACGCTTGATGGCAGGTTGTAGGTGAGGGAACAGTTAGCCTACGTGTAGCCGTACTCGCCCCCCAAGTGAAAAGGAAGCGAGGGAACACGCGTTACTGGTCACCGTGACCATATGAAGTGACTATTATTCCCTCGCCTCTGTTTCACCTTGCGGGGGGAGGGTACGGCTACACGTAGACTAGGGAATAGTCACGTCATACGGTCACGGAGACCAGTAACCCGTGTAACGCAATCGGCCATTGGGCAAACTCACGCTTGTACGTACGATCACTCGCTGTGATCTCTCAGATTAAGTTCGTATCATCTCTCGTCGCTCCAAATACTCAGGCAGCCATGTTGAATTGGTTGAAAGGCGGAGAGAAACCCAAGGTGGACACAAGCGAATTCCACATTCCCGAAAGCTATCGAGGTTCCGAAGGCCCGCGCTACAAGGTTCTCGAATGCAAAGATGGTTACGAAGTTCGCTTGTATGAAGACTCCCACTGGGTCAAGACAAGGTTTGAAGACGGAAACCTAGAAAATTGCTCAAGTACCGGATTCTGGAGACTCTTCAACTACATCAGGGGAGAGAACGAAGGGGAAAAGAAAATGGCCATGACTGTGCCTGTTCATTCCCAAGTCGAACTCGACAACGAAGGAAAATGCAAGGCCTTCACTATGTCTTTTTACACCCCAGCCGAGTTCCAAGCCACACCTCCAGTACCTAAGGATAAAACGGTGTTCCATGAGAAAGTTGACGGCTGTGTTATGTACGCCTCGAGTTTTGGTGGTTTCGCGAAAGACAAGGATTGGCGTGAAAACGAGAAGAAACTCACAGAGGCCTTGGAGAGAGACGGCAAGGGTTATGTGAAGAATATGTATATTGCAGCCGGCCATGATCCACCTTTCCGGCTGTTTGGCCGTCATAATGAAGTATTACTTGTAGCTGATCCTCAGCCCTCTTTAGCAGAGAAAGAACCCACGAAAGATGGCGCATCTGGTGAATCAACTGAATAGATAATTACGTAACTTTACAGCTCGTTTCTCTTTGTTTACCGCTTTACGCTTCAGTAATCACTACCACTCTTTATTGAAGAAATTTGGATTTTTTTACAGACATCCTTGATTTTGAACTGCAAGGACGCTTGAACATAAACGTTTTGTGGATTATCACCAGAAAGCTTGAGTTCCAAAGACAAAGACGTAAATATCCTTAAATTTTTCATGGTCATCTATCTTGATTTGATTTTTGTTGTTGAATATTCGAGATTATTTCAGAAGTCTTCCCGAATGAACCTGTTGGATTATAATGAGGAAACTGTTTAAAAGCTAAGTTTGAGAAGCATAAATAACGCAGGGAGACTCCTATATTTTATTTGTAACAGTCGTAACAAACAATCATGTTAGAAGTTAAACGAAAAAAAAACAGCTTTTGAATCGGAGCGAAATTCGCTTATTTAATTGAAAACTAGTCGAGTAAAGGTAAGTATGCAAATGTAAAACCAATTTTACAAGAATTAGACTCATATGGAATTAAAAATGTCTATTCGATGCTATTAAGCTGCTTATGAATTTCCTTTTTCGAGATCGACCTCAATTTTTTTGAAACCAAACTCTAGTCAAAACAAAACATGTGAAGAAAGCAAGTACAAACAGACTTTTAATTCGTATGAGTTTTACCCGATGGGAAAATTGGGAAAAAAACGTTACTCGATGTGACAAAAATTTTCGAAACAGTTATTTTGCTTTATCGAATAATATATATTCAAGACGCCGTGAGACCTTCTTTCATTTTTTTTAACCTATGACTTACATTGGATAAAAATCTTGCGAAGAAAACAATCAATGTGTAATTTAGCGACAAAATGAAGAAAAAAACAATTTGATGGCGAAAGTGTATTGGCGCGTTATTCCTCGTACTCGCATTACGCACTTTCTGTTGTAATCAGACAAACCGCGGGAAACCATAAGAACCACTGCCTCCCAAAACGATGGATGACGAAAATTGGTTAATTCTGAAATAATTAACCTAAACCGCGATCAAACCTTGAAGATAAGGAACGACAAGAAAAGATTTTTATCAAAGTTTCCTTTTATTCCGTGTGAATTCGTTAAGTATTGACGATATGACGATATAAAGATATGAAAATATATATCTTGGATTTGTGTTGAAAAAATTCAACACAATTCAAGTGCATGTTCTTGTCTTAAGTAACCGGTCGTTTTTCTAGATTTAATTTGTATGTAGCTGCGATCCAAAAAAGTATGTGGTACTGTCATTATTGATATCAACATCGAGGAAAACCCGTAAAATCCTTTGTTCTTTCGTTCAAAGAAATAACCTGTGCGAAAGGCGAATGTGGAAAGAAGTGGAAAAATCGTTATTAAATATTCAAAAGAAAATCAAAACTGTCCAATCAAAAATTTATTCTTTCAGTGACAAGGGTAGAGTTTCCCTTCCCGCAAAACAACTTCAAAGATACGACTTTATCAATTCATGGACAAATTTGGCCCTCCTTTTTGAAATTCAGTCAAAACACGAACAGAAAAGGGTCAAGACTGCGTAGATGTGGTTTACGTCAAAACAATCAAGAGGCATTTTGTATAAATGATATTTCATGGGGCAAAGATAATTTTCACCCAAAATCCAATTAAGTTTAATTATATTCTCCGGGATTAAATATTTGATGCTAATTCATCCAGTCAATTGCAAGAAACGTTCGAATTGATGTTTTATAAAACCATACTAGGAAAGACCCCGATGTGAAAAGAGTTTGCCCTCGATTTAATCTCGAAAACTGAAGTACGTTGATAAAGACAGTGTTAAATTTTATATTGAAATCGAAAACTGAAGAAAAACCTTCGTTGGTATCAATTTGGATAAAAGTACTTTTCTCCCCTAAAGAACCACGAAGAACTGTAAGCGTCTTCAGGTTCCTATTTATCTTGTTTTCCATCGCTCTCAAAAAATGAAATAATATAAAGTTTTCTCACCGCGCCTGGCTTGTGGTTTTCGAGGGGGTCATTGTTAAATAGGGAGACACAATAATTCTCGTGATATCAGTGATTGGTTGGTGAAGTCTGAAACTCTGCGGAAGTACAGGAGGATTTGTCGAGGGCGTGAACTGAAACATAGAGCCTCCTAATTACACCAAACATTTCACACTTCTATTTTAAAGAATAGCTTGAGGAGGCAACGGAAATCTAATCTCAACAGAAGTTTTGCGTTCTCGTTTATAATGATGTATCATCAAACTTTGTCACTTCTTTCCGTTAAATAACTTATTGGGGTTAACATTTAAGGATACAAAGCTTCGGGTGCCACCAAAAAAATAGCTCAACTTGCAAGTGTCCTTGGTTCCTTTTTGCGAAGGTAAGATTTAATCGCGCCATTACAGTGAAAAACAAAGCAAAATAAAATTTTTAAAGTAGGTAGTCTAAGACTGCACATGTCTACTGATATAGCACGATTTTTATAGCATTTAAAGGAACTAGAGGTTGTATAATGACGCTAGAAGGGGTGTTGCAAAAGATTTATCTTCACAGAGTACCAGTGACGTTATATTAACTATAACTATTACTATTGTCATCATCCTTATTATTATTTTTAGAAATGATAAATTGTTACCATTCAATTGTTGTTTGAAGGTCAATAAGTCACTGTTACTCATAAATATGTGGGATGCGGCCGGCTTTTTGTTTTGCATGAAAAAACAAGTATTCCTAGCGTCGTTATACAATCTCTAGTTCTTTTCAACACTATGGAAATTGTGTAATATCAGTAATATCAGTACACACGTTCAGTATACCATTTTTTTATTTTGAACACTAGTGGCTGATTTTATATTTTGGATTTCAAATTCTGGATTTTGGACACTAGTGGCCGATTTTGGATTTTGGACAGTAATGGCCGATTTTATATTTTAGACACTAGTGACCTATGATGGATTCTGGACGCTAGTGGCCGATTTTGGATTTTGGACACTAGTGGCCGATTTTGGACCTTCTTGGCTGATTTTGGATTTTGGACAGTAATGGCCGATTTTATATTTTGGACACGAGTGACCTATGATGGATTCTGGACGCTAATGGCCGATTTTGGATTTTGGACACTAGTGACCGATTTAACATTCTGGACACTGGTGTCCGATTTTGCCATTAGTGGCCGATTTGGGATTTTGGACGGTGGTGGCCGATTTTGGATTTTGGACACTTGTCGGCAATTTTGGATTTTGGACGCCAGTGACCGATTTTGGATTTTAGACGCTGGTGGCCGATTTTGGATTTTGGACACTAGTGACCGATTTAACATTCTGGACACTGGTGTCCGATTTTGGATTTTGGCCAGGAGTGGCCGATTTGGGATTTTGGACACAAGTAGCCAATTTTAGATTTTGGATGGTAGTGGCCGCCATCCTGAAATGATTGTGCAATATTTATCATCCGCTGTATTTCGGACGCTAGTGGCCGATTTTGAATTTTGGACGCTAATGACCGATTTTGGATTTTGGCCACTGATGGCCGCTTTTGGATTTTGGACGCTGGTGGCCAATTTTGAACTTTGAAATCTAGTGACCGATTTTGGATTTTGGACTCTAGTAGCCGTTTTGGGATTTTGGACACTAGTGGCCGATTTGGGATTTTGGACACTAGTGGCCAATTTGGGATTTTGGACGCTAGTGGCCGGTTTTTGATTTTGGACACTGGTAGCCAATTTTTAAATTTGGACACTAGTGGCCGATTTTGAATTTTGGACGCTAGTGGCCGGTTTTTGATTTTGGACACTGGTAGCCAATTTTGAAATTTGGACACTAGTGGCCGATTTTGAATTTTTGGACGCTAGTGGCCGATTTTGGATTTTGGACACAAGTAGCCGATTTTGGATTTTGGACGGTAGTGGCCGATTTTGGATTTTGGAAGGTAGTGGCCGATTTTGGACGCTAGTGGCCGATTTTTTATTTTGGCCAAACGCTAGCGAAACATTCTCTCCTGACCTCAGTGTCCGATTTTGGATTATGGACACTAAAATCGTCCGATTTTGGACATGAAGTTTCATGGTGCGCCGATCACACCTGTTAAGATAATTCCCCAAGGAAAAGTTTTCTTTTTATCAAGCGCCATCCTGAAATGATTGTGCAATATTTATCATCCGCTGTATTGCCACAGGAAGAACTGAAAAAGGAAATATTTTGGGTTATTTATGCACAATTTGTTTAAAAGGCATTCGTCTTTTTTTTGTCTGTGCTGCGCCTAATAATCACTATTGCGAAAGTCGAACTACGAAGATACTCTGGAAAAAAACAATAGCTGACATCTAGTCGAAATCGGGTGAAATTCGGCATTCTATTGTTACCATCACACACTCATTTCGATAACATATGTGGCATCACCTCCTGTAGGAGGCAGTGGCCACAAATAAAACGCAAAACAGTGGTGATCATTTCCTTGGTAAAGTTTCCGCACAGCCCCATACTGTTGTCAAAACAAATCTGTTTTTCCAATGGAAATGTATTGTTTTTTTCATTGTTTTCTCTAGTCAAGAACTGAATGCATAATGTAGTATGGGGCTGTACAGAAATTTTACCATCTCCTTTAGTATCGTGACTTTGATGTGCGATTCTTTCCTTACCATGTACAAGTGGACAGAGATTAAACTGCGTAAACAATCGTCGATGGAGGAATGATTAATGCTGATTATTGAAGATTACTGCCAATTCATTCACGAAAATAGATCAACAAGACGATTCGAGGAGGCGTTACTGTTCACCGCGGACAGAGGAAAATAATCATGCCAGCCCATGGGACCAATCAGATTAAAAAATTCGTTACCGTGCCCTCTTAAAAAAATTGCTTATGCAATTACTGGCTAAGACACCGGCGAAATGCGAGAGGGACGAGAACTCTGCAATTTCAGTAAGCAAGCGTAGAAAGAAGACACAACGAACAACATAAAGAATTAAAATGTTGCATCTCTTTACTACCTAGAAATATTATTTTACTTCAAATTATCAGATTATTAGAGAAACGTTCGTCATTTGAGGAAAATACTCTGCACTCAAAAACCCACAATTCCCTGCCTGACATGGTTGTCGTTGGATGTTCTAATTTTACACTGACTCGCAATTGTGTAATTGAAAATTTCATTTTTCTTTGTCCGCTTACTCATTCGAAACATGGAGTTCTAGTTTGTCGAACAAAGACACTTAACGTAAAAATTTGTCCATAACTTAACACCACCATTTTCACAGAGCACTCTGAGATATCAACCGAGATATTCTTCGTAAACGGAAAGTGGATCTAAGTCATGATGTTTGTGGAATGAGACGGGCGTCTGGTGTGCCAGAAGTGAAGGCACATACTCATTTGGCTTGGCCTGAAACAAGAGAGGAACGACAAAGAATGAGGCTGAGGGAGTTTCTAGAGCAGTGAACATTGTTTCACTTCTCAAAACTAAAGAAAGTCTGCCAGGATTTGCACTTAGGCTAACATTCTGTCAGTTCAGGAGCCGGACAGCCCTATTCTTCCCGATCTCATCCCAATATCATTGGAATACAACGGTTAGAAGTGTTGCTACTCCCACCCCCCCTCCCCTCCCCCCTTGAGTTAACGCCAGACCATCTTAGGTCATCCTCAGCCAGCATTTCACCGTTTTCTTTTTTCCAGAAATTTTACCCTTACTCATTTATACCTCTAAATGGAGAGAGGCAATGCGAGAATCATGTAACCTATTGGTGCACGAGTTTTACCTATGTCCTCATCAGCTATTGAAAATACCTCATTGTATGTTCATGCTGAACTGACGTGACAGAGTAAGCCTATGTTTTTAGATGTACTGTGCGTCAATCTATTCTGACATTCTCTCAAACGAGTGCTTACTATCAAAAAGCAAAATAATAACAAAGAATTACCTATGACATGACTTACTTGATGAAAAGCTGAGGAGTGCGTCAGAGGAACTCCCAATCTGCGGAAACAATTTCCCAGCCACATGTCGTCGGGAGAGTCTGGTTCCCAACAGCTGCATCCACTGCTTAACAAAGCTTCGATACCACTCCGGCTTAGAATCATACTGGACATACACACCACAAAAAACATACATTTAGTATTAATCACTAAACTAAAAGAATGGTAAATGTTCCCGGTCTATCTGTTTTCTCTCGTTAATCTACTTATGGCGCGGTAATTAAAATTCTTAGTGTTTGATGAGATCATGAAGGTCACTCAAAGGACTGTTGGCAGAGTTGAAGATGTATGGTTTAGAGACTGCCGGGGACCGGGGACTAGTTTAAGGTCAGACTAGAAAAGTAATGCAATTCGTACCTTCCTCCACCCGTGATATACTCGTACCCAAACCCTCCCGTTAGTCCATAGCCGTACCGTTCACCCAGTAGGGTTGGTTCCTTTGGATCGTAGCACGCCAACAACTTTTGCAGCCGAGGTACGCTGCGGGAAGTGGTTAAAAAAACAACAACAACAAGAAGTAAAAAACAAAAGATCAAAGAATATTAGGAAAATATATAGATGTTATTTTCATTTCATTACATTGTGCCATGAAGACAAGGACTACTTTTCTCTCGCCAAGCTGCCCTGATATCTTGTAACGAAACCTTATGGATACTTTCTGCGCATAATCTTTTCCTGGAACGCAAAATAAGGTTTTTCCTCACTATTTATCAGTCGACGTAAGATGCAATCTCGAATTGCGTTCTTAACGCGTCCGTATAGATCCCCCCTCCCGAGGCGATGGGAAAGGAGTTTTCCTTCCGATTTTGCGATAAAGGTTTCTATTTCTGGGTGGAGGAGCCAACAGCTTGTTTAGTTACCGAGGTTACCTCATTATCGTATCATCATCGAGAATCACAAGCCAGGGTTTGTCAGCAGCCCTGGGGTCTGCGACTGATCTCTTGATGATGGCCTCCAACTTAGCACAGTGTCCTGAAATAGAAACAGTACCACACTACGTAACTAAACTTTACCATTGTCTTAACCTTTCTCCTCTTATAAGCTTGGGTCTCAAACTCGGGCTCAAACCTACAGAGCTCTACCGGTTTCCAATGGAAGAAGCGACAAGAGATGTTTAAATTTAACATCATAGCCACACCGATCAACTACTCATCAAGGCATTTGAAAGTGTTCCTCCGGATAGGACCTACAAATCGAGAAATATTGCTCATCTTCACCGAAGAAACAGCCCTGAGCCCTTACATGGGTACACAACTTATTAATTTTAGCTTCCTGGCGAAATCTGTCCCACCCCACCCCCACCAACAAATGAAACAAACAACCGGCGTTCTGCTGGAGGCGCGACCTAATTTCCACTCTGTAAGCAGCAAACCTGCGGTGTGATGTGGATTCCCAGTAGGAAATTTGAACGTCTGTCTACGGCTATTATTGCTTTCCACGTTGGGTGGCCTCGTCTTAAAAATACATGGTCAAAACAGAAGAACTGGAGTTTATGTTTTGTTTTTCTTTACACCAACAGTTGTCCTACGATTATAATGCAGTGTTCTGTTAACATACCCTAATCAAAATTAGCAACAACCACATTCCGTCATTTACAAGTGTTTGATTCATTTTGAGCAGCTTTAGGAGCTCCATTTGTCGAGCATCTTTAGCTCATTACAAACCTTTCTTTTTCCTAGCGATAATTACACTGACATTGTAGTGAAGTAAGTTATCTCAGATAGAAAATTCTATCATAAGGCAATTTCTTATGACATTTCCATTGAGAAAGAGAAGGTCTTAAGATTGAACGAAGTTAAAAATGATGAGTAAAGTATTTTACTTCTATTTCACAAGATTTACCAGCAGAGGCACGCATAGGATTCGATTTATTTTGGGAGCAAAAACAAGTCTGGTATCGTCTGGGTCACTGTAACAGGAAGATCATTCAATGTTAAGTATCTTAAATCTTCTGTTTATTAATATCTATTGTTTGTTTATGTGCAAGTGATGACATCTGATAAAGAAGTAGACACGACAGTAAATCTTCTAACCAGGTTTAAAGTAGCACTTTATCCTCTAAGAACAAATGCTAGAGCTTTGTAGACAGTTTAGCCGATAGACAGATTAACGACTGCCTTTCGTCTTAAAACCGATCAGTCGTAAACTGCGTATCTACAATGACATAAAGACTGGCTACAATTAAAAATTATCACTATAACTTCATAGATGCTTACAGAGGAGAGCGAGGGCAAATTCCAAGCGGGAAGAGTTAGGGATGCGACGTACACTCAACAGCGAGGGCAGAAAGTTTGTTCTACCGCAAATATGTCGCAATGGTTCTGAAATGGCTGTCGCGCGAAGGGATTCCGTTCGCCCCAGAGACGAAAAAGGTAGAGGAAAAATTCTGAGGCAAGGAAGCTTTTATCAAGAGTTACTTAACAAAGATGAAACGATGTCCAAAGTCAACGGGGCTGTCGACATACCGAGATTAACTTTCCCCGATATTACTGCGAGAACTGAATTCGTGAACAGCGATGGAAAAAGACCAGGTAGAAGAATGCATTGTTGTGATTTTCCACTTCAAGGTCGGCCAGTGATTCCCCGAAAGAATACGGTAGGAAGAGCAACGTCTTTGTCTCAGGGTGCTGACTTTTCTCAACAGAGACGACTTCCTTTAGTCATCTACGATGAAAATTATTTGGGAGGCAGAAAAAACCGAGTTAAACCCGGCTTAGAAGGCAAGAGGACATTCTTACCGATCTTGAGCTCTACTCTTGAGGTTAAGCGAATGAATATACGAGAGAAAGACGGTTTGAACAATCTACGAAGACAAGTTTATAAACCAGCAACTAGAAAGGGTCACCACAAGAGACAAGAGACGGGGCAACCTCTGGAGGGGTTCTTTTAAAGAGATGGACAGGATTTTCAACCAAAATTCCACCTCACCGATGAATGAAACTGAACCGAAAACCGTATGAGACCTGTTCCCCTCTTTTACTTATTTGTTTTGACTAAACTTGCTGCCACAGAAGGAGAGAAAACGCAGGGAACATAGAAGATTCTAGAGAGATTCTAAGGCACGATTCGAATGTACCATAATTCAGTACAAATACCAATGTAAATACATTACCAACCCCCAAAAAAGCGGGAACCAAGATAATAGACTACCAGACACTTTCTCTCTTAAGCTGCTCAGCGATGTGAGCAACCCATAAGCAAAATAAAACAAAGCTTGGTCCAGTTTCCTTTCAGAGCGTCACATTTCGTTTCATTGGCCAGAGCAACCTAAAATATAGCCTCCTTTATTAGCAAAGGAGACTGGCTCAGATAAATAACTTCTGCCCCGGCTATAATGAAATATATTCCAGCCATTTCCTTTCACAACCTCGCTACTCGGACCCACCTGTTGTTTGGAATAAATTGACATGTAATGGCGGCGGTCGTATTAACGGATTGCACCATGACTAGAATGTTGATTTAGCTATGGTTGTCTTGTTTATTCATCGGAATTTAAGCTCATTGATTGACTTAAGAGCTTAAACATTCTCCAGCAGCTTTTTTTACCGCCAGTTTACCAAACTTGATGGATCAAAGCTCCACATATTTACGAAGACGGAATTTCGTCGGAGGATAACTTGAGTAAACTTAGCAGGGGGGGGGGAAGAGACTCGGCCAGAAAACGTGTTAAAAAAAACAAAAACCGTCTTAGCAAATTGGCAAAATCTCCACAACTGAAAACTGTCTTGTCAGTATAAGCGTTTTAAAGAATACGATTCAAGGTGGTTTCCAAAACTTCCATTCGACAAGGAATTGGAGCAAATATCTACTTGTTGGGTAGTTCTGGAACGTTCCACCGGAAATCGATGTTCAAAAGTTCCCCCTCTTGTAAAGTTTCTCGACAAATATTTATTCAATAACTGACTTTACCTCTCTCGGTATTAGGTACTCCAATGTTCTCTGTTGGTATGGAGAGATCCTCTGTCTCGCTGTAGTACACAATGTGTTTGGCGTGCTTTCCAACCGTCTTCTGCACAATAGGCACTGAAAAGAAATAAATATTTTTTATTTGTAGTGCTATAAATTATGACCTCAAGATGGTAGCATTAAGGTTAATTTAAAATTACCAAAAGCCATCGAAGACCAAGACGAAAAACAGTCTAAATCAATGTAGAAGTGATTATATCTTTTAAAAAGCTAAATCGCCAAATTTAGCTGATAGTAACAACAACATAGTTGCAATTAGGTCTCCAGCAAAAATTAAGGTTACGTACACGTGCCTTTGGATACCTGGCATGACCAGGCATTTCCTTTTTACACAATGAATTCAACTTAAATTACAAGAAAATATGAAGTCAGGTATACCTCTGTCTTTGTGGTATTTCTTTGTAGTCTTGACAGCGAAAAATATATTGTCCGAAGATAGCGGCTCACCCTGAGGAAATCCCATAGAGTTCTTAGAGACGATCCTTTACACACAATACTTGGAACCAAATAGGTTTAAACCTTGCTTTCTTTCGGTCTGCAGTTGTTCCCAATTTTTTTCAAATTTTCTGTTCCCGCATTTAACAATATTTTCAGTCTGCTAGCTATTACTCGAGTTCGCTGCTTGTGGCCAAGGTTATGGGACCCCACATTATCTCCTCAAAAAGGTCTACATTTCACGAAAAAATATGAAAAAATGAAAATGCCATTTAGCCTATTTATAAGTTTATAATTAAGTACAGACCCCCCTCACTCTTAAACTAAAACTTATACTATGAACGTACACAGTTAGGGCCCCCAGTTTTCAAAGACGTCACACATTCCTGATTGTCCCTAGGTTCGCTAGTGCAGAACTCGGGTACATCTGTGAGCAGCGTGCCTCGACCCTCGTCACGAATGAACATTGCCACCTAGGAAAATGTAACAATCCAGTCTAATGAGATATTACTTTGGAATTCGATCTCAGGGGAATGGGTGGGAATATAAACATTTCAACATGGCGAGTGTTATATTTTAACAAAAACACGGGGTTTTCTTAAATCTATCGCAAAACATGGCTGGTAAAAAATCATTTATTTTCATTTTAGTTCGTCCCTTCGTCGGCGTAAGGTATAATCTGGTAAGAATTTTCTTTCTTTTACTTCTCTGAGTTTTGAATAGAACAATTACAACTTGTTAAAACTTCGTGGAAGAATGTTGCTAATTAATGATGATACCAGTGTAAATTCTCCGTGCAGTTCCCAACTTCCCTGCTCAACAGCCAATGAAATACTGCAGATTTCGATCCGTTTGTAAATTAAGCATCACAAATTTTTCTATAAAACCGAAACCAACCAAAGTTGTTATCAATCAATTGTACTACTGTACTACAGAGAGAAACACTGAAGATGCCACCAAAAACCGCAGGAAAGAAGCAAGAGACAAAGATGACAGGAAAAGTCAAGAGTGGAGACAGCAAAGGAAAGAGAAGTAGACGAAGAAAGGAAAGTTACGCTATCTACATCTACAAAGTTCTGAAACAAGTTCATCCAGACACCGGAATATCCAGCAAAGCCATGAGTATTTTGAACTCGTTCGTCAACGACATCTTCGAGCGAATTGCAACCGAGTCTTCTCGACTCGCCAACTACAACAAAAAGTCTACAATCAGCTCTCGCGAAATTCAGACCGCCATTCGACTGCTTCTGCCCGGTGAACTGGCGAAACACGCGGTCAGTGAAGGAACAAAAGCCGTTACAAAGTACACCAGCACAAAGTAAAGCGATTTGAAAGATACTGGATTATACACGTGAAGACTAAGGGACGAAACGCATGAAACGGACGCTGAATTTAGACTTTGTGACTTGAGCACAGACGAGCGACTTCTACATAACTGGACGAGACGAAAGCAATTTAAAACTTAGGACTACAACATCTCGACGAAATACTCAAGACGTGAACGAGACGGACGCTGTTAGCAGAACTTGTGACTGGAGACATCTCGACAAAGACTTTGATTAAAAGACATACGCGGAAGGTGTTCAAGAACTTGTAAAATTGTGACTTGACAAAATTGTACAGTGACTTTTCAGGAACAATGGCTTCTCCTGGAGTAGTAAAATAACTAATTTTCTCGCTGAATTCACACGTAATTGTATACTATTTGAATCCCTTACCTCGTGTTGTACGTCAATAGTAAAGTCAGACCTTGGTGGATCAGCTTGAAGTCTTTTTCCAATTCTATTTTTTTAAACAAATTGAGAGCAATCAAAGGTTACAACGTTTATGTACTTTTTTATTTCAGTTTTTTGCGTTTGTTTTAGAAAGGAGTGTTAACTTTTGTAAATAGAATTGTAGATAAGGAAATAAACTGATTTAAGTTCTATAACGAGTGAAAGAATTGTGATTGGGACGGTGGCTGTCATGTGCTTTCAAACTACTCAATGTATATTCAGTCTGAATTTGGCATTCAACTCTGTTTTAAAAGTTCTGGGGATAAATTTTAAACCCTTTGATTCCCGGGTCTCGTTAGTTTTTCTCAATTTCTATCATTAAATCATGATATAAGTTTGCAGAATTTGGTATTAAATTAACAAATCCTTAATTCGTGTTTTTCTTTATTCTCTTCACTTGTCTATAAGACATTTTATTGACAATGTAGGGAGAGATTTTATCTCGGTCACTTATTACAGTTAAAGGGTTAAACAAAGAAGCGTCTCTAGCAAAATGGGAAAAAATGGCCAAGCACAGAAAAACGAGATTGGGAAAGAAAAAAAAATATTCGCTCTATGGTAATCCTCGGATGAAGGCCACAATTTCATTTCGCTGTTCTCCCATCTTTTTTTCCCAAGGTGAACTGTCTTTGAATATTTTCAGAAGTCGGACTAGATACGATTGCAAATTAATAGCTATCTCTGTTTTCGTATTTTTGCGTGAAAGCATTCATCATCGCTGACTTCCCAAATTCTGTTTTTAGGAATAACAGTTCTTTGCATAGTTTTATAGGTAATTTAACAACTCTGTTTGACGATCAGTAGTAGAAGTGTTATGGATATCAGAAGTGGATGAAGTCATTCGTTTTATTAATATTTTTCTTTTTATTCAAAAAAAGTTAAAACTATTTTTCAAATAAACCATTTCCCTTAAAAAAACTTAAATATCCATCGGCCATTCTTCTCTACACATTAGACACGTTTTCACACTTGATAACTGAAGACAAGCTTCAGCATGGTAATATCTATTGTGTTGGTAGACCCGTTTATTCTCACAGCGCCACTAAATCTTCACTAAGATGACAAAGTAAAGATTAGCCAGCTACAACTAAGAGGCTAGAAAAACTGTCTTTTAGATAGGCTACCTAAATAAAGAAATGAGATTGCTAGCTCAGAGTAAAAATAAATAAACGTTTAATAGGTAGATAAATATATAAAAAAATTAATACACATATAAATAAAGGAAGGAAACTTTCTTCTTTGACTAGGAACTCAGACTAGAGGGTGTTCTAACTTGCCTGTTCAGTAGTGGTACAGACAAAGCCCATCCAGCTGAAAAGTCAGGAAAAGAGAACTGTGATGGGTCCTGATGGAATGCAAAGTGATGAATAATCGCTGGTTGTTCATCTTGAATGGCATGTCCAAGAAACATCTCCTGATGAAAAATCACAAAAGAACAGATATGATAAATTCCCCTTGAAAGCTTCAAGGGCTTCAAGAGGGTCAGGGGGTCCTTTTCCACCCCTCCCCCACCCACTTTTTCCTCTGTCATATTATATGGGTAATAACATTATTTTGGGTGCAATTTGGCATTAATAAACATTAGCAAATTTTTTGAAGACAACAAAAATCCAGGCCATTGCAATTTTTAGTCTTTGAAAAAATTTACAAGTGCTTATTTTCATGAAATTGCTTGAGAAATCATGTTAGAACTTACAAATAATTTACATGAAAGAGCATCATAGAAAGTCAAGACAGACAAAATTTTGACAGCGTTCGTGCCATTTGTAATCTGCTCTTGTGTTACAACTTTGCACTTGTGCTACAATTTTGCACTTGTGTTACATAAAAAAAATGCACTTGTTTTCAGCAAATCAGAAGTACATTATTTTTACATGTATATTATTACAACATGAAAAAGGAAGCAAAAGAGAGAGAAGCTGGTATTAGTGCAGCAACTGTCATGACTTCCATACATTTATGGTATTCTAGAACCCTTAACCTCCTAAGATCTGATTCAATTCTTTATTCTAGGTGCTACACACTTACTTGTAAGTTAGTGAAGAGAATTTATTGTAATATTGCAATAACACTTCCACTTGACAAGCATGTCTATTCTCATTACCTGTTTGCGGGGTAATGTCTTGAAATTGTGATGAGAAATATATATTAATTCTACACTTGTGGGAGCTCAAAAGTTATACAGTTAGTTCCAATTTTCTACAGTTATGGCTTATCTCATTGTCATCACAGCTACAATTCAGACAAGTTACTTTTTTTATCACACCTGTCCTGCATCATATTTGTTTAAGACTTGAACAAGTCCTGATAAATTGATGGTGGTTTCATCCTCACAAAAAAATATCCATCTCTTGTTATCACCATAATCTCCAACCAAGCTAGAACAAAATGAAAAATGCATTTTTTTACCATTCATGTAAAAAGCCAATTCTCAATTGTACACTGTATAATTAAAACTTTTCTTAGGTCAAGTCATGTTTAATAATATATTCCTTTAATGATTTTGGACTTTCAAAAAAAAATTTCCTGGTACTAAAACTACTCAGTCTTACCTATTTATTGCTGGAAGAATAGTCCAGGCCCCATGGGGTGCCCAATCCTCGTGCATCATTTTAAGTTCTAAGTGATCCTGGAAAATGATTGATTTGAATTCACATTTAAATATAAAAATCAATTAGTTACAAGACTCCTTACCTAAAAAGATTTCTATTAGCTTTAGATAAGTCAAGATTTCAGCAGTTACCTTTTCTCCTAGAGCTTCTGCTTGCTCATTCAGGGTTTGTCTGAAAGCTTTTGCTTTTTTGACATGAAAAGCATTATGTTGACTTCTGATGACAATAACTATATCCTTTAATCCTGTGGAAAAAAAGTTTTAAAACCTCAATGTATGGCACACACCACAAGTCACACTCATGATCACAACTTGAAAACAAAGTAACCTCAATCCTCTAGAGATCATTAATAATTTTTTTTTTTTAATATTTGCCACACAGCATCCAAAAATACTGCGTCATTTAGTATCTATTCTGAAAAATACATAATCATCAAAAAGTAACAGTGGAATAAACTAAAATCTTAATTCTTCCCTCTGGCTGCTACATGTTTCCTTGTAAATTAATAACAAGAATTTGGAGTTAGATCAAGATAACTTCTACCTGAAAAGTTTGAGTATTCTCATTACCTGTTTGGTGGATAATGTATGGATATTATATGGAGAAGTTACATCATAATCACTACTGGCAGTTTAAGGGTTAACACTATGAATAATTATTATCATTATTTCAATTGGATAATTAGATAATGTACCTATAGGAGAGATATCTGTTTCATTTTCAAGTTTGGAATCCTGAAAACAAATCAAAAGATAAAATAGCTACTAAAAATGCACAAAGGTGATTTCCATCTTTGAGTTAAAACTGAGTAAACAGCAATAATAACAATCATAACTTTTCCTTGATAGCTCGTATTTTTGTAAACCACTATCCCCCCACCCCCCTTCAAAGATCTTAGGACATAGACCTCCCTATGCAATAAGAAACAATTATCTTAAATCTATATTTCACACGGTGCTTAGATAGCTGACAGATCACGAAATTTTCGTCTTTCGGTAAGATAGTTCATATATTAAGTTCTGTAAGATCGTTCATAAATTATAATCTAAATTTGCGGGTGCTTCTTTTATCAGTTATTTTTCTGCCACGTTTATATTACTATTTACATTCCATGAATGGTGTTAGTGATGTTTTATCTGTAATTTAGACAACAATAGATGTCGAGAACAATGCTAACCACTGTGCCGTGTGTTTTCACTTAGAAATACATATATTGTAAAATATAACGCAATCTCTATGACGATGATGCATTCAAAAATACAAATGTGTATCGAGAAAGAAATCAAATGAAGTAAGAAATTTAATCACTCGGTGTACCGTGACAGCGCCAAATTCGAATCCTGTCTGAGGATCATCGGGTCCAAAACCTCCAAAATCACTGGCGGCAATAATCGGTACTGTAATGAAACAGAAACCATGCATTGAAAATAACTGACGTTTCCTTCAGGAAACAACGCTATAAATACTTACCAAGAAGAAGAAATGAAGATACAACCCTCTGGAGAATAATCATTTCAGCCTTTTAAATATCGACCGCACATGAATGAATATATCTGAGAGGAGACTGAGAAGCACTGTTATTGTTCCGCGGGCTCAAAGAACAGTCATAGGAAGAAGTACACTACTTCAAATATCGTAATCATAATGTACCAACATGGCGGAGGTACTGGAAGATGAAGATATGCAAGTCTTGGTAGGAAATCAGAAAGTGTATCAAAATGAAAGCAGGAGAGCATTTAAAACGGTTTTTGATAAATTCATTTGTCTTTTCTTGATAAAGAGGTTGGAGTTTGAGTGGTTGCTGCGTGAACATGTACCGAAGGTGCTGATCCAACTTGGAAACATTTTACAGGTAAATTTAAATTCTAACACACCCCCTGCTAGTCCTTGTAGTCATTTTGTTTAAGAGAGAGATGCTCTAAAGAACTTTTTGGGGTGGATTCAATCAAAATATAAAGTGAAAGGTATATTCATCAGCTATAAATGATGATAAATGTTGTCTTGTACGTGTGTGTCTGTGTGTGCTAATAACACATGGAACAGCTACCGTCGGAATATAGAGCCACTGACATTCACATTGTCATCAAGCTTTAAACGAAGAAAGAGGAATTGTAGAACAGATAATATGATGAACTGAATCGTACATGCACCTTTGACTTTAAATAGCTCTGTCAGAACTCGTAAGCCAAGATGATGTCATAATAAAGAAGCATATGGTAAGGTTATCTTCATGGCATGGCTGAGCTCAAGTCTTAGAGGCCAAGTAGCACAGTGCGACTGAGAGTATCTCTTCTCCTCCTGAGATGTGGGGCTTTCATAGGTTGCCTCCCCCCTCTGCTCCACCCCCAGCATCTTTAAGGGCTCCCTCACAGTTTGGAGAGGCACTGAGGAAGTTAGGTATCTTGCCTCAGAACATAGCACAATGATGTAGCAGGGTCTTGAACCTAAACATCTCAGGGGGCTGTCCTGGTGTACCGGTACAAGGGGGAATTCCTATTGTTTTCATATCCATACATGGAGTTGTGACGCAGTTCGTTAATGTTTCGTTCCTTTGTGTACCAGTACATGAGGACACAACCCATCTCAGTTGGGAATCCAACGTGCATATCATTAGGCTGGTGTATCTTGTACATGGTATGGCTTAGCATAGCTTTAGTGATAATAGAAGGAGAGAACCTGGCTGTGGCTGGTTATGTCTTTGACTCCTTCATCACACTGGGAAATTACAATCTTGTCAAACCTATAGTTTTATCTATTACATCTTAATTATTTGTTTCTTCATTTTCTAGAATTGTTAGTTTACTTACTGAACAGAGGGTGGGTTTGTTGAGGGGCTTAACCCTTTAACTCCCAAGATCTGACTTTTAATTCTCCCCTCTACCTGCTACGTTTCCTTGTAAGCAAGTCACAAGAAGTTGATGTTAGATCAAGGTAACAACTTCTACCTGATAAGTTTAAGTATTCTCATTACCTGTTCACTGGACTATGTATGGATATTTCAGAGAGAAATTAGTTTTAAATCGCTCCTGGGAGTTAAAGGGTTAAGACAATTTTAGTGAAAGTTAAGAATTTAAGGAACAGTGAAACAAATATATATATTTTAAATTTTCATTTAATTATTTGAATTGAAGGAATGTTCAAAATGTTTAAAACTAACAAGTGTACCATCAAAGGGACCCACAGGAGAATTACAGGGTAGGAACAAGAACGTGAAATGCATTTTTTTGGGTTATTCTCAATATCTGTTCAATTTCCAAATCCTTTTTTTGTCTATTCAATAATTTTTTGAATAAACATACTCTTATTTTTGTCAAATTTTTTAGGAGAAATAAAGCCACAAGATTACTTTATGCTTTCCACACCCAAGTAAGACAAAGGCTTATTGTTAAATTTTTATATTCAAATTAAACATTTAATTAAGGGCTAAAATCTTTTAAAATTTATTTGATGAATCTCATACAGGTTAATTTTTCTATTACAGCAGTGATGCCCTTAAAGGTTATGTTGCTGTGGAAGGTGAAAACATTTCAAAAGCTGTGAGTTACTTAATACCTATTCTTTGAGGTTGCTTTTTTTATCTGGCTATGAAATACTCAGTGATACAGTCTTAAATGTAATCTAAAGGATCAGAACTAGGTTCTATGAGAGCTGATATAGAGGAAGTTCACCAACCTTTATACATGTACTGTGTATAAGAGAAATCTGATTCAGGAGTGTTATCAACCTGCCATCAAACATTTTTTGCAGGACCTCAAATTTAAACTTCCTAAAGTCTCAAGCTCTGGTTTCCGTGTGTTTGTTAGAGAGCGGCTGCCATGGAAATTAAAACAGGTGAAAGTATCTTTTTTTTTTCATTTTAAAGAGCTCTTTTCTTTACATTTACTTTGCTTATTTCCAACCCAGTTTTAACATCTGGAGTTAATTTTACTTGATCATGTTTTATTTGGTGACTAATTAATGTCAATAATATTTCATTTTTGTAGATTCAAGATGCTATAAACTACTTGCAACTTGCTATTGAGAAGGTTCAAGAAACCAAAGCTAACTGTAAATTTTCTTCTGGAAAAGAAGTCAGCAAGGTAAGAGATTTTGAAATATTTATTTTATAATGTTGAACAAAAAGACATTTTGTTCCCTGGTTGGAAGGGTCTCAGTTGTGTTTACAGACAATTCAACTTAGTTTGTTTTTGTTCAAATTTAATAATTTTTTATTAGGTTGTAGAAGAAATAACAAGCCTCTTGACAAAAGGAAAGACCAGACTATCTTTGCCTGACAAAACACCAGTTTTAGATATGTTGGCATCTGGTGACCAGGTACACCTGAATATTTATTAATTTTTAATGATAAATAGTTAGCTTTAAATGGTATGCTTGCATCACTTTTTGAGTACTGTTCCTTCTCTTTCAGAGAGTGTTCAAGCCTGGGTTGCCAGATGATGTGGTAGCATACTTCTGCCTCAATAGCGACAAACTTGTCTTGTCAATTTACACTTTAACAACACTTCCTGTTCCACCTCAAAGTTCAGTAAGTTTCTTTAAATAAGCATTACTGTGTGTGTTTACATATCAAGAATTTGATAACATGTGCATGCATCACAAACTGTATATTAACTGATTTTTAATGTTATTGTTTTTTTACCTCCCATTTAGAAGCCTCCTCAAGAGAATGACCCTGTTGGACAGACATTGTAAGCACTTTTTCACTTTGTATAGTATGATCATAGGAGTGAAGGCAGGGTTTTCATTAACCCTGTACACTCTGACATCAGTATCCATAATCTCCATACTCTTCTCCAGACATTTCTTTTGGTGCTGACAAGGAGAATTTGTTTAGCAATCAAAGCTTGTTTAGTTAGCAATCATTTCCTTTATTCTCATGATCTAATTGAATGACTCAGAGATATTACTGTGAGGAGAAATTAGATTCTGGTCACTCTTAGGGTTTAAAGGGCTAAGGAATGTAGTTGCAGGAGTAAAAAGGTGAAATAACAGGAGGATATTTTCCACCTCTGAATAAAAAAATAGCTCAGACCATCAAAATGAAGCCAGAGAATTATGTTAAGTAGCCAGTGAATTCTCCAGCTGTCTAAGAGATCTCCCCTTGTGTGGGTTTTCTTGAAAAAAGCTCTTGTTGGTCATTGGCTATATATTTTGGCAACCTGAGTAGGAGTCATTATCTGTTTATCAATGTTGAGTGTTGATGGATAACATCACTGAAATTTTGATTGTAGAAATGATGGTCACAGAGTTCCTAGAACAGTCCTTTCAGAAATTACTCATCCAGACAAGCATGCTGATGTGATTTGTGATTGTTGAATATCTCTTTGGTAGAATTGTGCATCAGAATTCTGTACTCTCTCCTACGGGGGAATGACAATAATCATTATCTCAATCTTGATCAGGTATGAACATTTAATCAAATTTGATAATCTTTTCCTTTGCATATAAACAGTGAATTTAATAACAAATGGATGGAAATCACAAGTCACTTTGAGGTATGGTAAACTTGTCTATTTTGCAACAATAGAAAACATTGCCATTGTCAGTTTTATATATTTTCTAAATTAGGTCATGAAATTTTGAATTGTCATTCTTTTGATAATTTTTTTACTCATTTTTGCATTCCTGTTGACTGTACAAGGTTGATTGTTCAATCCCAAGACTCAGTGATTCTGTTTTACTCATTGGAGCAGCACTGAGATTGTGTCAACAATTGAAAGACAAGGTACACAATGATATTGTGATTGTTAAAGGAAGGCTTCCTGGGTGATTGCAAGATAATTTGGCCTTCTCAACTGAGTTGATGATGTGAATTGGCTACTGTAGAGAGTTTCTATAGCAGATACTTTGTTAGCTCCTTTAACTCTGACAAAGGGTCCATGCTCAAAAAATCAGTATTAGAAACTTGGGATCAATATCAGTATCTGGGCAACTGCTCACCTACCCCTCCCCTAACTCAACAACAGTCAATTGACAACAAGTTAAGGTTAATGTTGAGTTAGGGGAGGGGTAGGTGGGCAGTTGCCCAGATACTGATATTGATCTGAAACTTGTTTCAGCAGCAAATTGTTCACTATCAACTCAGTTGATGAAGGGACAGTTTGGATGTCCTACTTTCAATTGGTTATTTTTCTGTTCTTTGCAGATGACTATGAATTTTAGTGGTTTCCTACAAGGAAGTTTGAAATAAGTCAATTTATAATTTGTGATATTTCAACTATGATAAAAATTTCCAAAAATTTAAAATTAGTTTGAATTGAAATATTTTAGCTTGATATGCTTAGCTGCCTTTTACTGAATAAATCTTTGTTGTTTAGTTTGCAGTTTTTTCTGTGCTTCCTGCAAGATGATCATGGCAATTTTGAGTCTTAGATTGGAAAGAAGATTTATTTATTTGATATGTCTTTTACTGCTCAAATATTGATACCTCTGTTACACTAGCTGAAATTGTATGATTGAGTAAATTCCTCTTGTAATTCCTGGTTAACCTTTAAACTCCCAGAAGTGATTAACAAATAACTTTTACCTATAATATCTGTACACTATCCTGTAAAATAGGTAATGAGAATATTCAAACTTATTAGGTAGAAGCTATTATCTTGATCTAATACAAAATTCTCATAACTAATTTACAAGGAAATATGTAGCAGCTAGAGGGGAGAATTAACAATCAGATCTTGGGAGGTAAAGGGTTAAATCAAGAAAGAAGTGAGGGTATACAATTGACAGTTTCTTATGTTCTTGAAAACTGAGTTCAAGACCTCAACATAAACAATTATGATTATGTTTTTCAAGTTCTTCACCCACTAATGAAGGAGTAGTTAGTCTTTAATGAGGTCCAACTAGATTTTTGACCTCATTTTAAATATTGAAATACATTGATTCAACAGATGGGAATTCAATTTTATAATTCAATTTTATTTATTAAGCCTTTAAGACAGAGGTATGTGAATTTATAAGAAATGTTTGTTTTAGTGAGGTTTTTATCATCAGATTAAACTTTTGAATGACCTCTTATTTCTCAGTTTGTTTCATGAGTGAGATTTCTAGTGATCAAGTTGAGAAATATGAGGAGGCCCCAGAGTAGTATATGTGTAGCTGTACCCTACTTACAAAATAAGGTTGGGAAGATTTATCTATATTTAAGGGTGTTTTTAATAAAACAATTATTCCACTTGTGCTTGTTGGATATGAGATGATTTTAGCTTCCTCCATTCTGGTGTACTTTTCTTCCTTTTTCTTTATCACATTTGAGCTGCTAAGATGGGTCAACTATATTTTCCCCCCTAAGATCAGCAATTGCCCCAGGTTTATTTTAATTAGGTTTAATGTAGGAATGTTAACAAAATACCTCTGTGACTGGCACATATCAAGATGTGTAAGAGGCAGAGGTTTATATTTAGCTACCAAGGATGGTTTCCCATCAGAGGGACTTATACTGGCATTTTGCAGACATTCCAAGGCATGTAAGGTTATATTTCATGACAAATCATCACATTATTTCAATAAATATGTACCCTACATGCCCATCTTCCTTTCAAACATTGATTTAGGTCTTATTTTTGCCTATTCAATCAGGGTAGCAAGACAAACTATCTCTTAAGAAGTGCGAACACTAAGCATACCCCAGTTTTCTAATATTCATGTTGCATTATTTGTATGATTTTCACATACTTTTAACTCGAATTATCATGAGTTTGATCTTGTTTTCACTCACCCCCACCCCCGTTCAATTTAAATTTAATGCGTAATCTATCCCCTTCCTCCCCCGCCTCGTCCTCACTCACTTCCAATTCGTACTCAGTCTTCCGAATGAACCCATCACCTGGTAGATGTAAACAAGTTTCCCGTGCACCAGGGCTCGTGAAATTTCCTGTTGTTATTCTACAATCGAAATGGCCTCCAAGTTGGGTGGAAGGCCTTCAGTGGAACATGTTTCGTCTCTCGCCGAAGTTGTAGAGATAATTCTATCTTTCTTGCCGGCTAGAGCGCTTTTTAGTTGCGCGCAAGTTAGTCGCTTGTGGCGAGACACTGCTAGACGAGTTCTTCGTTCACGACAAAAATTGGGATGGCTTAGTTTTGAGGCTCACCATGAACCTCACGTAGCTCCCTGTACCTCAAAGGTAAGGATAGACGGGCGTTTATTCATTGTTGATGAAGGAATCTTTCTTCTTTATACTGTGAACGGTTCCCAAAGCATGTTGTTATATCAGCAAAATATCTTCACAATATTAACATCTTCAATGTCTCAGAATTTACCTGATCCGGAGAGCTTTCTCGGTCTTCGTACTTAATAGTCCTGTTGAGGAAACTGTTGGTTATTTTTTCCGTCAATTGGTGCTTTGTCATTCAAAACGACCACTGAATATACCAGTGATCCTACTTTCAATTGGCCTTTTTTGTACATCAGAGAAGGGGAGTCTTTAAATCCAGAAGAATGGGAATTAATTTGCGTTTCTGCACTCAAAATATTTCTTTGTGTTTTTTTTTTACGTAGTTTTGCTTTCGACCAATTCCTTTTTGCTTTTTTAAGCAACGCACTCTGAATGTGAAAAGTACATTTCGGTTCATTTTCCTTGTTATTGTAGGGAAATAATTGGTCATAATGGTGAGAGCATATGAAAGAAAACCATCATAGTTATTAATTATTATTTTTAATTAATAATAAGGTCTGTGATAAGTTATTTGGGGGTGGGTGGGGCTGGGTAGTCATTGATAAGGGAAAGGGTCGGCTATTGAGGAGAGAAAATCTTGATTCAGACATAAAATTTGTTAAACAAGCAACCAAGTTCAAGGATGTATTTGGGGTTGCAAATTGTTGACTTGAAGATTCTTTATATTGAAATTGTATGCCTTGTTTAGATTCAGAACCCCTAAAACTATACTCTGTTTGTGGCATTTACCAACTATCCATACAGTTTTTTTGTTTTGTTTTTCTTATCCTGGTTTGCTTTTATTATTTACTCATGATATGATGGGCTAGCCATCATCAGTATGTTTATTTTGCCTTTTTGATGACTTAGTTGTGAATGTGACTCAGATTAGTATTGCAAAAGCTTTTTAATTGTATTAGTCAAAGACAAGATTGTTTTTTCTAGCTTTCAATGGAAATGCTTGGACAGAAAATTGTTGAATTCTTGGATGAGCTACCCATTGTTCCTGCAGCCTGCATTGTCTTACTGAGCAGATGTAGGGTTCACCTTCAAGAAGGAAAAAAAGATGAAATAAAAACCTTAGTAACAACTGTAAAGGGATGTTTACCTCGCTCATGTGCCCTTATTGGAAGTGTTGGAGCAGGAGTTATTGGAACAGCAGAGGGTGGTTTTGCAGAAGAGTTGGAAAGTGCTGAAGGTGTTGCTTTATTGCTCATGCCACAAGTTGAAGGTGTTTCAGCAGAGGTTATAAATTTGAGTGCCACAGAGGTTAAGAATAACAGAACATTCAAATCTCGCTGGGAGAAATCTTTGAGACTTCCCCCTGATGGTACAGTCAAGTGTGCTTTTCTTTTAGCCAAGGGTGACACATATAATCTTGATGTTATAGGAAAAACAGCATCAGGAATTTGGCAGGTTAGCCTTTCTGTTGAGCTCTTTTTCTTCATTAGCTTGTTAGCCGTAGGACAAAAATTACATACTATATGTAGTACTTGTCTATATTTTTAAAATATAATGAAACAAAGATGTTGAGCAGATTTACTGACAAGATACAGTTTTCAGCAAGTGTGAATTGCATCTTTATCAACTGAAGTAAATAAGAAGAAAAACCTTTTTTGGTGTACAAAATGGCTATCTTTGAAATGCAATATCTTATTTGTATTTGATATTATCAAGAAGTGATAGAAATGATAGTTCTGTGTCTTTTTTCTTGACTCAAGGTTTGTAACAGTGAAGAAGATTATAAGTCAGATGTAGTAATAATTGGAGGACTTGTTGAGTCATTTGTGATGGTGGATAATGAAGTGAAGAATGCAGGTGTCGTAGGACTTGCATTTACAGGAAATGTTGAGGCTGTTTCAATGGTTCATCATGGAGAAACAGTAGAAGGTGTTCAGGAAAGTCTAAAGGAGCTGAGGAAGTGTGGCATCACATGCAACAAAAATACCGCTTGTTTTATGGTGTCATGCATTGGTCGAGGTCAGGAATTTTACCATGCCAAGAATGTAGAGACTGGAATTTTTCAACAAGTATTTCCTGGTATTCCAGTGGTTGGTTTCTTTGGAAATGGAGAACTGGGTCTGGATCTGCATTCACATGAAAGAGATGGCCATTTTCTACACTCCTATTCATCAGTATTTTGTTTGTGTTCCTTGCCATCACAATCTAATGACAGTTTACCTGCTCAAGGCACAGTTATCTCTGTTACCAAGGAGCTCAAGCAAGATGAGAAAGATGACAAGCCATCTAAGTGTACTTGACTTAACCCTTTCACTCCCAAGATCTGACTAGTAATTCTCCTTACTATCTGCCATACAATTCTTATGATATTAGTTCAGAGAATTTGGTATTTGATCAACTAATAATCCCATGATTGATGTTCTTCTCTATTCTCATCACCTGCCTGCTTTATATTGTATTGATATTGTAAGGAGAAATTCTGTCTTGGTCACTTGTGGGAGCTAAAGGGTTAAAACATGTGACTTGGTTATCAAAGAACCCTAACAATATTTGTTGAATGGTTACACCATTTCTGTGAACAGATGAACTTAGGAATAATTAGAATAAATTATTGTGCTTTATAAATTACATAACAGAGTACATTTGTATTCTCTGATCAGTGATTGGATCTAACTGTAAATGATTTTTCTGTTAATATTATAAAAAAATATTGGTTATTTGTTCTGATGAAGTCACTTCAGAACAGAGATTGACATTGGAAGTGTCTTCCCTGTGAGACAAAGGTTGATACTTTGTTTTTTTTTTTTTATATTCAAGTGTTTCTTTGTTAAATGATTGTCACCTGAGAAGAGGATGTTTGATCTTTCAAGGGCCTCTACTTGCACAGTGGTATTGCATAACTGATATCTATAATTCCAAAAATGTTTGAATGTTCAATTTGAATGAGTTTATATTTTTCATAGTTAATTTTGTATTTAATAATTGTTAGCCAGTGTAAATAGATCATATTCATAACTTATGATTTAAAGTAATGAAAATTATGAGAGAGATGTGTTTGTCTGATTTGTGTTCATGTGTTTATAGATGAATATAACAAGTGGTAGGGATGACTAGGTGGGTTGGCTTTGAATAGAAGAGAAGTTACAGTGACAGTGAGGAATTTTTGTATCAGAGCATACCTGCAAATTGAACTCAAATATTGAATGATAATGCTTTATCTGCTGTAAAAATAGAAAATTATTTTTACCAATCAAGGATAACAATCTATAATACCTTAGTTACCACAATAACCACATTCAGGTAAGGGATTTCCTGAATGGCTTTTAATTGCTTTAACCCTTGCACTCCCAAGATCTCCAGAATAATTATCCATATTGTTTGCCATACAATTTTCATGATGTTAGATTGGAGAATTTGGCATTAGATCAACTACTTATTCCCTGATGACAGTTTTATTCTCATCACTTGTCTCCTTTTCAATGTATAGACATTGTAAGGAAAAATTCTTTCTTTGTCATGGGAGTGAAAGGGTTAATTCAAATCCTTTAGGAGAGAATAAAGCACCATAATTACCACTGATCATCTTGTGATTCTCTCCTGAAAAAATGTTCATTCCCAAATCATTTGTCACTAGCTTAGAAGGGCATATATTTTTTTGTTTCCAATTCTGTCAGTTGTTACAATATTATAATGAAATATGAAGTGTAAAACAAAGTTTCAGTTCAGCTTAGAAATACATATTTTGTATTTAGTCAATAAGTGTAATAAGGCAATTTATGTAGGCAGGAAACGCATTAATAAGTCTCACTTGAAGAATCCACCATTTTTTAAGGACCAATGGTCAAGAATGTGTCGTATGTGAATTTTCTACATGAACAGTTGAATTAAAATGCACTTGACTGGCTCTTACCCAAGATGTATCTATTATTGGAGGAGAGATGTAGTGATGAAGTCACCATTAACAGTAGTGTCCTTTTTAATCATATGAAAACAAAATAGTTTCTTTGTTGCCATGCCTCTGTAAAAAAATATGTCACAGATGATGTCAAAATGTGGTAAGAACATTGGCTGCACCTCAGGTGCCATTTTTTTGTGGTTGACATATGTTTTACATCGTTTGTGATCTGTTACTGAAGAGAGACATGACAACATTTGTGCTGTTCTAAGTTTTAGAAGTAGTATAGGTTACAATTTGTTAATTGAGTTAAATGTTGAAATTGACCATTTTTTCTAACAAATTGTAAAATGTGTGAAATGTAGATATCAGTATAATGTTGTGATGCTACAGTTGGGTCAGTTTATTTTGGAGAAAAACAGATTATGATTAACATTTTGAAGGCAATTATTGGTAATATGAACTTTAACATTAAGAAAGTTGTGTTGTAAATATTGTTAAAACAATAAAAGAGATAGTGTAGTAAATATGTAACTGACTCTTTCATTCCCAGTTATAGCCAAAAGGAATTTCTTTATAAAATTTTTATATTTAAGCAGAAGGGTAATGAAAAAAAGTGTGATAATATTGACCAGGAAGTCCAATGTCAGATTCTCAGAGACAAAGTTGTTCTTAGCTTATGGTTTTCAAAGGGAAGAGGTGGTATTTAATTTTTCAATATTGAGAGTGAAAAGGGACAACCATTCACAACATCCTACCTTAAAAAGACGTCTTCTCTATAACAAATTCCTCTTTTCTGGTAATGAACTTTCAGTGAATGGATGGAAAAGTTAAAAAAATAAAAAGAGATGATATCTGAATGTCACATTGCATTTCCATCTCCATGATGGTTTAATTAGTGTTTCACCTTGGTAAAAAAAGAAATAAAATTAGCACTGATAGTCATCGGGGAAAACAAGCGCCATAAAAACTGATTCATGCCTTTTATTTCCTATTTCCAACTGGAACTGAAACTGGATACTGAATCAAGATATTACTCTAATATCGTTGAAACATAAGTAGAAGTGTGATCGCCATGAAACTTGGTGGCGAAATGTGGAAGCTGAAACGTTTCCCTTGAATTTAATTTCCTAGAAGCGGAAATGAAGAAACTCTGATGTTTCAATTTTCAAATTTTCTTAGAACTCAGGCGAATGTGAATTGAAAACGTACTTGCAGATCATGTGGAGTGCACGGGATGTCACGTGATACCGGCATTTTCACACCAATAGTAGGCGCGAGTACACCATGAGCTCATTATTGATGCTGGGAATGGCGTCGAACTTTGTGAATTTTTACCCCAGTTTTAGTTGAACTTCACACCATAGTTTTATGTTTTTAAATTTTTAGTCAAAGTAGCAATGGCTGAAGTCTTCCCTTTAGATATAAATGATCCAATAGACGAAGAGGATTTTAGCGAAGATGAATTTGAAGAGGTAGGCTCAGTTTGAATGAGTTGAGCGATCGATACAATTGCGTATAACGAAAATATTTTCCTGAAAGGAAGTGATAACCACTAGGATCGAAGTTTGACTTTATGAGACTCTTTTTGTAGGGGCAAGTAGGCGATGAGCTGATGGAAAACGATGAAAGGTTAGAAATGCCGGGAAGCCGGTATCTGTTTTGAAATTTGTACTCGATCAGTGAACCATTTCACTGTCTATACGTATGTCACTATATCGCTTCGCCTGTGGAAGTGATAGTTAATGAGCTCTTTCTCTTTCGCACAGTATGCATGAAGTGGAAACACTGGCTATTTCTGAAGAGACTGTTAATCCTAAAGATGAGAAAGTAGGCCCTGAAAGCTTTGAACTTCTCAAAGTTTTGGGTAAAGGAGGTTACGGCAAGGTAGGTACAACGCTATCTACATAAATTATATCGTGATGCCTATTAGACCGCTTATAGGTAACAGTGATATAGTAGATAGTTTTGTAACTGTTGAAAGGTTTGACTTAAGATCGTATGGAGGAACCAATCGAATGCGTTTTTGTTTTTTTTCTGGCAAGGTTTTTCAAGTCAGAAAAGTGGATGGAAGGAACAAGGGAAAGATATTCGCGATGAAAGTGCTGAAAAAGGTTAGAGGTTGAGTTGTGATGATTGCACTAATTTTTGAGTTACATAACAATATATTGTGTAGAATTAGGGTCAAAGTACTAGTTCAGATTTTAGCATTGACTTGGTGTATATTGATTATATTTTTTTCTATTTCGCCTGCCTAACTTTTTTATTTTGAGGGAATTTGTTCAGTTAACCCACACTTCTGTTTCCATGTACAGGAAATTGACAAACGATTACTTTTTAAATGATAAACATCGTTATCATTCCAGATCATTCGTTCCCCACCTCCTGTTCCTCTAGTGATTGCCAAGGTTAAGCCCTGGCCATAAGATTTACGTCATATCTATTTTCCTTAGAGAAAACTAGCATTCTTGAAGTGTTTGATCAGGAGGTGGTTGTAATTTAATTTACCACTCCGAGGCTGGTTTGATCAACTGATTTTGCTGACATTCCTGGAAATTTCCTCCAAATTGGTCGCCTAGATTTTAACCTTTTGTGTGTGAACTGTAGGATAATTTGTGCTTTGAAATATTGTGATAAAAATGTATTGATATCTGGTGTAGAATAAGATTACTTTGTGCTTTAAAAAGAAAACAGTAAAATTTGATGAAAGATGCTGGTATTTTGATTTACTACTGTGTGAGAAATGCAAGGGAAGTGAAAATGAAATATTGGCTTTTGTTGAGCTTAAAGTACATATTTCCTTTTGCTTATGCAATTTGCTACTTGATTCGATTTGTATTTCTAATTGATGGAAAAGGAAATGGGTTATAGCAGTGAAGTAAGAGAACTCACTGTGCCAGACTTAGCAAATTATTAACTTTTAGCAGCGTGTATGAGTCATTTAAGCAAAATTTGGGATGGTGGTTTTTAAAAAAAAATTGCTTAGGATCAGCAAGGCCTCTGTCTTTCTTTACCATTATACCCTATTTGTGGTCATAAAATTTATTAGTGATTTTTCCAACTCATGTGTATGTCAGGATTCATATTTCCTTTCTTTTTTGTAATTGAACCAGTTTTAGCTTGATTTGTGTTTGTCTCATTTTATTAATTTTAATTGTTGACTAACAAAGATTTAACTTAACCAGAAATAAAATTGAACCACAAGATGAAGTGATATGTCATTAGTACTGTATTATTGATAATGTCAGATTTTGCTAAAAAACTGGATCTTGGTCTCGAGGGTTTGGCCTCAGACTTAATGGTTCACAAATTAAGTCAAAGTTACGTTGATGAATTATCATTAATTGAGGATACTTGTCTTTTTATGTCCATTAGGCTGCCATCATCAGGAGCCACAAAGACACTGCCCATACTAAAGCAGAAAGAAATATCTTGGAAGCTGTTAAGGTTTGACTCAATTGCATTTATCTTAAACAGGGCATCATTCTGTCTCTGTCAGTAAACTGGGAGTTTGTTTATCTATTTTTTGCACTAATTTTCAAACCACTTCAACTTTGGTAAAAATACATTACACTTGTGAAACAATAGAATGAAGCGGGAATTTAGAAAACTCATTTAAAATATCCTATTTTGGATACATTTTATCCTAATTTTGAATGCCTTCAGCCTCAATTTCAGAATTTGCTTTGATTTACAAGGCATGTTTGGAATGCTATAGATTTGTTTTATTTTAGATTAGAGCTTAAGGGGCCTTTCAAATCAGGTATGGATGTAAAAATTTTACATCTTGTACTTGGAAGCCTGGTTTATATTTTGAACTCATGGGTCTATTGAGAGGGTTATATGCTTTTTTACTAATATTTTTTTCAGTAACTTTCAAGAGTTAGACAATATAACAGTTTAAGAATCTGAGAATAGAAAATTCATTAGACTTTCTATTTGCAGCATCCTTTCATTGTGGATTTAATATATGCTTTTCAAACTGGAGGAAAACTGTATCTTATTTTGGATTACCTCAGTGGTATGCCTATTTTATTTAATACCTGAATATAGGTGCTGTTTTTGAAAATATTTCATATTATTTAGCTAACTGTTTTGCTGGTTATAAGCACAGTTATTTTACAGACTCTCTTAAATAAATTGAATAACTCTTAATGCTGGAATGTGAAGGGTTTATAACTGTTTCTGTTTGATAGGTGGAGAATTGTTTATGCACTTGGAGAGAGAAGGAATTTTCATGGAAGACACAGCATGGTAAGATCTAAAAAGTAGCTGATTCCTTCTCAACAGTAAACTTTGTTGTCACTCTTGGCTTTTGATATTGATACTTTTGCTCATCCTCTTCACAGTTTCTACCTGGCAGAAATAGTGCTGGCCCTAGAACATCTCCATAAGCAAGGAATTATATACAGGTAGGCATCGTTTTCCTGGTTGCAAGGAGTAATGAGGAAAGGGTGCTAGTAACTAACTGACAGGGCTTATTTTATTTTGATGGGTACATGATAAGCAGTTTGAGAACTTGTTTATGGTGCACTTTTAGCAGATGGAGCTATTTTGCACATTTAACAATTCCTTTTAAGAAGTAATGGCGTTATCATCAATTTAATTATCATTTCTGTAAAGTGGAAACAGTTTTCTGTTGAAGTCTAGATGCATCAAAGTGATACTAATTCTTATATTTTTTGCAGAGATCTTAAACCGGAAAACATATTGTTAGATACAAAAGGTGCGTTTTTTTAAAAAAAAAATTGATGTTAACTGAGGTGATTGAGGTATTCTCTAAATGCAGTTTTTCTCTTAGTAATGTTTAGCAGATTTACTTCTAGTAGTAGTGCTCAGGCAGTGTTGTTTCAGTTTCCTGAAAACTAAATAAAGAGAAGCCTGAAAAAGTTCGAGCCTCACTCCTAACGTATAACTCTGTTGCTCAATTATAAGCTCAGCAGTACTCTACTAGTATTTGGGAGAGATGACTTCAAAAAACTGTTAAAGCCTTCATTTTCTTCATTGTGAATTATTATGTGCACAGAAATATAATGAAATTTCCCAAGGTATGGAAGGGTGTTAAGGATTAATGGCATTGGTTTATAATCACAATAACTGGTTCTTATCTGTTGTCCTTAACAGGCCATGTGGTGTTAACTGATTTTGGTTTATGCAAAGAGGCAATATTTGAAAACAGCCTAACTCATACTTTCTGTGGAACCATTGAATACATGTAGGTATACTGCAAAGTGGTGAATCTCGGTGCATGTGTTGTTCAAACCCTTTTGAGTAAAGTGTGATTATAAGATGTTGGTTGATCATAGTAAGATAGTCCAGTTACAGATGTATTTGTTTATTTTGTCAAGTGTATTTATTTGAGGAAAGTACATTGAAAGAGTAGAATTGTAGATCAAATCACATAAAAAGGAATCATTTCAGTTAATACTACTTGAATTAAAAAACTATGATGGGGTGATAACTTATTGGCTAGAGGGGTATGTGCTAAACAATGTTCAGACCAATATATTACTTAAGTTCTGGCTGTACTCTGACTTACAAAATTTAATTGGTATAAAACTCACTGCCTGATGCCAGTTTGAATAGGCAATCTCTAATCATAAAAATTCCCAGATTACTTTCCTTCAACTTCTCAATGCTTATAGGTGAATAGTACTTAGCTCAGCAAGCACTAGCCAGTCAGCATTTCTGAAAAGGCCCCATTTGATTTGTCATAATTGCAGGGCACCTGAGATACTCACTCGCAGTGGCCATGGCAAAGCAGTGGATTGGTGGAGTCTTGGTGCTCTCATGTATGATATGCTGACAGGAAGTGTATGTAATTTGTTCTATAAATGGTTCATTTTTGTGTTAATAGCAGTCATCTTTGAGAGGACTTTTTTTTTTAATACAACTCTACAAGCATGTTCCTTACAGCTTTATAGAATATAATGATGGGAAAATGTAAAAGTAAGTCATTTTTATGTCATGGTATAATATGATACTAAAATGGGAAGAAACAAAAAGATGTGTTTTTTATGTTTAATGTTGAGAGTTTTTGTCTTCTTCATCAACATAAAGATTATATGCTGTATTTCATTGTGATTTATAGCTGAAATGGTGGTTTTGTTTTATATCTTTAGCCTCCCTTTTGTGGAGAGAATAGAAAGAAAACGATTGACAAAGTAAGTCTTTCAGTGTTACACACAAGAGGATGTCACTCATAGGGCCCAAAGAATCCCAAACTGAAATCTGGAGGAAGAATTGTTCCAGTGCAGTGTGTTACTTTCCATTTGTTTATAGCTTGTTGCAGTTTCCCACTCCTACTTCAAAGCTTTTTTTAACCAGGAGTTTTTGCATTTATGCATTAGATAGAAGGGCAGAATTGATTTAAGATACATTGGAAAGACTTTGAAAGAGATTCAGACAGTGAACATTTGAAAATTTGATATTTTCCTCTTTTGTTTAGATTTTAAAAGGGAAACTGGTTCTTCCTCCTTTTCTTAGTGCAGAAGCCAAAGATTTTGTTAGAAAAGTGAGTATTTTACCTGAGTACATATTTGATAATTTTTTTAGATGTGGTTGAGTGTTTACTCAGTTACATTATTGACAAGTTATATTTTGCTTTCAGTTGTTGAAACGTCATCATCAAGCTCGGCTGGGTGGTGGCAAAGATGATGCATTACCAATAAAGGTAATCTTCAGCTGTCTTGTAGACCTGCACAACATTTGTGACACATGGCAGGTTATACATAGTAGCAGATGCATGATCAAAACTAATAAGGACAACAAAGGCTTAAGCTATTGAACAAAAATATGAAACAATTCATTCTTTTTGTTACCCAAGCAAATAGAAACTATAACAATGGTTAGGGGCAAGTGTAAGAACACAGCAAACATACAGAGAGTATTTCTTCCAGAAGTGTGTCTTATGGTCACAACACCACAATTAGTGTTGTTTATTATGTCTCTATCAAGAGTACCAGTATATTTGTTGTAACCATCAGTCTTTAACTTTTTCTTGCAGACCCATTGTTTCTTCCGCTCCATCAATTGGGATGATCTCTACTCCCGAAAAGTGGAGCCCCCATTTAAACCAAATATAGTAAGTGATTTATATCTCCTATTGTTGCACTAATAATGAAACCTGTAGAATGAATGAAGGCTACTGGCTTTATTATGTTCATTACTTGGCTCTTAGAGTACTAAGTTATTTTCATGTTTACATCATTCTTAAAGGTTAATGTGTTGACTTTTAAGTAAATGTTTGCTGGCCTTTTTTTATATCTTCAGTTGAGCTGAAAATTTTCCTTCACAGAAGTGCATGCTATCCTTTATACAAATATTTAACCCTTGACCCCTAAGAGTGACTAATATCGAATTTACATACATACATATGTTTATTGTAACTCCTAACTTGGGCTTTTCAGTTACAATGTCTAATTACAACTTTTAAAATACATATAAGTTAAAAAGGAGAAGGAATAATAGGTAAATAATACATTTTATGGCCAGAATCAATTACAAAAGACCTAAGAATATCATTAAAAAATTAAGTTATACTCAACACAAATGTTCACTGCTCAATAGCTTCTGCGCTAAATGACACCTGAAGCTATTTACACTGCCTGCAGCTTTCAAATCATTAGAAATACAGTTCCAAAGTCTGCATCCACAATATGTGAATGAATGTTGTCCATATGACAGACAACAACATGGGATGTGTAAAAGAGTGCATTGCATAGTCCTTGTGTGAATATGAGAACGAGGTACAAATATATTGGCCAGATATTTTGGGACTAAATTATTAAGACATTTAAATACCATTACACAATTTCTCCTTATGCTTACTGGTGTTAGGGTGTAAAGGTTGTCCAATCAGTTTTTTTTTAATTCCAGACAGGTGAAGAAGATGTGAGTCAGTTTGATAGTAAATTCACAAGGCAAACACCTGTTGATTCACCAGTAGATTCAATGTTGAGTGAAAGTGCAGATAGAATATTTCAGGTATGAAAGTGTTAGAATTCAATTGTTATTGTTCAAACTGGGCACTATGATAATTTTTTTAATTAGTCATGCATGCTTGTTTGGATGATGGCAGGAAATGTGTAAATAACTGAAACAATGCTTATGTTGAAGTTGCATATTTGGACCCTCAGTGGCTTTTAAACAGCTTCATAAACAGCAACAACTAAACAAAAACACCTGCTCAATGTTTACAAACAAACTTGTTGGAAATTATATTGATTGTTCTTACTGATGCCCCATACACACCAGCTAAACAAGCAAACTCTCAGGACTGGTTATTTAAACAAAATTTGGCCATTGTTTAACAAAACCATGTTCTAAGGCATCTTCAATTTAGCCGAACCTGTTTTCTGAACATTTACTTTTGTGAGCAGTGTCCAGAGGACCTAAAGCTAGCAGTGGAAGGACATTTGTTTAATTAAATCAACCCTCTTACACAGAAAGCCTGAGTCCCACTGATTGTGCAAAAAGGGTGGTTTGGGTCAGACCTCGTGTAAGTAATCAGCCCTCATAGAGCCTCATTCCTCCCAGGAGTATGAATGAAAACCATTAGACTGCCAGACTGGCTGGGAAACCAGAAAAAATGGCAGGGTACCCTATCTAGGAAGTTTAGAAACACTCCTTATTACTGTGTGTCCCTGAAACAGGGATTTGAAGGACCACTCAGCTGTTAGATTTAGTGTTATGAATTAATATCTGTCATTTGTTTGATAGGGCTTCACATACGTGGCTCCTTCAGTTATGGGTTCATTGCATAGAGAAGTACCAATGTCACCATGGAGATATACAAGGTATTGAAGGAAAAAAAAAAACCAGGACCTGGTAATGGTAGTTTGATATGCTACATAAGCAATATCTTTATCAACTTGAGTCTTTCCTAAATACTTTAGAGGACAGCCTCTTGGCTCTCTATTATTTTTAAGTTAATTGGTTCTCTATCTGGCCTGCAGATCTCCAAGAAGAAGTAACCAACCAATGAGGTGAGCTTCTGTGTTGTTTCTCTTTTGTTTTTGAATTTTTTTCTCAGAACATCACAGGATTTACTTCATCTTTAGTTTGTAGTGCCAGCCATTTAGTTGTGGAAATTATCTGACGATGTATCTTAAAAGCTTGCAATTGTTATTCAAGTTTTTTTAAAATGATTATTAATAATCCATCAATTCTCAGATCACGTTTTCAATCTTTTGTTGATCACTAAATTTTTGTGTGAGAAGGTAGCGTCAACTTAAGTGAGACTTGAGGGTTTTTTTAGGGTAGAAATCTTGTGAATGTTATCTCTTAATTACCTTTGAAATCTGTGTGGCACTAATTAAACTTGTGTTAATCACTCATGGTGACTGTGGGTAGAACTGGAGTAATAGATTTATTTGTCTGACTAAGTATACATAAATCATAGCCTTCCAAATGTTTTAGAAAATTCGCTGTTTTGTCAGTTAATGTAATTACTGATATGTATCAGTGTCAGACAACAGTTGTCAGCCGGCAGAAATAAACATTATTTCTAGAGAATGTACATGTAGTCAGTAACCTCTAGATTAGGTAGTGACAACATAGAATAGGGAATGAGATTTTCCCAAAGAAACATATTTGTAGATTGCAACAGCAGGTGCCTTGTGTTAATTTTAGAGCTCCAGGGCATGATGTAAGTTTGATTTTGTTTTACAATTTTTTTTTGATAAATTAGTTGACATCCAAGGAATGTCTCATTGCTTGATTCTCTGCATTAATAGCAGCACTGTTTTTTTTTCTGTGGACTGAAAAGCATCTAAATTTTGGCCTTTAGAACCTTTTGTTTAGTCACAGATCTTATCAGAGGTGTGTATTGTAGCCCCTGTCAGTTCTTCCTAGTTACTTAGAAAATAATTTTATAATAATAATAGGCTTAACGTAATAGATGATTATTTGGCAAATCTTTGGTTGTGATTGTGGTAAGAAATAACTTCAAAGTAAACTCAAAACTAACGGCCAATTCCCTAACTTTCACTAATTTTCACCTTCTCCCTGTTTTCCTGTAGCCCCACCAAAGTTAAGGGAAATGGTTCCAGTCAGTTTGGATTTGAACAATCCTGGCAACCAAACCGAACAGACTCTTCACTAGCCAAGACTGCGGCAATGAAGACTCTTGATTTTAACTCTTCAAACTCTGCTGTTGCAATGGATACTTCTCATGGAAGTGATAAGCTTGTTAATGGCACTGATAGTCTGTTGCAGTGTGGTAACTCCCTAGCTCACACAGTAACTAACTCTGCTCTTCAAATGACATAACCCTTGGTTTATTGTGGAATCCATCATCATCTACTTCTTTATAATCTTTCCTGTCTTTGTGGAGAATTTTTACCAAAAGGCAAAACTTTGTCTGTAACTTTGTGATAAAAATTCTCCCTCAAAAGTTATTTTGTCTATGCCACAATTAATATCTAGCAAATGATATCTTTACAGAGGAGAGCCAAAGTTACTTCTGTATGAAGATGATTCATGTAGCTTTATTCCACTGAATATCAGTTTTTTTTTTGGGTTTGTTTTACTTCTCTAATTCAAAAGAATGGTTCTTTATAGGGAGCTTAGAATATTTATTTAAGAAGTTGAGGCAGTGGAGGCATTGTAACAAAGGCTGGTCCGCTTGTAATCCTGCAATATGCATTCAGATATCAATAGGAAGTTTCTCAGTAGTGTATCATATAAGGTGTTAGTTTTGGTTAACAGATAATGAAGTAGACAAAGTAATGCTAAAAAAAAAACTTTTGATCAAGCAATTAAAAATAGTTCTAGATTATTTAAACTAAAGCAAGTTAGCAACATAGATAGATAAAATTTTATTGCTCCTGATTTAATTGCTATGCTGATTCTGTTAAAACAAAATTTTCCTCTTTTCATGAAGGCATCTGGTTGAACCCTAAAGAGCTAATTCAAAATTTGTATGATGTCTCTGGAAAAGAGAATATATTTTTACAAAGGTATAAATTGCAATAGTAACATTATAGATTTTAAGATGTTTTTGTTTTCAAGAAGTCTGCTCGGTTAAAATTATTATTTATTGCCAAGACAACATAGTCTTGGAGTTTCACATTTTCAAAGCATTAAGCCACAGTTTTCAAGAATAGTACTTTCAAAGTACTTTCAAGTTTATGTTGATGTGTTAAGAGGACAGAGTGTTATGTTGCTTTGTTTGCATCCAGCAATGATAGACCATGGATTTCTAAATGAATATCATACCCTTTTGATAAAAATTATGTTTAAAACGCTTTTGATTGGACCATTTATTTGTGCTGTTGTAAATCTAGCTGCCAAGAGCATATGCAGGTGGAGGTACTAAAAATATTTAAAAATGATTGACAATAATTATAGTAATAATTATTAATATTTATTATTGCATTATGCACAAGTTTTTTTAAGTAAAAATCAGTCAATGCAGTGTGCAGTTAGTCACATAGTCTGCAGGTTATAGGAAACAAGTAAAAGTTACAATTTTCAGTTGAAACTCAAAAGGATAACTTTGAAAAAATTTTTGTTCTTGCTATACTCTCCATTACATTTTCAAAAAATGGTGCAAACCTTGGAAACAACAAATTACTTGCTAGTGATACATTTTTGCTGTAATACTGCATTGGTTGAGGAGATTAGATTTGTTTATTCAAGTGTTTGTTGTTTCTGTCCTCTGATTAGTCATCTTAAATCATCTAATGATTTTTTGAAATTTTAACAGTGTTGAGAAAAGTTCTAAAAATGAGATAAATGTGTTAGTAGTGCAGACTGAAGTAATAGATTGAGTAGTGATAATACATTTGCATTTTATTCATTATGATAGGAACAGATTTAAACTCTGGAATCAAATTATAGATAGAAATGCTGTAATTTGATCTGGAGTACAGGTGATGAATGATATATTTTCACATGTAGTTAGATATAGTTGAAAAAGCACAGTTTCAAAAGAGAACCCTCCTAATGATTACCAGCTATTTTGAAATTTCTTTTTGCAAAAAGGTTTTATGTTAAATAGTTTAATGTGGTTTGTAAGGAAATTATAAAATACCGCCTGCTGGACAGACACGCGTTGCAAATTTGCATATTTTCTCACCTTACTTACAACAATAATGATTTTAAATTGGCAAATATGGTGTCCATATTTCAGATAAATTTAACATGGGTTATCCACCCTTCAGTACTGGAATTTTTTTAAGCATGCACAAATGTGACTAAATTATTGTCACTGCAGTCTACATTTTGTATTTATTAACTTACATTTTTTCAAGCAAAATGGCATCTCCTCGAGTTTATGTAGTAATAGGGCCTTACATTATGTGTGCAAAACAAACTTAAGTTACAAAAAGGTTTCTCAAACTTTCCAGTGGTCAGTCTATTCAGTCATGTGATATTCAATGGAGTACACGTTCCCTATTTATCTTAATTCAGTAGGATCTATTTATTAATAAGCTGAAAACACTCCCATCCCTTGTTTTTTCAAGGATTAGGGATCATGGGAATGAATTACCAGTTTTCCCAAACTCTTTTGTGCATCTCACTTCCTTTTCAATGATTCCATGATTTACGTTAAAAGACTGACGGGAAAGAATTGCATTTTAAAACACAGTTTATTAAATGTTACAGTATATCAGAAAGAATAGCATTGTTATTCTTTTAGTTAGCTGCTTCTTACAAATTGTTGCTATAATAAAATATGCTTGATGGGCTTCATGAATTTATGGTCTCGGTTATGTCTTCTAGTGTTGGTTTTATCCGAATATTTTTAACATGTTGATAGTTTATGTAAGGGACTGGTCATTAATCGCCCGGGAAGGAGGTGGTTTAAGAATGTAGTTGCGTTATGATGTAATTCACCAGATCTCCCCTACAAGGCTCTGTGACATTCTAATGACCCCCTCATTTGCAAGTAATTGGCAATCAATTTTCTATACCCCTTGATCCTCTATTGGCGACGGTTGATCTCCCCTCCCTACCACCCTGAAAACTATGCAATCTCCCAAAAATCCTTCGCCATTCCTCCTCCCTTTCTAAGCGATCAACAGTGAATTGTTCCCAATAACATTCCCAATTTCTTTCCCTCTCTGGACGTTCTTAAATAAAGCTTCCATTGTGATTTTTATGAGGTGTTCTGTCCTGTTAACGTCCTGGTGATTCTTTCTGAAGTAAGGGTCTACCGCTGATTTGCTTTTTTTTGGCATGGTGTAATTATTTTGTATTTATTCTTTACAGCATGGAATGAAGACAGGACGGTGGACAGAATTTGGATGTTGCCGAAATTGAGTTTGCGTGACACTTGTAATGCACGACCAGTGAATGTTGACTTTACACAAAGTAAAATCAATATTGACCGCCATATTAGATAAAAAAAAGTCGTTTTGTTCAAATAGTTCAGTTTTTTTATAATCAATTGGCGATATTAGTTTTAGGTAGAGTTAAATTGCTAGCGAATGTCGACTTGCAATTGCGTAAGGTTATCACGAATTACGGTCGTTTTGCCGACCGTCTGTTCGCCTACGTCTAGAGTCCCACCTCCTTTAGTATACGCCGCTCGAGTCACAAATAAACGCAAAGACCGTAAACGATTGTTTATTTCATCTTAATGCTCAGTTTTTCTGTGAGGTTCAACAAGGACTTTAAAACAATTCAATTTTTAAAACTTTGACTTATGAATCGTAGGCGAACTGAAATATTGGACGTAGGCGAATCGACTCTAGACGTAGGCGAAACGACCTGTAGGCGAAACGACCCGAAGGCGAAACGACCGGTTACCGGTTATCATCAGTATTTATTTTACGGTCACATTAGAGTCGTTTGTCGTGATGTGCAAAATTGCAAATTTTCAGCACGGTTAATAAGGAAATATCGAAATAGAATGAATAAACCCATCCACCCCCCCCCCCCAAAAAAAAAAAACAACAACAACAACAACAACAAAATAAATAGATCGACTGAAGTGAAGAATGATGAACAAACTAGGTACAGGAAGCGTGATGTGTCTCTCTTGATTACTAACAGGTCAATGTGGCGGAATACTGTCATCAGGGCGTTTTCCGTTTTATTTACTATATGATTTTACTATGTAAGGTAGAGAATTCTGGGAAAGAAATTTTCAACGATATTACTCATTCAGCTTGTCAGATAGCCTTTACATGTAACAAATACTTACAGGTATCCGAGAGAAGACGAAATGAAGACAGTAGAAAAGTTTCTTAGAGACTGATCCACAGTGAACATTCAGTCATCTATGATTAACAGACCTTCTCAGTTTTGGGCTGGTTAGTTGAGAACGTAATACACTTCGATACAGTACAATTTGATACCGCCCTTAGCTGTAAGGGCAGTATCAAAATTATGAAAGTCATCTTCAATGAATTGTTTTGCTCTGAATTTTTTCATACCGACCAACTTTTTAGTTGGTGTTTCTTCAAAAATTTAAAAATGTCTGAATTTGATTCCAAGGTCTCAGAGATTTTTCAAGGTACGTACTAGGATCACGTCAAGTTCGCAGTAGCGCGTAACTTTTGATCAACACTTAAGCGACAGTAATTTATTGTCTTTGCAAATATTCCTTATTCTCCTCAGTTTTAAGAGTTGATCCAACTTTTTATTTACTTCTATTTTCGAGTAAACGTCTGAAATAAAGTTTTACTTGGTGTTCTCAATTCGAAAAAGACCTTGATTGCCATTGTCGTCAACTCTTACTTGTACCCGTATGAAGCCGAAGCCCATACGTACATTAAGACACCTCATAACACTTTGCAAGTTTTGTGACGTCGTTTTGGAAATGCCAGTTTCTTAATTATCATACTCACTCCATGTTCATGTCATTGTCAAACTCCTTTGATTTCTTTGAGTGATGAAGAATTCAAAAGGAAACCAAAATATAACATACACAATAGTTCATTACCCTTTCCTCTGACGTATTAGAATTAAAGTATGAGGTAACCAATCCCTATCGAGGAACACGAGAAGGGGTAGCGAAGTACTGATTTCATCAGTGGAAGGGCGGGCGGTGGGCCTTTCTTTGCCATTCTTTGCGAACTGACTACCTTTCGTATTTCACTCTGGTTTCTACAATTCCTTATAGTTAAACCTAACGTCCTTATACGACGTCTTAATCCTGTCCAAATCTCAAATTCTACTGGGGCGGCGATGCGTGATCGCATTTTTTGACAAGGACTTTTTTCAATGTTTTGAGCGAAGCGGAGGTCGTCATGTTACTCACGCTTTCCTGAAAACGCAAAAAATTACAGCAATTCCGCAGGCCGCAGTGATTTGGAGGGTTTTCAAGCACTCAAATAAATTGATCACTATGTTATAAGTACACGCCTTTAATAAAGTACATTCTTTCGTTAGCTTCACTAACTTTTCACTCTTTTCTGTACAAAATCTTAAGTTAAAATAATTTCCACACTCTCATTTAAAGTATATATTAAGAACATAACAATGTGTTACAAGTTGGGTATTTACATGTATGGCAGTCGTAAAAAAAGTACCTGCTTCTGTTTGTTGACTTGAGGAAAACTCGTATACTTTGGCCCGGTTTTTTGGTTAGTTACCAGCGAATGAGGTCTTCATTTCGAATATTCAAGGCCGAGACACGAGGCGACAAATCGCAGTGATAATTTTAAAAAATGCGAGAAAGTCTCTGTAGCTGTAACATAATTTTATGCCTAAAATACGTCACTGGTTTGAGTTTGGTGGCTCACTGCGGCTAGTTTTGGAAGCAGTATACAATACATGGTGTATGGCAGAGACCTGTCGTGATCATATGTCATCGGGTGTGTTCTGGCCTTAATACTGAAAAACATCGAGCAACACCCTTTTACCAATCAGAACATTCTATGTAAAACTTCAGCGAATTATACTCAGGTAGTCAACCTTCTCTGAGTTTACAAATGGCTTAAAGAGGTTAGGCTGATACAACAAATGATAAAGATCTCTCAATCCATTAAGATAAGCACTGAAAAGATCGATTGGTAAAAATAACTTTAAATTTCGAAAAACACTCCAAAAAAATATAACAAACATTTGACGAAAGATACCCCCTGAATGGATAATAAAAGCTTTATAACGTAAGTATGTGAGACTATTTTAAAATATTACAAGGGCATTTTGTGCTATCTTGCATTGTCAATAATTTTGCGTTGTAAGGCAGCGTAAGCTCTTTCCAGCTTCATGTTTTCCTGCAAAATAGAAAGATAACTATTAAAATGGGTAAAAGTTGCGATTGGTACTTAAAGGGTGCATCAAGATTTATGAATGGAGTCTTCATTTACTCTTATCAACAAGTCGACTTCAACCAACCATTTTCTAATTTCGTGTCACGTGCCCCATTTGAAAATTCAACATGGCACCCTCGATATGTGGTTTTCGTTTCAGCAGAGTTGTGCAACAGAGACGTTATCACAGAGACAATGTAGCTTGAGCACTTGCAATAACGCGTGAGTAGTAAGTAAGGATTTTCAGCTGAGGTTACAGCCAGTGGTATGTAATCAAGTTATTTTTCAAGAATTATGTTGGGAAAACCCGAAGTAACATTAAGGAGATAAGCCATATGTTCAGATTCCAAGTTTCCACCGGCGAAACACGAAGTGTTATCTTTTATTGGCACATCATACATTGAATATGCCATTGAACAAATCACAACAGGTCCAAAACGTTGCAACTTTGCACAACATTCTTTTATTTGAACCTGAAAATGTTTTACGAGGTTGCAAATTACTGGTGTCAATGGCGGCTGTAGTGTAAAATGAAAGGAAAAATTATTTCATTCATACAAGGTTTTCGTTAAAATTTATAGGAAATTTAAGCAATCAGGACGGCAACTCCGTGGAAAACGTCGATTAAAAAATGAATTCAGTATATCTTTAGTTAGAATTTCACTAATGGCTAGATGTCTTCATCTTCTCGTACAGCGCCACACCTCAACTTAAGCATAACGTATGTGAGTAGCGTTCCAAATGGAAACTTAAATAATTCACTGTCGGAATTTCCGTTCTACAGCGGAATTAAACTATCAGATCTTTTGCTTTGCCATCGCTGTCGGACAACCAAATGACAATTTCAGGACTAACAGCGCGGAAACACTACAATTCTACCACGCTATGTCAATACAAACACTTGACAAACTATCGTATGGAAGAAAAAAAAAACTTTGAAACGGAGAGGGAACTGTATCAAGGCTCGTAAGAACAGCCAAAACCGAGTGACTAAACGTCTCAAAGAACCCCAAGCTAAATTAATAGACGAAGCGCGCCTGATTTTACGTAGCGTTACATTTACGGTTACCTTGGTCGCATGCGTGAGCATTTTTTGTAGCTTGGTCATCTCCATCATCTTCTGACTCAACATGGCTGCGTTTCTTTGGGCCTTGTCCTCTGTTGTCTGTAGCGGAAACACAAAGTAACATCACATAAATACTGCAATTACAATAAGAACAAAAGGCTGATCTTGCGATAGGGATGGTACCCTTTCGAGATTATAAAATTTGATCAATTCATCTTTTCCATGATGACATTCAACGAACTCCCTAATATTTAGGAGTAGAGCCTGATGGACAAAAAGTTTACGGAATAGACAGAAGCAAAGATGAACGTTGGAATCAAATATTTACCTTCAGTGCAGCGAGAAGTCTTTTGTTTTCTTCAGCATCGCCTCCGTTGAACTATACGAGAACCAAATCATACTAATAAATGCAAAGTTAAAGAAGAAAGGGAGAAGAAAGTAGAGACGGAGGGACGAATGGAATTTAAGGGTCGGCAAAGAGACATACGTCTAAAATGGTGGCCAGTTTCTTGAGAGTCCTGATAAATTTACGAACCCGAAGCCATGATTTAAATCTAAATCTGAAGAAAGTCAGAGCCGGTCTTAGCTCCAGAACTGGTCAAATTCTGTATCGTTTACGTAAAATGTTAGTGATCTGAATTTCTCTTAATATCTCTTTGTTGGATGAAGACACGGCAAGGGAAGAAAATAACCATCAGGACGGCTCTCTGGTCTTTCTGGTCTGTTATTAACCCTTTAACACCCAGAGGTGATTAACATGTAACTTCTCCCTATAGTATTCATACATTATCCAGCAGCCAGGTAATGAGAATACTCCAGCTTATCAAGTAGAAGTTTTTAACTTGATCAAACACCAAATTCTTGTAACTATCCTACGAGGGATTGTGTAGCAGCCAGAGAGGAGAATTAAGAATCAGATCCTGGGAGTTAAGGGTTAAAAGGACTTTTCAGTTTCAGGGAATACATGAGGTTATCAGAAATAAACTTCGAGAAAAAGAAAAGCTATTGGGATAATATCTCATGATAATTTGGTTTAACCCTTTAACTCCCAAGATCTGATTGTTAATTCTCCCCTGTAGCTACTACACATTTCCTTGTAAATTAGTTATGAGAAATTGGTGCTAGATCAAGATAGCAGCTTCTAACTGATAAGTTTGAATATTCTCATGACCTGTTTGCTGAAGAATGTATGGATATTGTAGAGAGAAGTTTTATGTTAATCACTTCTAGGAGTTAAAGGATTAATCAAATGAGTTGATAATATAAATGTATATATAATGTAAAGAGTTTCTGAAGCTGACGTTTCGAGCTTTAGCCCTTCGTCAGAGCGAGATTGAAACAGACAATCGTAATGGGCACAATACCCACTTGGGAGACGTGTACCTAGATAATATCTTACCGACTCCGTTGACATCACACTACAGTGACTATCATTTAAGGACTCGTTCTCAGATGACTTCCGCAGACTGTCATTTTGCGCCCGCAATTGTTGCACTCTGCCTTGCAAGTGTCGCAAAAGACGCGCCGTGCTAGAGTCCTCCCCAGGCCTCGGGCTTGGAGTCGTCGAACTGAGACTGGTGCCAACGCCACTCTCAGGAGGAGAGGAAGTCCCGTTTACCATGGGGCTGCCAGCGGGAGTCTAAGTAAATGAGATGATTTTTAGATGAGAGAGGGGTAACAAAAAAAATGTCCTCTGTGCGACACGCAATCGATCAGTATAAAAAATACAATGCTATGCAATCGAAACATCACGATCTTCATCGGAAGCAAACTTTGAAAAGCCAAGAGACACGATAATATTCCTTTCTTATTGCTATTGACAAGAAGTTGCATTTACCGCAGCCTTTGCGTGCTTGAGTTCCCTCTCCAGGCGATCTATGGTCTTTTGATATGCCTGAGATAAAATAGAGAACTAATTGAAGTTCATTCCCAATTACAGCTATAGGTGTCAAACTGAAAGAACTCAGTGCGCAAACTCGCAGCGTGACCTAGCCCCTTTAAGTAGCTGATTTATCGTCACACAAAGTGATCAATTACTCACCGTTCTCTCTGACTTGATCTGTAAAGCATTCCTTTCACTTTCCTCTTGCAGCTGCCTGTTGAAGAGGGAAAACAACAATCAAGCAATCAAGCAATCAAGCATTGATTTTCCATTTCAAAAACCTTCACAAGGAAAGGAAAAAGTTTTGTTACCTTTTCGTTCTGGTTATTTCTTCGTCCTGAAACGACAAAGAGAGAGAGAGAACATCAGAAATCCTAGAAAGTCGAGATTAACCAGAATGTTTGATTAAATTCCTACCTTCGCAATAAGCGTCTTTTTGAACAGTTGCACTTGTTGAGGAGTGAGGTCTCCGTTACTTGGTTGCTGAAACTGATTGAAGCAACGTTACAAAGTAAATTGGTTGTCATAAATTTACCTCATTGAGTGCAGTTGTTAAGCAATCTTTATGCACCTCGTAAGATTGCATACTGAAAGAAAAAGTTTTTGAAGTCCAATACTTTCCTAGCTGATAATTAGTGATTCAAAAGTCTTTTCCTGTAAAGCGACAACGATAATGACATCAACTGTCTCTTTACTACGATAAGATGGAATATTTGGGGGCAAGACTTTGAATCAGACGAGATCGAGTTTACATACAAGTTGGAGGTTTGCTTCATCAGCCCATGGACAAAATTTGATCTTCCAACTCACTGATCTGAACGCTCAGTTCAATATACATTTCCGTTCTTACTATATCTAACGATCTGTCACACTTCTGACATGTTTCCTCCATTCCCCACGATCCCCATTCCTAAGGGTGAAATACATTTTGCCTAGCTCTCCTTAATGATAAATACCTGTTTCTTGAGGGACAGTTCTCTATTGTTTTGCTCCAGCTCCTTACGGGCTTCAATCAAATGCTGTCGTAACTCTTCATTGTAAGAGCGCAGATTCAGCTATAATTAAGTTAAAAGAAGAACAAATCTTAAATTGGCCTGCTTTGCAACGCAAGGAAACACGGAGCACGTTATTTTCATGGCGAGAAGGAAACTACCAAAGCAGGTTTCATTAAGAAGTCTTCGAACGGAAAAAGAGCTTTCTAAAAATGTGGTGGTAACGTTTTTCAACAAATCTACAACTTTATTAGTTACCAGCGCCTCCCGGGCAGGACTGTCAGTGGTTGATCGAGGACTTTCACCAACATAACTGTTTGACAAATTCCTAAAAGAAAAAAAATTGGCTTCATTTTAGAAAGAAGTATTCTAAAATTACCGAGACTCTATTTACAAATGAAACCGATTAGGTATTGAACATCTTAGCGGGATTTTCGAGTTGGTATGATTGTCTAAAGTAATTCAGGATTGCAGTGGTTTCTCTTTGCCACGTTGTGAACGTTCGTCAAGAAACCCTGCGTCACTCTTTCAACCAATCAGATGAGAATTAGGCGGTAATGTTACTCTCCAAGCCCTCATTGGTCACTTGTGCTTTTTATCTTTGAACTAATTTGCTGGCGGGAATATTTTATTTGGCTTTAATTTCACGACCCGGTCAAAATGCACTCCCCTGATTTGTAATTACCTCACAGGGGTAGTGTTAGCAGAATCTCCAAGCAACGCGGCCGTTTTCCGACACTCCTCTGTGAGTTCCATAGCGGTCTCTTTCTCGGAGGTTTCTGCCAATGCGGTCAGCTAAATAAATCAAACAAGTGAGCTGTTAGCAATTACCAGGTTTATACAAATATCTCTTTTTTCCGTTGAAAGTTTTCATCGATAAAAGGATATCGTCACTTCTTTGTCGAAAGTTGTATTGAAAGGCTAATGTACTGTATGGGCCGTCTGTCGGAATATATAAAAGAGTGGGATCAATATCAGTATCTGGGCAACTGTTTTTGAATAAGGGGAGGGGTAGGTGGGCAATTGCCCAGATACTGATATTGATCCAAAGAGTGGTGGTCAAAGGAAATGCTACTGTAGTATTGTACACTAATTTCTCTATTACCTCCTGTATTTTATCCCTCATCTTCACAATCTCTTCTTTAGCCTCACTTCTAACATGAGCCACAGCGTTCACTTTTTCCTGTTCAGCCTGCAGGTTCAGTTCTCGCAACCGTTCAATTTCCTGTAAGGCAGGAACACTGTGATCAAACAATATCAAAATTGCCTCACAACCAGAGTTTAGAGTTAATAAGCTGAGAGTACGCGATCAAATAACATTCCTAAAGTCCGTCCAAAGGTAAGGAGCTAAATCATCGGCGTCAAGAGCGCGCACAGTTTTCCCGGTTTTCTTCGTAACACCCAAATTCAAAGTTTCTAGTTACCGAGAGTGATTATACCCGTAATTTACTGCGCCAGAAAAGTTGTCCTCTGTTGAAGGAGTTGCATCACTATATTTCGAGTGGGGCTTTAGATACATGAAAATGATTGTTGATTAAAAGAAACTGATTCAATGGGTAAATAAAGACCAAAGGAGCAAAAGAAAAATAAAAGGGAACACAAATGGATGGCAATGGAGTAAAAGGGCACCGATTCGAAAGATTAGGCATTTTTTGAAAGAAACAGAAGCGGCGACAAAGCTCCTTAATTCTTTAAGCCCCAAAAGTGTGAAACGCTAATCATGATGTGTCAACACAAATGACTCTGGTTACTGGCAGGGATAGACGACTTTCTTCCACCAACCTTTTTTATTTTATTGACTGAAGCATTAAGGTGATGGTGCCCTTGTCTCTCAGCCTCCAGTTCCTCTCTCACTTGTTTCAGTGCTGATTCATATTTGTCGCGTATTTCCTCCAGTTTGGCCTGGTGCCGAGCGCGCTCACGGTCTGTTGACTCCCGTTCCTTTTCCAGAGCATTTCGAATCTGCCAGAAACAACGATCAGCCATTACTCATAATTTTTTTAAAAATATTTTAGGGAAACAGTCCAAAGAGCCTGATAACAAAAGATCGACATCATTCTTTCGGCGTTCCACGACCGTTTTAGTTTGTGTAATTACACGCTTGATGCTTTTGACATTGCTAATCATGGTAGTATGCAGGATGCTAATCACATATGAACCTGACATGCGGCTCAGTAATTTCATCGAGTTCTCTTTAGCTCACTAGTGGCGCATCAGTCTACAAATGCCAAAGATTTAAGATCTGAATCCTTGTCGTGCCTTGATTACTCGCGTTTTCCCGCGCTTTGCGCAGTTTACTCGTTTTTCTAATTGGTTCTCATTAATATTTCCCTTTTCTGATTGGCTGTTGGTTTTGGTTTTACGACAGTCAATCGAAAGGCGCTTTACATGGAACCTTCTAGAGCTGAAGATCATCTACGACGGCTAGAATAGGAACAAATCTTACTAGCCATAACTTTGAAATCGTGAGGGGTACCATCAGGTTTAAAATTAGAGAGCATTGAACCTTGGCTTATCATCAAGAGTAACATAAAATCGACGTGTTGCAGGGTACGCTATGTTTTTAAATTGCAATCTTTCTGTAAACTCACATGCTCCTGTGCTTCGTTTCTCATCCTCTCTCCCAGTAATCTTGTGGCGTCTTCTTGCTGACGAACCAGGCCTCGCAACATTACAATCTCATCATCTTTATTCTGCCAGAGAAAGGAAAGAGTTCCAGGAAATTGTTTGAGGGGAACTTGTAAGCCTTTTATTCAGTCCGTTTCAGCGGAGGTCGAAAAGGGAATTAAAAATGACTTCATTAGCCTTTGGGTCAACAGTGACAGTGGTGTATCGACAATTTCAACAAGCTCATCCGTGTAAGTAGGACTGACCTGACTTTACTAGACAGCTACAAGCCCTCGGTTGTCGTACAAGAACTTAATAATGCCCTTCTCTTACAGAATCGCTAATCGTTCGCTCGATTCAGTTACTCGAATACTTAACGGGGTGTCTTCTGCTTACCTTCATAACCTGATTGAGCTCTTCAGACAGAGAAGCAGACTTTTCCTCGTGTCTTTTCAATTCCAAAACTTTCTCTTCTAGGAGCTGAAAGATTGAAAACACGCTTCAGTCAGGAACAGACTACAGGCAAAGCAATTTCCACCAACTATTCAATTCACCATAACAAAATCAACTAACCTGTTCGGTTCTTCTTATCTTCTCGTGAAGAAATGACTCTTTTTCGTTCAGAGAGTCGATCTGAAAATAATTCAAAGATTGCAACCCATGAACAAAGATCGACGATACTTTATAGCAATATGAGCACATTTCATTAAATTTGCCCATGCTAGATAAAAGTTGCTCTTTTTCTGTTCAATTGTGACCCAAGAAGAAATGTGTCGTTGTTGGTTTTCGTGGAGCTTCCCGCGTTTGGCATTTATTGGCCCATTGCGTTCTGAGCAGATGTACGTCAAACTATAAAATTTTCAACAAACCAGAAAATAAGAAAAAACTGTTATTCGATTTCACAAGATTTTTGCATGTTTGCTTTACTCCAAGCATTTACATTTTTGTGGGAAGTGAAACTTTATTTAAAGATTCTTGTACCTCAATTCTCAAGGACTTGGCGTGTGTGTCTTGTTTTGCCAAGTTCTCTTTCCATTCGCTCTCACAATCAAATAACTTCTGTTGTTCTTGGAATACTTGAGTCTTGAGTTTTGCTATTTCCTCCTCGTACTCTTTCAAGCTGCTCTGTAAATGAGTTATTGTGTGGTCTTGTTCCTATGATGAAGTAAAACGTCGTTGCGTTTAGCTATCCTGTAACAACTCTCAAACATTATCGTTTCCCTGTTCTTGGCTTTCAGTACGTTACCGAGGCCTGATAGCAGCGCAGCAGAAGAGGGGAGGTCTGGGTGGGGTCGCGTACCTCGATCACTACGCCCCTTCTCCGCCCCCTTCAAACAGCTTAACAAGTACAAGTACGCTAGCTATGATCAGACGAGAAGCCTCAATGCCGAGAGGGCGGAGGGTGAAGGAGTTAATAGTATAGGAAAAAAAAGGAAAACAATTTTTTCACGTGCCGTGTTTTGGCGTAGGTGTGACTGACTTTCGTTCAATATCTACGCTGTTTAGAAGAGGTGAAGATTCTAATCATCATTGTTTGCTTTAACATCAAATTCTCAGATTTTAAGTCAAACAAACGTTGAGGCAACCATAAAGTGGAAGAACTATCTAGATCCTATAATTGAAAGGGTTCAACTTTTCAACGCCAAGCAAGTTTTCTGCGGAGAAGTACTGGACCATGTTTCTGATTGGATGGATGGATAACTATACCTGTAACTTTTTATTAAGTCCTTCTGTATCTCTTCGATTTTTTTCACGCAGCGTCTCCAATTCCATTTCTTTTTCCTGTGCAACAACAACAAAAAATAAATTTAAAAAATTTTAAAAAATTAAAAAACGGACAGAGAAATGGTCTTTCATTTTGTATTCAAGACTCAATCAGTGATAATCCAGCAGGGAGAACGAAAGAAATGACAATGAAACATCCCCTTCAGGAAAATAAAATAATAATAATAATAAACATTAAAAGGTTTATACTCCTGCAAACTACATTGTAGGCTGTTACCTTAAAAATTTTGTAACTTTTGAGAAGTAGTTAACCCCTTATACACTAACATCAGTATGCATATTCTCCATACTGTTCTCTACAAATTTCGTAACGTCCTGAAAAGGAGAATTTTTAAAAATAGAGAGCTTTTTTATTTCGAGCTCATTTCCTCAATTCTCCTGGCTTTAATGTTTGATTTAAGGGTGACATTGTGAGGAGAGATTGGATGCCAGTCACTCTTAGGGGTTGAAGCATTAAAAGGAAAGAAATGTTGGCTTCCGTGTTATCACTCACCCTCGCAAATCTGTTTTTTAGCACTTCGACTTCCTTTTCATGCATCTCTTTTGATTCATCTTGTAGTTTATGAATGGCATTGATTCTTTCGTAGTGAGAATCCCGAGCCTTCTGACGTTCGTCTTCAAGTTGCTATAAAAAGGAGAAGAAAGAAAATGTATCAACACAGCAGAAGATCATATTTGTTGTTCATGTGGTTCTGACGATGACTTCCACCATCCACTCAGGTTTCCAAAACGGCATTTCCTTTCCCCGACAAAATTCCTTTTCACAACTCATCTCACCCTAGCCATCACAATGTTTGATTGTTTGCTTTCTTACGCGAAATCGACTCCGATATACTTCACACTTTATACTACACCAACTCACATACCGCGCAAGATTTAATCTCTTCAAGGCTGTATTATGGCAACATTTCCACCAACCTGTTTGAGTTTTTCAACACTGTCTTTCGATGCTCGTTGCTCCTCTTGCAGTTGGTCTTGAGCTAGTCTAAGCTTTTCCACATATTTCTGTTTTTCTTGAACAAAATTGCTCTCAGCGTGTTTAAATTGAGATCGTAATGACTCCACTTCGCTTTGAATTTTATCTTTCTCTATGCTCAGCTCTAAGACTTTCAACTCGTTTCTCTTTTCGACTTCAACAACTTGTTTCGACTCTTGTTTCTGTTTAGCGAGACAGTTTCGGAGCTCTTTGATTTCATGTTGGATGTTATCTCGCTGTAGTTCAAGGTCCATAAGTTGAGATCTGTGATGTACAACATATAAAATAATGTGTCAGACACGACACGAGTAAATTAATTTTCAATGCGTCGGCGCCAGAAATACACCCGGAGGACGCTAAGCAAAGAAAGTGAGTGTCCACTTCCCCCTCCCCTCTCCTCCCACGGGGCTTACAGAACCAGGATAAGACCAACCTAGCCGAGATTGGAGCCATTTGTGGTTACGGTTTATTAACACGTTATAAGCTTGACAAACCAAAATAAAGTTGAAGCATTCGACAAACAAAGCTTGCCTAGTTTTGGTTGCTTGTTGCCTGTACTGTTCCACCAGATTTTCGGAAGAGTTGACTTCAGCTTTATTACGTGTGATCGTTTCTTCAAGAACTTGAATTTCTTGTATAGCAATCTAATTGGAGGATAAGATGACTCTAGTTTAGTAAGGCCTCTTTATTGTCTCTATTCTCTTTAAAAAATCAAAGATTTACCTTTTTTCTTGATGCAGCTTCTTCGAGCTCAAATTCTACATTTCTAACTTCCTGTAAGCTTCTGTTAAGCTTTCTTTCATTCTCCTGCAACTATAATAAAGAACAACCCAGATCCACTTCAGAGGAGAAGGAGTAAACGTCAAGCCAGGACTACATGTGCCCCAGAAAAATCATCGCAAATAAACGACTGCTTAATGATGTACAGATAGACAGTCAACCTTTTACACTCTATGATCAGTATGTTTATTCTCCAAACTGTTCTCCATACATTTCCTTAAGTGTTGACAAGAAGAATTTTGACAATCAAGAGTTTCTTTAGTTGGTGATCATTTCCTTTTTTTCTCATGACCTTAACGTGTGAATTAGGGGTGAAGTTTGGTGGAGAAATTAGACTTTACTCAGTATGATCCTCCCATACCTCCCATCTATCAGAGGAGAAGGCAACATAGAGATACATGCCAGGGTTCAGTTGTTCCAAGGGTGGATAACGCTATCCAACAGATAAATCACTATCCAGCGGATGAGTTTAAAAAAAAAAAAAAAAAAAAAAAAAAAAAAACCAACTGCGCAATGAAAGAGAACTGTTCCTGGGTTAAATCAACATCCTTGTTTTTTTTTTTTGGAATATATTATAAGTTAAAGAAATGGAATTTTCCTTAAACCTCTTACCTTAAGCATTATCCTCTGGGTTTCTTTTTGCACCTCCACCTTCTCTGCCTAAGAAATTGAACATACTTGTAATATTTTTTATTAGAGTAATGGCTGTTAAGAAACCTTTTTTTTCCATAGTGAGATAATGACATTGTGTTTTTGGCAGGTGACGCAGAAAGGAATGATGTATCAAATAGGGTTAACAGGGAAATATGTGACTAAGTGTACTGAGGTGTGTCTTCTTATCCTGGATAAGTTTCTAGTTCATTTAGGAAAATCCCTCAGCATCTTGTAAGGTTTCTCTGACAGATTGCTGGTACCATTTATATTTAAATTTCAAACCTGGTTTCTTTATTCCTTTGTTAAAAGCCTTCTTCAGATAATTTTCTCTATTTCTTTTCAGAACATCTTATCATCAAATTGTAGACAAAAAAAGTTAAATTGAATTTTTTTCAAAGCTTTCAGATCTGAAATCATATTTAACACTAACCCTGGGTTTTCTTCACCCAGCTTTAAACCTGGCCCTGAGTGGAAAGGGGAACTGTGAGTATAAAATGTTTGGCTAAAGAACACAGAAAGAACCCTGTTGCCGCTTGGGCCCAGACCTCTAGATCAGTAATTCATCCCCTTTAGTTATAAGGAACTCAAAAATTCATTTGGTCTCCTTGACTTGTTACCTTTAGGTGTTAACTATTTACAAAGCAGGTAATAACAACTGAGTGCGGGCCCTTGTTTCCATACAGGAACCTGAATATCAAAACTAGTAGATATTCAATTCTAAATGGTTTAACCCACCTGAAAAGCCTTGGGTGATGAAAAGACAGGCTCAAGTTTTTGGTGAGGAGTTGATGTCATAAATCCTGCAGGTGCTGGTCCATTGTCCTGATAGTCCAACCTTCTGGAACTCTTACTATCAGAAAACTTCTCAACATTAAACCTGCAAACCCAAGGACAACAAGAACCCTTCAGTACAAAATGGTTTTCTAGATGGAATTTATAGGCCATCATAATTACCGCTGCTCAGTCCTGTTCCTGTGTGGTGATGAAAAACTTTCATCTGTACGATGATGAGATGTCCCTGCAAAAAATGTGTGTATATGTTATATAGTCAGATGCTTTACCACTGAGCTGTATAAAACTTGTTAGTGGTCTCAGTCATATCCTAAGTTCAAACATGACAAGAATCCTGCATACAGATTCAGATCTCCTGTGTGTGTTTAAAGGTGAATAAAGTGCTACATCTAGCTCAATTAGCACAGGTGTAAAAGACAGCCAACTGTTGGTTAAGCAAACTAGTGCTCATTTTCTGTTGTGTACAGGCACCCAGTGCACTCACACCCCACAATGTTGCGATGTTAAAGTTCTATTGCTCCCAGGGTGTGTTGTATGGGGTAGTAATAAGCTATAACATGCATTTGAATAAGCTGAGTTATGTATGTATTTTAATTGGTGCTTACTTGTGATCTATTGAAGGAGATGCAGACACAATGTCACCATTAACAACCTTTTGCTTCTTTATAAGATTGTATGTTACCATGTGTCTCTTCACAAATAGATCACAGAAGATTTCAAAACATGGTAAGAACATCAGCAAGCCAATTTTTTTTTTTTTGGTGGACACCACATTTAGATGTCATGTGTGATCTCTAACTGAACAGATGCAGTCAGCAACACAAAATATGTTTGTTAATTATATAATGATGGCTGCATTCCATAACCTACAACAATCCTCACCTCGCTGCTTTGATGAAGACTGTGATTTTACTCTCTGTTCATAATTATGGACAGTTTCTCTGCCTAACTCATCTTGATTTTGCACTGGTATCATCCTTCTATTTTGAGTATAATTCATCTCATCATTGTGATCATAATAATAATCTCTTTGCTCCTCAGTATTGTCACTAGCATTGTCATCATCATCATCATAGTTCATTGCTGCTCTAAAAGCAGAGGTCTCCTTGATAAACTCACCATCTGTTGCCACACGATGGTCGCGCTGCTTAATTTCTTTCGATGATGTTATTTCATCTCTAAATCGCACCTCTTTACGTTGGCTAGTTGATCTATGTCCTCTAGCTGCTGTTGACACACTGGACTCAAAGGAGCTGCTTTGATCTGTTAAGGTCCCACTGTTCTGTTCCTCTGTTCGTGACTGCACTTGTGGTGAAATGGATTGTTGAAGAGAGTGCTGTGTAGCGCTACTAGTGTGACTGGGAGTTCTCCTTTCCTCAAGATGACTGTCAGATCTAGAAACTGTTAAAATAGGAATCTTGTAAAACAAAATATGTTTGAATCAAGTCAAGACTGATGTTTTCATAACAGGTTTCATGATGAAGTGACAGCCTCATCTCAAACATTTCTCTATCTTCTTTTCTGGGTCTGAAAATTTAGTCCAAGATTTTAGGTCCCTTTGATCAGTACAATGGATGTTTTCCCCAAGTTTGAAGAAGCTTTTTACTTTGCCTTTGCCTCAAGTTAACTTTTCCAAAAGTTGCACACTTTTTAACTTGTTTCTTTCTGAAGTTATCATCATCATCAGCATCATTTTCATTCAAGTGCACTAGTTAAGTCTGAAAATGTTCCACTCTTTATCCAGCAAGCCAGGAGAATTTGCTATAAACTAAAAAGAGTCTAAACCTTTAACTATACTCTGTACATCCTTACCTTCCTGGACACTTGCTGATCCTGACGTAGAACTCTTAGACTGACCACTACAAGAAATCATATGCAATCAACTGACTACCCACACATATGAGTAAAATTATGTGGTTGCCCTCAGAGAAATCAAAGGTACTCAGAAATAGTTGCAAAACAAATAAACATTTTCTGATATCCTGGGCTCACAATTGTAGAGTATTGTTTAGTTCCAGCACACTCTCCATCCAACCACTCCCCTGTCCCCCTTAGAGCAAGATTCCAGACAACTTGGAGTTAGTGGATGATTCAGAATCATAGTCCAGTTATTAGACAGAAAACCCTAACACTGTTAAACCTGTTAACACTAGCTAAATGCTAAATTCCACTGACTGGTAGTATCAGTCAGTTTGTCTCAGTATTACATATTATCTTGGGAATCAAAGGGTTACTTTCTCACTAGGCAAACCTTTAACTTCTTAAAGTCAGTAAAATAAATCATCAGAATATTTGTAAGTATGTTATTAAACAACTGTTAATGTGCTAGCATCAGTTTTCTTACCCAACTTTCAATGTCCGCATGTACAAGGGCTGTCTTTTCACAATACGATTATCATTATTTGTAGAGATGTTAGTCGACATGATTAGCTCATTTCTAGATCAGAGTGATGAGAAGTTAAATTCAAAGAATCAGGAATGGTTAAATATTGGTTACAATCTCTTTCTTGTACTGAATTCATAACAAAATGCCAAAAACTGTTAATGGTTCAAACCCAGGAGTAATGCTTAATTGTGTTACCACTCTGCCATGATTATTACAAATGATGTTGAAGAATGATATAAATTAACTGGACAGAGTATTGATCGAGTTTCCTGAGGCCAAAATGAAAGAAAATGTAATGGCTAATCGGCAAGAGTACAATTATTACAAGGAAATAATAAAGATTCTGACAAGGAGTAAGAACATGCTAATGGTCTTGAATGTGGGAGAATATGAGTTATCATGGTTTAAATAACTTGAGTTTTGTTTCTGATTGGTTGTGAGTGACATAAAGCAAAACCAATGTAATCCTTGATAAGCAGTTTAAACCAATCTAACTCACCTGGAGGAGCTGTAGTAATTATCCACCTGACCACCAAACAGCTTGGATAAAAGTTCTGCTCCTTCTCTTACTTTGTCATCAAAGTATTCTGTACATATTAAAACATTTTCCGAAGTTAAAAGAATTTCTTTCCTTTCCTCTTTTGTAAGATGTCTGCCAAACAAGCTTGGACATGTAATGCTGAATGAATTAAGCAGATTCTTTTAGAGGAAGGAGATAAAGCTTTGGAAAGTTACTCACCATTTGTACCAGCATCATAATTCACAGCTAAGTTAAGTTCCTTGAGCTTCTCAGTGAAATCCTCCTCATCCTCATCCTGCCCTGCCATCAGATCTTCAGTTGCCTCAGACATTTGACTTTCTAAATCATTTGATTCTGTTTCTACAAACTTTTGCTCACCATTTACTAATTCTAATGATATCTCTGAGTCAATTTCCCAGTTGTTCTGATTGCCAGGAATATAGTGTTCACGTAATAGTGACCTACCAAACTCAACTTGCTTTCTCTTTGCATTTGCTTTGTCTCTTGATGGGGGAATTAATTGCGATGATTTGTATGGTGATTCAGACTTTACTTTTGGACTACCAATGACATTTTGATGTGCATGAATTGATTTGTGACTCTCTGGTGACTGAAAGTTACCTACACCATGTGGATGCTTGGCAAGGTTATCTGGAACTTGTTTCTTGCTTTTTGGTGTCCTTTCACCATCTTTATTGTATCTTGCTGGTTCTGAGCCATAACTAGTCTGAGGTGTTTGCCCCTTTAAATTTTCTTTTGGCGCATAATTCTGTCGAGGTTGTGACTTCTTATCTACTTTCGTTTTGATGTTACTCTTAAATGATTCTTCTGCAGAAGATTGCTTTGGTTTGCTATTACCGGGTGATCTTTGTATAACATCCTGTCCTTTCCCCGGTTTAGTATTCCTTCCCTTTCTTTGTGGAGATCTCAAATTACTAGAGTTAACTTGCTGTAGTTTTTGAGGTGAACATTGAGGTGACGAATGGTAGGATTTACCAACAGATAATGGGATTTTTACATTTTCATGAGCATGGATGACATCATCATCATCTATTTCCCTGATAGAGACATTCTGACCAAGAAGAAATTCTGTATCATCACTGCATATAGATATGTCAGAGTGTCCACTAGTATCTGCATCCATCATAGCTCTTTTTCAAACAGAATCATCTGGAAGAGAACAAAATCATAGCCCTGTATGAGTCAAGCTATCAGCCATCATTCAACCAAACATCAATAGATTTTTCAAATTTTTTTTTAAATCTGTTGGTCACCAATTGACAATTTTCACCAAAATATTAGTTGCCAAATATATTTTTCACTTGCTATGGCCACCAAAATGGTTGCAAAATGGAGCACTGTTACTATTAAGTGTTACGTAACGTAATGAGTGTCAGAAGACCTGATGTCTAGAAGAAATGCAGAAGAGTTGTTGCCTACAATTCTTTAACTGTCAAGATCTGATTGCTAATTAGCTATGAGAATTTGCTGCTGAAGATAACAACTTCTACCTGATAAGTTTTAATATTCTCAATACCTGTTTGCTGGATGATTTTCATGGTTACATTAGTGATGATAAATAATAAACCCTTCTCAAGCAGTGATTAACAGTCATTGGTAATTCAGTAACATGTCATTTCAGCCCTCAATAAAGGATCAAAGGATGGTATAAATTAACCGCATAGGAATTTATGTCTAGCATGGCATTGTATATATAGAGTTGTGCCAGTGCATGGTGGAGAGCTATATAAATGATAACAATGACTTAACCTATCTATAAAAAGCATGTCTAGCAGTTCTTATGTGAGTAGAGGAAATAATAATCCTTCAACTCAAAAGCTCTCAGAAAATACTGAATTCAAACATAATTTGAATATGTAGGGAGTACTGTCTGCCAAAGTGACTCCAAAACAATGGCACTGTTTGCACTTCAATGATTTCAACTGACTGCTGTCATGAACAGAACAATAGTTTTCATCAACAACTAGATTAAAGTGATAATAACTTGGTTTAAGAGCCAGAATGATTAACTTTATTAACCTGTTAAAGCCATCTTTGTAACACCAGTGTCATCCATAAAAGTTAAATCTACATACAGTTGTCTTGGAATTTTATTGTTTTTACTTTTACAAAAATTAAGATTTTTTTCTGGCGATCAATTTAAAAGCCCTTTAGGCAGACCCCCTTGGAAATTATCCCACAGACACATCAAAATAATTAAAATTACACTAAATATATTTGTCTGAAAATGTATTATAAAATTTATCAAAAAGCTTAAGGGTTTTGTGAAAATTAATTGTTTACTTAAAGGGGTTTACTATCAACTTGTTATTTTCAAATAGTACACAAGTTTTAGCTTTTCTTCACTACTGATTCCTTGATGGATGGTTGACCACAAGGGAAAGTTAGTCAAAATATCATCAAACAAGGAAACTCTCGCCTTATGAAATACGATCAGATATTCAGATATATAACGACGTAAACATAACTACTTAAATTTCTATGTGCCTGACTCGTGAACGCGTGGTAATAAGTACTAAGTTGAGACGGAGAAAGATTTAGACTGCTTTAAGAAATGAGGTAAAAATCTTGTTTGATTACTTCGTTATTTAACAAATCACAAACAAACGAATTGTCGTCTGTTCAACAATCAGAATTCTATAAGTACTATGGGTCTCAACGTCCATGAAATTGGATCCAAGCGCTCCAGCTGAAACGATCGAAATGCAACAGTAGTAATTACTCTGGAGGGTCTTGTAATTTACAGCTTAGTCAATCAAACTGTCGATTTATCAGATAAAAATCTTGGCAATATCAAGTATTTTGCGGCGAGTTGTATTGTTCCCGATGAATTAGCGTGCTAGCACTAATTGGGGTAGAAACGAACGGGAAGCCAAAATGTACTAAAAGCTTGTTCAAGAGCTAGAACAGACTTCCAACCTCACCACTAGACGAAGCGAGTTCAGTTTACTTACCTAATTTCCCTGTCTCGATGGTTTAAGGCAATGCTTTGTTCCGCTGTTCAACGGCCAAGTGCTATTGAAAGTAATTTGAAGAGTGTAAACGCTTGGTTACCACGTCCCGTTCGAAGACAAGCTCTTGAGCGCGGGACAGATGTTTGCACAAAGAACGGAACAATTCACCACAGAGATGTCATGTCAAGCCCAGTGGGAGTCTAGGATCAGCTACCCTTGGTTGATCAATGAATCGATTTCTTTACAGACGGATAATTTGTGACTTTTTTTCAAATGGGGGAAAAGTACCCGCCACTATCTACCAGATTCGTTGATCGAAGCTGTCAGAATCAATCAAGTTTGAAACACGATAACGAAAGGAGAAGCACTGGGAATGAGTTCATTTTTCTAAGTAGGGAGGGGAGGGTAAATTTGGTATAAACCGTTTTGCTGCGTAGCCGTGCCTTCGGTTAGTACTTCCCATTATAGCTGTGGGTTGTGGGTTTCCTTGGAAAGTTTCTTGAATTCGTTATCTCATGTTCTACCACAGACACGATATTTATCACTCACTTAGCCCTATTTTAGTCACCTGTTCTTGTTGTTATGTCATTTGCCTCTAACGGAGTGGCGAATCCAAAGGTTGCGTCTCAAGCAGAAGGGGCAGGAGAAATTGCGAGCCAAAGTGACGACAAAATGATTAATGTTGTGCGAGGAAACAACGTGCGGGCCTACGTGACCGTGGTAGTGTTATTTATCATCAATCTTCTGAATTATATGGACCGACAGACTGTAGCAGGTACGGTATTTAACATAAGCAAGCAATTTATCAGAAATAATGAAGCTAGATGGCCTGTCCAACGACTTGCTTTAACTCCTTTACTTGATGCGCAAGTCTTTATTGTAGAGGATATAAATAGTTTTTAACAGAGTATGAAAAATTATGTGAGACTAAGATCTGATGGGAAGGAAACACGTTTGAAACTGGTAAGGAACTGAAATGGCTGATTACGTCCTGGAGGAGTTATGGAAAATGAAATTGTTAGATGGGTATTAAGTTACATTGCTTTTAGAATCCATAAGTTTGTCCATTTGCAATATCCATGCACAATTATGATAGATTATTCTATCACAGATACATTTGGTGGATTACTCACTGGAAATATTTGTAGAAAAACCTATTTCTCCAAGAGCCTCAAAATTACAAAAATGACACTTACTTCTGCAGAGTTCAATTCTTAAGTATTACATTGTGCAAAATCCGAAGCTGGCACCATGATATTAGGAGTTTAAAATTGAGTTTGTTTGTTTTTTTTTGTAAATAATAGTTTGTTACTGCTTGCAAAGAGTTTGGCTGTATATAATGAATCATATTGTTCTATAGGCCTTCTAGATGGCATCCAAAGTTATTTTGATATACAAGACAACAATTCAGCAGCTGGCTTGCTGCAAACTGTCTTCATCTGTAGCTATATGGTTCTTGCTCCAGTGTTTGGTTATCTTGGAGATCGTTACAGGAGGAAGTATCTTATGGCAGCTGGAATACTTGTTTGGTCTGGGACTGTTTTTGCCAGCACTATGCTGAGCAAAGATGTGAGTACATCCTTTAAATATTTAATACCTCAACGCCATTATAATCACCAAACAGTTAACAGTTACACACTTATTATGTACTTTTTGACAGAGTGGGGGCACCATAGATAATAACCAGTTTTTCATTTTATTAGTTTTTTTTTTTTGGTAGTTAAGCTGTGCGAGTGTAGGGCTGGACAGCTTTTTCTGGATCTGCCTATGTGAACCTGTCCAGCCCCGCACACATCAGCTTTCATTAAATTTTTCTATAGGATTGCATGTGCAAGGCTGCACAGGTTATATGATTAATTTTGTAATCCCTGAATATTGCTTCTTTTAAGCATAAATCCCTAAAGGATGCAAAGTGAATACAACAGATACAATGAGCTTATTATTTCATGTTGGTTTTAAAAAAAGAAAATCACCAATGAATTTGCTCCAAATGTAACTGATATCTGTAATTGATTTTAAGTCTAAACAACAACAACAACAACAACAACAACATTTATTTATTTTAGCAATTTAAATACATATCTAACAATTCCTACCTGCAAAACAGCGAAGCTAATTGAGGTGGGAGGGAAACAAGCATTAACCCTTTAACTCCCATGAGTGACCAAGGCAGAATTTCTCCTAACAATATCAATACAATATGAATCAGATAAGTGACGAGAATAAAGAAAAATGTAAACTTGAGAAAAATCAAGGGGTCGTTCTTGCTCTGAGCCTTTCAATTAGTTGATCCAATACTAAATTCTTAGAACTAACATTATAAGAATTGTATAATTGACAGTAAGGAGAATTACAAATTTGAACTGGGAGTTAGAGGGTTAAAATAAATTCTTCAATAACAACATTTTTACACAACTATATCTTTTCATTTGCCATGGGGATGCATCCTTTGGTATGAAGACAAAATGAGAGAAGGCAAAAGTTGTGGAATTTTTATCAGTTGCTATAGGAATGGTGTGATAAATTTCAGGCTGAGAATTACTCAGCATTGTTAGTTTTTAGTTTAGTTGTGAAAATGCTAGTAGAAATTATACCATTTTAGGTCTTCATTATGATACTTGTTGGTTTTTATCTTTTAAGTATATATTTTCACACACACTTTCTAATGGGCACTGCACTCCTGGTTGTAAAGTGCTTATGTAAAATGTTGTTGTTGTTGGTATAGAAATTAGTTGAATGTTGTTGTTGTTGGTATAGCAATTAGTTGAAACCAGTGGTAGACAAACTTTTCTTGATTACTTTATATACAGTCTTTTTGGTGGTTCCTTGTCCTAAGAGGTGTAGTTGGAATAGGAGAGGCCAGTTATTCTACAATAGCACCCACTGTCATTGCTGATCTGTTCACTGGAGATATGAGGACAAGGATGTTGTCATTCTTTTATTTTGCTATTCCTGTGGGAAGGTGAGCAAGGATGATCATGAGACCAAGAAATGAAGCATTATTAGTTCTTAAGTGCACAATAGTACATGGAGTTAAAATATTCTTTAACTAATAATTTAAAATCTATCAGATGTAATTTCCTTTGCACTGATTTTGCAAGTAAAGAGGAAATTGTTTTTTGTCACTCCTGAGAGTGAAGAGGTTAAACTATTCCCCTGCTACTACTTTTCTTAATGGAAACCTTGCACATAGCATTGGTATTGTTGGGTAATCTTAAACTCAGTCTCTTGTTTGGCCATCAGTTTTGGCTATGCTATCATTTATTTTGAACATTTGGCATTACGTTCTTAGGTATGTAACTTAACATTTCATTTTTCAGTGGGCTTGGTTACATAGTTGGAACTGAGGTTGCTGCTCTGTTTGGCCATCAGTGGCAATGGGGACTACGAGTAAGTTTCTTCAGCTGATAAAGTGCTGATAGAAATTGTGGGATTAAAGCAAACTTTCTCTGTTTAATGTTGTTAACTGTGGTAGATGTTGTGTAGTTTAATGCAGTTTGACAAGGTTACATGTATATCTAGATTCTGTCTGTGAATCATTTGTTTAAAAGTTGATCTGGTAGTAGCTTTCATGATCAAATTCAAAGCTGTGTTTTGTTTGCATTTTTTAAAACTACAGCTTTGTTCATTCCATTAGATTTTTTAGCCAGTGAACCTCAGAAGCTCTATCAAAGACAAACACTTAAATTGAAAGAAGAGTAATTGTTATCACAGGTCAGAAATCATACAGTGAGTGGATAGTTGTACCCATATTCTTCCATTATTGTTTTATTCCCAGGTGACCCCCATCATAGGTGCAGTGTGTGTTTTCCTGTGCATATTTGTAGTTCATGAACCAAAAAGGGGTGCCATAGAAAGAGGAGAGAACCCTCATGGTGTCTCAGCTTCTGATGTTCATAACACAACCAGCTGGTGGGCAGACCTCAAGTATCTTACAACAGTGTAAGTACCATGCTAGTTGGTAGTCACCATAGTGGATCTGAGATTTTGTAACATGGTTCACTGTACTTTCTACTCAAATTGACAATTTCTCTACAATTTTTCTTTACCATCCTTTTCTGAGGAAGCCAACTTTCTCACTTGACTGTTATGATGGCTGTCAAGTTGTCAAAACATCATTCTATGACTACAACAGGCACCAGACCTTTTCAATGCCACTCCACCTTGACAATCAGACTTCACAATCTGTTGCATTATTGTTGTTTCCTTTGATTTGTTTGTCATCCTTGCTAAGAGATTGTTAGGAAGGAAAAGCTTAGGTTCCTGATGTGAACCTGACTCAATCAATCATTAAGAAATGCTTAATATTGAGAGTTTCTTTTTTTTTTTTTTTTTTTTTTTTATAGGAAAAGCTTTATTTGGCTGAATTTGGGATTTACTTGTGTTTCATTTGTGACTGGTGCCCTAGCATTTTGGGCACCAAAATTCTTGCTCTATGCAACAAGAGCACAAGGAATTTCAGAAACAGAATCAGAGTAAGTATTTCTTTTTTCACAGAAAGGATAACTGGGTCAGGTTGTTGGTAGGGACTGCAGTGCTATCAGTTCTGCTATTCAACAAAAAAGAGAAACTATTTCAACAAAAACAACAAAAAGTCTTAAAGAAATTATATGTGATCAATTCTATCAATTAGATTGCTTTGCCAGAAATCATATTTTTTTGGGTAAGTTGGCATTTTTGTGGAAGACACAAGCAACTTCCATAGAATGGCTAACAAAATTTTGTAGCTGCTGTATTTTCTAATCTCTCTCCTAGAAAAGAAAAAAAGTTATTGACATAATGATATGAATGTTATTAATAATGTTTTATTTTATCTACCATTTAAGGGTTAGCTTAAAGGTTGGAATTATTACCTGTGTTGCTGGTATTGTAGGAGTTTGGCTTGGCGCAGAGATTGCTTGGCGGTATAGAACACGAAATAGAAAAGCTGATGCTTTAGTATGTGCTGTTGCATTAATTGGGTCAGCACCTTTCCTCTATGGTTGTCTTGTGCTAGCATCTACAAACATCAAAGTTACATATGTAAGTAGAAATGGTTCATTAATGTAACCCTTTGACCCCTAAGAATTACCAGCATCCAGTTCTCCTTACAGTATCATCCCTGAATCAAACATTGACGTCATGAGAACAAAGGAAATGATCACTGTCTTAAGAAGCTCTTGACTGTTTAAAGTCAAGTCCCTGTAGGTAACAAAAAAATTTACAGAGAACAGTATGGAGAATATGCATAAAACTGTACTTATGATATGTCAGGGCATTGCAAAGGGTTAATTCGTTGTTCTTAGAAATTGTGTGCTAATAACATATTGTTTCTCTTCAAATACCCAGATTTGATAGTCATGTGTGCCAAGTAAAATTTTAATGTCCTGAATTATTATTGATAGTTAAATTTTGTTGCCTAATAAATTCCAGCCTGTTGTTGATTATAATTTATGTACAGTGAGTTACTTCCAATTGTTTTATTTGTTTGGTTACAGGCCCTTATATTCTTCGGTGAAGTTTTACTTTTCATGAACTGGGCACCAGTAGGAGACATGGTTTTGGTAAGATAAAGCCTAGATAAACTGTGACTTAATTGAACACCTTCCTGACTTTACTGGAGTTGGGAAAGAATGTGGCATCAATTGTTTCACTATTAATGATACTTCATTAAGTAGTAAGTTAACCCTTAAAGAAAGTTTTTAAGGAGAGATACTTGCCTGAAGTCAGTGTACTAAATTTTATTCACTACAAGGTGTTGGAAATACTATGAAAATTATTGTAAAGTTGTCTTATGGTACAAATGCTTGTTTTGTTTGTAGTATATAATAATACCTTCACGTCGATCCACCGCTGAAGCTGCTCAGATTCTTGTTTCTCACTTGTTTGGTGATGCAGGCAGCCCATGGCTTGTTGGAGAGGTAAGATAGCTGAATAGGGAATGCAAAACTTTAAATTAAAATCATCTTGTTGTTTTTTTAATTTCACTTAGGGAAATGTTTTTTCTTGCTTTGAAGTTGGATCGTAACCTCAACATTTTATTGTTTCCACAGATTTCTGATCGTATCAGAGGTGCAGGGAGTAGTGACAAAGATCGTGCACAAAGCATGGAATATTCTCTTTTGATGTCAACCTTTATCAGTGTTATTGGAGGATTCTGTTTCATAATGTGCTCAATTTATCTAGTTGATGATCGGGAAAAAGCAGAGCAGGTTACCAGAAATGAAGATGAGGATACTAATTCATTGTTAAACACAGTCCCCTCAGATGACTTTCTTCAAGCTGGTCATGAAAATGGAGCTGTGGACAATTGTAGTGATTACGATGATGATAATGATGATGATGATGAACTGTTGGATGACGAGCCAATCTCGCCTGCAATGTCTGAAAGAGAAGCATTGGTTGTCCCAGTGGATGTGCATGGTACACCACCAACAGCTGAGGAAGAACACAACTTCAAAGTTGTCTGATTTATAATTAAATATTAGTTTTTTTACAATTTATAATTATTCTTTTTTTTTAATGAAAAATGGTTGAAAGTGTAATTTCTCTAAGCAATTTTTCTGATTTGCAGTTTCCTCCTAATCTTGAACAGACATACAGGACATAAAAAATGTTCTGCTTTGAGGGAATGTTTTACAATTTGCTCACGTGTGAGTGTAAGGACAATACACAATGAGTTGTGTAAAAATCATAGCTCTGCTGAGACAAGAAAAAGTTGCTCAGAATGGTGACCCAGAATCCAAATTGTAAGTCATTTTCCTCATTTTCTTTAAACAAATCCATCTTCAGCAAGGAAAAAGTACTTGCTGTCCATATGAAAACAATTTTTTGGGGGAGGCAGAGGAGATAGTTGTACAGACATTTCCTTATACAGGTTGAATTATTGAAACATGAAAAGCTTAATATATATATTGTTTTGGTTGAGATTGTTTGGGGTTATCACTGACATCAACAACACTATGATAATCTCAGTGTCCATTCATGCATTATTACAAATAATCCTCAGCAGGGCCAGGGGAAGGGATATATACAATTACCTATCAGTGACATAGGAAAATGTTTTTGTAACCAGTACCATACTAACTGAGTTCAAGGTCTTAACCACTGTAAGTTAAGGACTGAGTTTTCTCCACATGGATTTATGGTCTAAACACAAAGCATATGGGCCATAAATTAGAATGGAAAAAACCAAGGTACAGTGGGGACTGAGAAAACGAAGTTGGTTTGATATTATATCTCTGAGTTTAAAAAAAGGGAAAAGATTTCAAAAATGATTGGAAATACATTCCACTAATTCAACCAATCATAGTTGACAACCAGTGTCATATTTTAGTGGCAAGATTAACTGCAAAATGGTTTATCTTGCCAGGTATCCTTTTTTTTTTCAGGCTTGTTCAATGACTGATATAAAAAAGTAGTATACATGTGATGATAAAATTTTTAGACTGTTAAATAAATGTGAAAAAAGCATAATTATTTTATTTAAAAAATCTTTTTATCTGTACATTCAATCATTTTCAATTGTAAGGTCTGCAACATTGAAAAACTCAAAACTTAATGGTACAGTTAATACTGTAGTTACAAAATAAAGGTACATGATAGACACGTTTAATAACAAGCAGTTGACCTTCTAGACTATGTACATTCATCATCATATACCTTGATCACAAACCAATAAAATGTTGATAGCTTGAAAATGATGTTCAGTATTCTGGAATTTCACCTCATAGTAACAGCACTTTTCATGAACAAATGTTGTTCCAGAGGGTTTGAAAGGTTATGTTCCTGGCTTGTGTTTGAAGGATTTTGATTCAATTGTTTGTTTGTTTTTCTTTTTTAGATAGCCAAACTTTCCCATCCAGCCCTCCCACTCAGTTGATTGGTGCATATTATCTTTTTTTTGGCCGTTTAAATTTTTAACATTGTTGACAACTTTTGGGCAAGGCTGATTGACTTTCACAACTGTCTTGTGTATGATGACTTCTTGCAGTTGTTCAATGCAGTTCATCTTCATCTTCTTCATCAACCTCTTCATCTGGAGCACACTATGGAGAGATATATATACTGAAAATGATGTGGATGTCAGCATCTATCAAAAAACATAGTAATTTGTTATGTGGGCTACAAAAGCTAACAATTATTGCCTTTTTCAGTTTAAAGAAGCAATATTTATAATAACATTTGAGAGTGAGGATGAAAAAACATTCATAGTTACATCACCAACAACATTTTTCCTCTTACTACTCTCTTACACCCTAACATCAGTATGCATGTTATCCATCCATACTGTTCTCTACACATTTCCTAACGTGTTTAGAAAGAGAACTTCTTTAACATTCAAGAACCTCTTTAGTTTGTGACCATTTCCTTTATTCTTGTAAGCTTACTGTTTGATTCAGTGGCCATATTGTAAGGAGAAATTAGATGTTGTTCACTCTGACTTGGGTGTCATTATAAGTAAAAGAGGTTGAGAGAGTAATGCACCATCTAAAGTGTGAATTTTATTAACCCTTTAAGTCCCACTAATGACCTTGACAGAATTTCTCCTTATACCATCTGTAGGATATCAGGCAGACAAGTAACCAGAGATTAAAAAAAATGCCAATTAGGGGATTATTGGTTGATCCAATTCCAAATTCTCCAAACTAACTGTATGGCGAACAGTAAGGACAATTACCAGTTAAAGGGTTAATAAGAGCCATTATCAAAGTAGGAGGTCCAAGAAAATATGTTAAAATAATGTGTATGAACGATTTGTGGAAAAAACACTCTAAATGCAATCCAATAAAACTGTAGTCCTAATGTTAAGTTGGAATTACATAATTTACAGGCAGAAACCAACCAAGTATTCCACAAAGCAGACCTGCCCATCTTCATTTACAATCATATACTGCATAGAGAGAAAACCTCTTCCATCCATTCTAATGGAGATTTTGCTTGAAAGCTGCAGTGCCTTGGTAGAAGGTTTCAAAAGGCTGATCCTATATCTATGAACACAGAGAGACTTTAACTCACATTTCAGTGTCTAAAATAATGTAGTTACTTCAAGGTTTGTACACATCTATTCAATCTAAGCAATTTCAAACATTAACAAGTAGTTTTTTTTATGGCAAGAAAAACTTTTTTCAAAATATCTCTTTACCATCATGAGATACTTAAGTTCTTAAGATAAGCAAATTAAAGCTTAGTGAGGACATAGTAAAGTGAACCAAATTTTGGTCTCATATGAAGACAAACGTACCTCTGAGTCAGCCAATTTGAGACAGACATTTTTTATTCTCTGCATTGATACTTGCATGTGATTAAATACAATTTTTTTTTTTTGCTTTTTTCACACACCTGTTTGTTTGTGTTTGTTGACATTCAAATGACTCCACCATATCAGAATCTTTTGGAAAATCTGACTGTAAGATAAAGTCAATTTTCATATTCTAGTAATTTCTATTTCTATGACAGTCTTGTTGACCTAACTGTTCACTGCCCTTCATCTCTCAGTAGAATAGTATTTATTCTCTGCTATCTACAGAGTGAAAGTTAAACATTTTCCAAGATCAAATTCAGCAACTGTCCTCTCTGGTTGTCAGGCATTTGCTTGTTAAAAAGACAAACTAAGTGGTGTTTTATCAAGATCATACCCTCTAGGTGATTATTTCATTTTCATGACCTGTTAAGGGGGGGCCTTTACACCCAAGCTTCAGAATCAATATTTTCCATACTTTTCTTTATACATTTCCTTTGGTACTGACAATGAGAATTTAGTCAAGAGAACTGCATATATTATATATCAACTGAAAAGCATCTTGGGATAATTTGGCATCCTGGCCCTAGTTGCTCAAAGGGCAGATAATGCTATGTGATGGATAAATCACTATTTGACATCTGACAGATAAGTGTTAGCCAAGTGAATGGTGCCAGCCACCAGATAGAAATTTATCCAAGGGAGGGTGTTATCTACCCTTCATACAACCAGGGCTTTACTTTTTTTATACATTTTCTTTAGTACTGACATGTAGATTTCATTTAACAATCAAAGCTTCTCAGGTTGGTGATCATTTAACAGATACACTTTCTATGATAGTACCTCTTGTTGTGGTGTGAACACTGAATATGACATGCTTAGACTAAGATCATCAAACCTTACATGGGTACTTCCTGCATATCCAAAGGTTGACAGTCTAAAGTAAGGGTTATCTGGTGACATCAGAATTTGCAGCACTTCACTTGTCATGTCTAGTTCACTGAAAGCCTCCTTCAAACATTCAGACTAAAATATGCAAAAATACATTTTTTTTATATAAATTTTATCAGCCATTTTAAAAATAAGTAGTGCAATATTTAAGCTAAGGCCTTGCAAAGTTGTTTCTGACAAGCTAATGGCAGACATACTTCAAATTGAAACAAAGATTCTACTGAACAAAAAAAGGGCCAGTTAGTTGCTTCAAAAACTTTCTGTATAAGAAATGTTATCTTTTCTTACTTTCATAATAATCTTGTTTAGAACATCTGCACCGCTAAAATCAAAATCCAATGTTTCGTCAGGCTCTTGGGTCTGAATGCTGCAATCTGTCAGGATGCCACCTTCCTCCAACCTGTAACATACAGCCAAAAGTAAAATTTCAGATAACAAACAAATACATTGATAAATACAGGTATGGTACATTGAATAAGACATGAATAAATTTTACAAACCCCTGTTACTATTTCAACCAAGAATTGAAACCTCAAGGGGTAAAAAAGAATCAGTGGGTTGCAGTAAAGTGCACTATAGCTATTGTATGCTACCTCTCCCCTGTGGATCTCTCCTTGAGGGAGAAGCATGATGAAGACCACTGAAAACCTCTCTAAATACTCACGTGAGAATAAGTGGTGAGCCATATCCTGCATAACACATCTTCATTGCTGTACAAGTTCTTGTATCTTTGGAGGAGCCAAAGATATTGAGACATTCCTAGTTACAAGAATAAATTAATTTCATAATTGTAGAAGACAATTTTCATAAGCACAGGTTTTTCTATATAATGTAAAAGATCCAATCTTCCTCATCTAAGGTATTAAGAATCGTCATTATTATTAGTCACTTTTTTATAAAAATCATATACAACAGGTGTGGCAGGACCCTGACAAAATGTAGAGGTACTAGAAAATGAGATCAATTTATTAATTTTGGTATAAAGCCATGTTAGGAATTTGTGAAATGGTGAGGGTGGCCTTGCATTAAACAGGCCTCTAGTCCAGCCGGAAGGGGGGAGGAGGAGGGGTAACAACATTCTTGTTCACTGAATGCATTTGAAACAGGATTGAACTCTGGCAGGATGGGGCTTCTGGTAGGTAAGATACTTTACCATACCATCGTTTCCAGTCATGGGGTCAGCAATAAAGTGGCAGTGATTAACATTTAACTTCTCATTATGATATCCTTACATCATCCACAAACAGGTAATGAGAATACTCAAACTTATCAGGAAGAAGTTGTTATCTTGATTTAACACCAAATTCTTATAAATAATTTTCCAGGAGTACTCAAACTTATCAAGAAGAAGTTGTTATCTTGATTTAACACCAAATTCTTATAACTAATTTTCCAGGAATACTCAAACTTATCAGGAAGAAGTTGTTATCTTGATTTAACACCAAATTCTTATAACTAATTTTCCAGGGAATGTTTAGCAGCTAGAGGGGAGAATTGACAATCAGATCTGGGAGTTAAAGGGCTAACAAGCTACTGCATGTGTGTAATCCTCACCTATTTTGTTACCCCTCTAATATTAAAACAGCAGGAGGCTTCATTCAAGAAGAAAAAATGTAGAGGAATATAGTTTTAAGCAGCATAAATTTACTTTTATTACCAGTAAAATGTTGAGGTTTATCCGGAAAGTGGCACTCTCTTCTTTGAAAACAAACTCCTGAAAGATTCCCCTTTGCACAAAGGCATTGGCTTGTACACACTTCGCATCTTCAACAGTGACCTTGATACCATTGCTACTCACAAAACATGTTGCTGACTGTAGTACAATACAGAAAAAAAAATTGAAAACAGGTATTTTGTAACAGACTGTCTTATAACCTCCTTTTCATAGCTGCAGCTATATTTCCTTTTAATTATTGAGTAGTAATCCGAGAGAATGAAAACAGATTTTCAGGCTCAAAAGAGAATCATGCTTTCTATAATAAGTAGTAGCTCTGTGAGTTATCTCATGTTGTTAAAAAAAAATGTCCTGAGTCAGAGTCAGTTGCATTATTAGCCTTTCACTCCAAAAATCTGTGGGTCAACCACAGAGGAGTAATGGTTAGTGTCCTAGACTGACTGGTCTAGGGTAAAAAAAAAGAAAGATCTGAGAGCTGATTGTCTTGACCATTACCTGACATTTCTTTGTCTTGATATTTATACATTCAAGAAATACCTTATTTCCTGGTTGATAATGTCATATCTTCTCATTACCTATCTGTTCAACACTTATTCAAAATTTTGAGGAGAATTTACAAACTAATCACTCTCAAGATTCAAAGGGTTTGATATATGGCATATCTATGTCAACTCTGTTACAACATTCACGTACCTCTTTGAAATATACAGCTTTCAGAACATTTAGAAGGTTACGCGCGTTGTCCAGCTTGGCCACTAGAATATAGCGATTATCATCGCTGCTTTGTTGTGTGAGCCTAGACATCTCATTTAACACCTTAGCTTTTCCAAAATTGAAATCCCCGCGAATATGCGAGTATGCGCCATTTTGCTCTCAAGTCTGCGCGTATTTGCGAGTATCTGGGACTAGCGTTTGGTAACCGCACATGTTTTGAGGAGCCTAGTATCCAATCTTTTCCGAGAGACAACATGGCGGATTTTTCTTTAACTTTGACAAACATTATTTAGGTTGAAAATAACCCTCCGTGTTAAAGAATAGGGGTTGCCACGTACATGATGCAAGCAAATACTACCTGACTAAAACCTCAGACTGAATAAAATGGTATGTTTATGAAGCTATTGGTGTCATTGTTCAAGTTGTATTTCAAGTGTCTGATTGTTGTTACTTGAATTTGGCGAAAGTTGATCATTTCTGTCGTTTTTTTTTTTTTTACATAAGATTCGTCTGTGTGCGCTTAATGATGATTCAAGTGAAGAGAGTGACCACGAACCTACACAGGAAAGTGTCAAACAAGCCAAGGTAGGGAGTACGTTAATTATTAGCTGCAGTTGTACTGTGCAGCTGATGAATTAATTGCGAATGGAAGAGAAATGAATCAATAAATAAGAAAAAACCAAACACACCTAACTAACCATGTCAAGGGAGATGTGTTGAGACAACAACACTTTAAAGTCTGGTTTTAATAGCTGCACTCGTTGTGTTGTGTTTTCGGTTACACAGCCTGCTGACACAATGCCTCGTGTTTAGTTAGGAGTCTTGTCTGCCAAGTATGACAGGTAACACTATCAAACCTGGTGCATGTAAAGCACTTCCTAGCTGCGTGAAATACAACCATGCACACATGGCTGTGGGGCTACCTCCTACTTTACAGCTTCTGTGTGTAATGTTATGAATTTGTTGTGAGCTATCAGTGCTATGGTGTAAAGACTTGTATGTACACCTGCCATACTCGGCAGGCTGGCAAGGAGACTAAACTTCTTTTCATTCAGGTTTTTTAATGAGTTGTAGTGAACTGTCACAGAAACCTGTCAAAATATTTAGAAGGGGTGGGGTGAGTAGCTTACATGTCATTCAGGTGGAGTGGTAGCACAATTAGACACCTAAAAATAGTTGTGGTTTGTGGATCAGTTGAACCAAGGGGAGACAACATGGACATGGTAGAAACCCAATCATGCACATCCCATGAAATTACTTCTATTTAAGCCAGACAGCTGTTTGACTGAAAATAAAACATTAATTACCAGTGTTTAATCTGATCAATCTTTTATTGGGTGATTTAGTACCATGAAGGAGTTAATAACATTAATTGGCAACCATATAGAGTTTCAAAGCTGATATTTCAGGGCTCTGATGAAGGGTAAACACTCAAAATGTCAGCTTTGAAACTCTTTATGGTGACGAATTTATGTTATACTTTCCCACCAATGCAGCACCACAGTTTCTTTTGAGACTTGCCCCCTGTAATCATTTATTGGTTTAACAGGAATCAGAGGCTCTGGAGTTGTACAACAAAGGCCTGGCCTTGCAGCAGAAAGGAGATTATACAGCATCTGAGGAAGCATATAATCATTTGTTAAATTCTGCTTTGGTCAAAGAGGTTAGCGGAAGGCTTGAGAATAATTTGTTCTTAGCAATGTTGTTTTTGATTTATGTTTATGGGAACTACTCATGGGTTCTGTTACAGCTGATAGCTCCTGGAAAGTTAAAGCTTTTATGAGTCAATGCTCTTCCAGCTCTAGTTCTATTCCCTTTCTGTTACAAGATTGTTTTTCTGTGAATTTAATATGAGCTTTCAAGTTTCCTAAAGTAATAAATCGAAATGTTATAAATAACAAGGCTGCATGCAATACTTTCTTTATCAGGCTCTGCCACCAGATGAGGATACTGGATTAGTTGAACCTGGTCATGTATTGAAATACTCAGCTTACAAGAATCTGGCTTCATTAGCAGAGAAGAGAGAACAATGGGAAAAGTCTATAGATGCATATCTTCAGGTGACATAGTTAAAACAATTATTGTTTCATACTTAATTTTGTTTAGCCAACAGAAATGTAAAATCATTTCAGGATTTATTTTTAATTGAAAAAAAAAAAACAGAGGGATTCATTGATTTAGACAAAATATTTTCTAAGAGAAACCAACGATGTTCCATTCAGTTTCTTCTACATAACAGTCTTTTAAATTTTTTTTCATACATATACAAGAGATTTTGTCACAAACATTGCAGCAGGTTGCTCAGTGAAGTATGCTGAGATCAATTGACCTCAGTCTTGGTGGGGATAAAGGCTATGATATAATGAGACACTTTTGCCCTACTGTTTTGTTTTAATTGCAGGCTGTTGCACTTGATGATTCAGATGTGACAGTATGGCATCATCTTGGAATGGTAGCACTGAAGACATTTGATCTTTGCTTGGCTCGACATTCATTTGAGGAGGTTTGTATCACCCATTCCTGTAAATTACAAGGCACAACTTACAACATTGGATTTAATGACATTGGTACAAGTCTTTCAATAAATAAAAATTCTCCTTCAAAGCAAGTCTCAGTAGAATACATGTGAAGGGAACTGATCAAGCTCTGGGCCTTACAATTGAGTTGAATTTTGATCTATCAAAAATAATCATAGACTATTAATTTTTTCATTAATTAATGTGAAGAAAGTCCTAAAGTTATACTGTTTGATTGTATTCCTTTCAGTTCTGCAACAGACACTATTTTTTTATTTCTTGTCTTCATTATTAATAAAGGTTTGAGCCAAGGAAAAAAAGTAAACTTTAAAATTTAACCTTGGTTTAAAAAATTTCAAAAAAGAAAATATTGGAAACTCCAACAGTAAAAATGCCTTAGCCTCAGTAATCAGTTTTCAGAAGGGGTTCTTGGCCTCTCTTGAGTCTTGGGCTTAATCATTTACCATCCTTTTTATTAAAGATAAGCTTAAGTTGCTGTTATGATTCTCTACCTTGTTTTCTATGTTATCTCACAAAGGGTTTGAAGTGTAATCCAAAGCACTGGCCTTGTTTAGACTTGCTCTGTACAGTGCTGTATGCCATTGGGGATTACTACAGTAAGTTATTTATTGTATGCTTCCTTGCATTTGGAATTTAACCCTAATTACACCCTAACATTAGCATTCATATTCTCCACACTGTTCTCTCTACATTTCCTACAGTTCTGACAGGGAGAATATGTTTGACAATCAGGAGCTTCATAAATTGGTTATCATTTCTTTTATTCTCATGACCTTAATGTTTGATTCAAGGGTGACACAGTAAGGAGTTAATTGTAGGAATATGTCCTATACTTGTGAAAGTTTATTCTAAGTTCAACACCTCAGTACATGTATGTGGACGATATCTTTTTTTCTGATGAACAGCATGCCTAGTTGTGATTTCGAAGGCCTTCGAGAGGGATGAAGAATATCCTAAAGGCAAGCTTTGCTATTTGTATATAATGGAAATATTTTTTCAAAACTTCAATTTGTTGTTGTCCAATTGTAATCATTTTATTTTCAATTGATTACAGACTATAGATTTGTGTTGTTGATTTGATTTTGATTTGTTACATGGTACATGGAAGTAATTTTTGGTGGCATTTTTCCTATCACATTAGACCTTTTGATAAAGTTTGTTTTATGTATGCTTAAAATGACGTTATACACCTGAACAATAATTTTAAGCCTGCAGTATGTAAAAAATATCAATATTTGATTGGTTTATTTGGTTCATGTTCTTAGCCTTGGTGTTTGGCCTAAGCTGGCATGATATAGCTTACCATCATGCTCAAATATGTCTGATTGTTAATTGTTAATTTTTCCCAGGTATTGCATTGAAGAATCAGATATTCTTAGAGGAACCACCACTCAAGAAAGAATCACAACATTTGAGGTAAACCAACACTGGACACAACATTGTTTCTTTTTTTGACCTCGTAGATACATATGAGTTTTCATTCATCTCAAACACAATAGAGACTATCGTTTGGTGTTTGACTACAGTTAATGTAACTTTGGATGTTACAAACCTCTTGCCTTAAAATGTGAAGGAGGGAAAACAATATAAAAGCAGGGTTAGCCATTTCTACGTGGTATTTAGTCTGGAAAGCAAATTTCCATGTTCAGCGAGACTTACCTGAAAGAAGGTTTTCCCTGTTGGAAAACAAGGATGAATCTCTTTTTTCATTGTCTGGGCAAGGTAAATAATTTTACTTGTAGTTAATATTATTATCAATAAACAGAGGAAATGTGTTATTCTTTTAGAAATCTGTTTAATATGTGTTATGCAATGAATGAGGAAGAGCAAGAAAATGAAGAGAACAAGGTATGCTTGCAATGTTTTCATGAAATGATGGATAAATGGGTTTTACTTTTTTGCTTTATTTGTTTGTCTGGCCTTGGTCGTAGACATCACAAGTTGGCATATTGCTTATTTCTTTTAAACAGTTTGTGAAGGAAGCACTTCATCTCAGGGAACAGAGGCTAAAACTTGTTGAAGCAGACAGGGCCCCTCCCCCTCCTTATGCACCCGTCAAGCCTCTGACATCACACACGTAAGAAATGACAGTCATTGAAGTGTAGTGGTTTTGACTAGGTTGTTGATTGCATTGAGAAAATATCATTTCCTTTTTTTAATTTTTGATAAGGTGGGCAAGTCTGGGAGAATGCTTCATTGCTCTGTATGATCACTTAACATCACCAGAAAATCCTCAGGTATTCAAGCATGATTACTTTCTTCTGTCTTACAATTTGTTGCATTTTGCATTTTCATGGATATTATGGATTTAAGCAATAGACCACACTGAGTATAATGACCCAATCATGAGCTGAAGGCTCTTGTGCTCTCCCAACACCATTTGTGAGTTATTACACGGGTAAACCAATAAAAAGTGCAGTCTATTACTTTTCTGAAATAAATATGAGTTAAATGGTGCAATTTATATATATATTTTTAACCAATCAGGGTTCTCATAGTATCTCAGCTATATTATAACATGTCATTATTTTATGCAGTCAATTAATTTTTTAAAGTTTGAAATAGTGTAAGGAGAAACAAAGTGGAAAATAAACATGACAATGTGTAATTGCTGTTACAGCTATTGGGTGCCTACTTCAGTTGTAATTATAGTGGATTTATAATGTAATTGTTTGATAAGGACAATGGAATTGCTCCAAGTTACAATGGTAACTAGTAGAGTCTGCACTGAAAGTACATGACTGGATAGCAACATCATAGGATACCTGACCAAACCACATTAATATCATTGTGGTAATTGGCTGTACATGTATTTACTATTTTCTTACAGCCGCTTGGTCGAAGAGTTGATTTGGAGGAGTACTACAAAGCCATTGTCACTCCAGGTATGTTTTATTCCTTGTTGCTCTCCAAAGTATGCACACTGTCATTTTTTTAGTTTAAAGGGTCATGCTGCCAAGGATCAATCAGTCACAGTGTTTTCTTTTTCTTTGTTGAAGACATCTCCATGTCCTACCGAACATCTGTTGTTAAAGTGCCAGATTATTCAAGTTCCAGTTTTTCTACAGAGGGATTTTCAGTGTACAAGAATGTCCAGACAGGTATGTGTATAAATTTATAACTAAATATACAGAAAGACTTGGAGATTGATCTCAGAAGCCTAGCAATACCAAAGTACCAGGAAATTAGGCAGTTGTAATGGAAAAGAATGGTATTTCCTCTGGAGAGAAGCTTTGAGCTGTATTTGCAGTTACTAACAAAAGAGTTCAGGTCTAGTTACCTATTGACATTTCACCTAGGAGTTTGGAATAAAAAAAAAAACAAAACAAGGATGAATTGCATTGTACAATTTTAAAAGATGTCTCCTGAGGCTTGGGAATTGTGGATGGTTTTGTTGGTAGGTGAGAGTGAGGAGAAGAACAAAAAAGGACCAAAAAGAAAGAAACCTCCTCCAAGTGCCATTGATGATTTTCTTCCAAAGAGAAGATCAGCCAGGGTAAGCTGGATTTTAATTGCAAAGATTCTTTAATCCCTGAAGGAATTTCAAATGTAGCAGTCTCTTTATTGTATTCTAAACTCAGATTTTGGTCATGCATCCTCTGAGAAACCCCCTTTTTTTTTCATCTCTGAGTAGACTAACATGAAAGAGAAGATATTGAAATTGCTTTTATTATTTCTCTTCAAAGGTGAGAACAAACAAGAAGAAGGAAGAGGAAATAAACTACAGGGAATTAGTGCAGTCATTTATTCCTTCACTGTTCAGGTTTGTTTACCTGGGGAATTGTAAAAGTGGTTGAAAATTCCAACGTTTGGAGTTATCTAGGGTAAAATTTACAGTCATTCCTTCACACTTGGGAATGTGACATAAGATCAAAATGTTGGGAAGATTAAATTGTCTGACAGGTGGCTTAAGACAATGTATTTTGCTCTGACAAAGAGCTCACACTGGAAAAATCAGCTTTAGGCACTCTCTATGGTGGCAAATTTACAATATCAACTTAACTGATAGACCAAATTATCTTGTTATACTCATCCATGGATGAAGCACCACAATTTCTTTAGAACCTTACTCCCTTTTTAAAGACAATATGATGTAACCATATTTCCCAAATATTCTGGCTGATTAATTATATTTTATAAGTCAATGGGTAGAACCCCTGGCCAGTAGACCTTTCATACTTTTTTGCAGCATTCTGCCTTTTAGAGTTGGGAGATAAAGAGCTTTGCAACAGTGATTTGTTATGAACAGTTTTCCATTTAATCTGTCACATGGAGTGAGTTTCATTTTCCACTAGTAATAAGTTTTGTCATTTTTTGTTCAGACCCAGTGTCAGTGTAGATGATGAAAGTAGCCAGGACAGTCTCACAGATGGCTCACAGTTTAGTCAAAGGTATTAGACATTATATACTTGTAACTTTTGTCATCTAATTTAAATAATGCATTTCTTTCTTTGTGATTCCTACATGGAAATATTATTGAGATCTTTGGAGAGTACTTAAAGTTTAATCAAGGTCTTTTCAAGGTTCTTGATGAAGGTTGTTACCAAATCTGATCTTTCAAAATCTTACAAAGTTATTGGAAGAGGTTGGAAGTCAAGATCATCTTATCCATTTTCATTAAGAAGATTATCGAGATCTTGAAAAAAAATGTCACAAGATTTTGACATTAATCTGTTACTGAAAAAATAACTGGTAACATGGATTCTACAATAAAGTAACAGATAATCCTGAGTTCAAAGCATCCACTCTTTTTGTTATTGTCAATTACAGAAGCAGCCAGTCACAAGCTATTGAAGGGAAACCTGGAGAGGGTAAGACAAATAACTTTAATGGCCCACTATGTGCTCACTTATATTTGTCAATTAGCTTCTAGTTAGGGAAAGGGAAATTATGCCTCCAGAGGGGGAGGGAGGAAGGGAAATCATGCCTCCAGAGGGGGTGGGAGAAAGGGGAATCATGCCTCCAGAGGGGGAGGGAGGAAGGGAAATCATGTCTCCAGAGGGGGAGGGAGAAAGGGAAATTGTACCTCCAGAGGGGGTGGAAGGGATGAATTAGAGTTGATTCTGATGCTCACTTGGATGACATACAAACTAGGTAAGCAAAGTAATCACAACAGCCAGTCACAAAAAAGAATATATTACAGGAAGCCACTGAGAACTCAAATTTAAAAACAAGAAAACTGCCCACGGGTGGAAAAGGTAGTTTCATCAGAATTATATTCCTTTCTCTTTGTTTTGAGTGCATGGTGGTTGGTTGGGGAGAGAGGGAGTTGCTTGATGATGAGACCAAACAAGGGCTGGGATGGAGGCCAGGGAAAATGTAGTGCTTGGTTTTCACTTTTTGCATCTAATTGCTTGAGAGGGTGGCACAAGTTTCTTAGACCAATCAGATCAGTTTCAGGTAAAACAGTACAATCTTAGCTTTCTCCCTATGCTCAATTAATAATTGTTTTAAAACATTGTGTAATTATTATATTACTACCATAAACTTGTCATGATTTGGTTTGCCAAACCAGCTGACAGGAACAATTATGATGAAGTGATCACTGGGGAAGCTGAGGCTTTGGACATTCTCACCTTTGTCAAAGAGCACATGGAAAATGGGTAGGTTACAATTTGTATGTTGGTGGATTTAAGGTGGATCTAACATTGACACAAATTGGGCAACAAATTGCATAGTTGAGAATATTGTGAAATAAGGTCATAAATCAGAATTAAAATAACAGCACTTATTGCTGTTTTTTTTTCTGTCATTTCAATAAAGAATCCAGGTTAACTATGATGCTATTTATATATCCTTTGCCTTTCCAGTCTCTTCTCTTGTTCCATGCTCTGTTTCTACTTATTCTGATGTTAATTTTCAAGTTTCCTTAACTTTCCACTGACTTTGGTAATGGCAAAATGACTGTGATGTGGATCAGTAAGAATGTTCAAACCCTTTAACCCAAAAGTGACAACCATCCAATTTCTCCTCACAGTATCATCCCTGAATCACACATTAACATCATGAGAATAAAGGAAATGATTGCCAGCTAAAGAAGCTCTTGATTCTTAAACAAATTCTCTTTGTCAGCACTGTTGGAAGTGTATAGAGAACAGTATGGAGAATTAGTCCATTCTGATGACAGAGTGATCTAAATTATTATACCTAATCTTCACACCGACAAATGTTTTTCTTATTTCAACAACAGTGGAATCATTGATGTAATGAATCAATATGGGATATGCCTTGCAGCTCAAAACAACAAAAAGTGGTGAGTGGCAGTTAATTTTGCTCTGATTTTTCCCCATTTGGTTAAGAATTAAGATAGACCATTTTTAAGTGCACTTGCTTCTCCAAACCTAGCATCATCCACAAATTGAGTTTGTGGTTGGTTTCTATCCTTTCTTGGGGGATCTTTTCTATTTTCTTCCCTTTTCTTGCCCTCTGCAAAAAAACCAATTGTCCCAATCCCAAGTTGACAGAGAAACAGTGGACAATAAGTCACTTTTTGGATTTCCAAGACCCAAATTTTAGCTGGTCCAATTCAGAATCTTTTTTACACTTATTTATTCAATTTTTTTTCTGAAATTTTGTGGTCATGAACCTGTTAACATGATCTTTGGGAAGTACTTTTAATAAAATGATGAAATGAACCTACATGTGGGGGTGATTTTCCACAATTTTTTTGATAAAATATGCTGTTTTGTGTGTTTTGTTGGTTGATTAAATTTTTTTTCTGTTCATCTCTTTTAGGCCTTCAGCCTTGGCAGATGTCTTCCTTAAGACCTATCAAAGGATGAGGAAACATGTCATTCTTCCTTCTGAATTTTGGTGAGTCTTCATCTTGTCATAATACCTTTGCTGAAGAATTGCTTACAGGTGAAACACTTTGTAACAAGTTGAAATTCCCTGTGCTTAATTTGTTACTCAATGCTGATGAAAGTTTGTAGTGTAAAAAGAATTGCTGTATTTAGTCTATTTTCAACTGAGGAAAAAAAAACAGTTCTTGTAGAAACCAAAATTTTTGTACAGCATATTCTGTATTGAGTAATTGATAAAGTCCACAGTTTGGTGGAACTAAGAGCAAATAATTGTTTCATTTTTCCTTTTGTTTATATCAGTGATGATCAAGATTCCCTATATAGAACAAGAATGGCAAAGGTATATTTATGTTAAACCTTTAGACCCTAACATCATTATGCATATTCTCGATACAGTTCCCTACACATTTTATGGTATTGACAAGGAGAACTTTGTTTAAAGTTCTTTTTGTTTTTTTTGGTGGGCGATCTTTTCCTGTATTTTCATGACCTTAGTGTTTGATTCAGTGGCTGGACTGTAGGGAGAAATTAGATGCTAGTCTCACTCTGAGGGGTTTAAGAAGAAGTAGAACATGTGGAAAACTTGTTTTTCACAGGCAGTGTTTATGAGGTGCATCATTAATCAACAAGTTTTTTTATTTGTTATCAGCTTGTACTTGTGGCCAGTGAGTTGACGCTTGACAAACTCCTCACAGCGAAGTCAAAATCCTCATCTAGCCTCTCACCTGCCAGTTCACCGCGCGGGTTAGTGTGTGTGGCCTGTCTTGTTTATATTCTGCTGATTGTTTGTTTGTTTGTTTGTTTTTTTACATTTTCAGTCACTTGTTGATTCTTTCTTTCATTTATATAATCATTGATTGAGAATTAATTGTATGATTTGTTGGTTTCTTGGGAAAAAAAAGTTGTCTTCCTCACGATTCAAGTCACTCATTATCACCAGAGTTTCTGTCAGTTTTTGTTAGTAGCGTGAATTAAGTAGGAAAGTTGCTTCTTATCTTCTCCAAGGATGCTATTCCAGCGCAAATTGTCTCCCCTTGCTTTTCACCAGTAATCAGTTTTCAGCTGTACTTCTTGTTGGACAGAGGCAATATTAGGGGAGGGGGGGTGCCCATTTTCGCCCGCAGATGTAAGCCCTCTGGTTCAAACCGCTGCGGAAATGAACCAGGAGGGTTGTTGTTGTTATTTTATAGTGGTGGTGTTGTTGTCTCGCCGTGGAAAGTCGGCGGGTTTTCCAGTCAGTATTTGGCAACAGATGTGGAGTATCTTCATCGCATTAGCTGTGATCAGAGCATTCATGGAGACTTCACTTTAGAAATGGCCATTAGAGGTAATTGCATCACTTGTGAAGATTTTATGGTGTTCCTTTGAAAGCTGCTAATTTTATTTGAGGAGAAATAGTCCGTGAACATAACTGAAATAATTTGGGTAGAAAGGCTGAAAACAGCTGGTCTTGTGTAATGTGATCGCCCCTGTGAGGAGAGACCTTACTGGAACTGTTGACGGTAACGTTAACTGATGTTTTAATTAAGAAAAGGCATCATCAGAGTCAAGTTACCCTTGAGTGCTAATTATGTACTAGAAGTACTTATCTCTCTTTTCTCCTGATACATCTGTATGCATTTTCTTTACATTTCCTAAGGTGCTGACTGGGGTAATTTGTTCTTCTTCTTTGATTTGTGATCATTTCCTCTATCCTCGCGACTTTTATATTTGATTTAAGCGTGATACTGTCGGGAGAAATTATATGTCAGCCACCATTAGGGTTCAATGGGTTAAATGTCATTGTAGTCGTAGACACTTTTTGAAATAAACCTAGTTGTCACTTTTGTTTCATGCAGTAAACTGGATGCGAGCAAGATATCTTATGCTACAAGGTCAAATGGATTATGCCATGATGTACCTAGACAGGGTGAGTTAAGCTCCCCAACCTCATAAAGGCGTAGACCACGAACAGCTTCCATTTCCCAGCTTTGTACGTCGAGCGAATCAAAAGTAAATCAACGAAAAAAAAAAGTAGAGGCTAAGTGTGGCCATTTCTTTTCACTTACGTGACGGACGATCAGACTTTGAAAAAGTAGCGAGGGAAAATTGCCGCCGCATTTCGAATCGTTTGGTAGAGTTGCAAATACCTCTTGTTTCCCAGCAGTTCAACTATTTTGTATGTAAAAAAAGATTCAACCACGCTATAAATTCTGTATTATTTTTCAGTCATGAATACTTTCTCTCCTCAGACTTCAAAGTTCTTAGAGCTAAAGGTCAATTCTATTGAGGGACCCACCACCGTCAAGCTAGTGAACTGTAAAGTTGATAACCTTGTTACAATCGGTACGCGATATCTTTTATATTCGTATGCCTCTTAGGTAAAATAGCGCTTTTCGAGTAAGTGACGTTCAACCAAAACCAAAATAATCACAACGAACAATCAGAGCGAAGCAAAATACCCTAAGAGCCAACGAGAACTCAACATGAAAACAAGAAAACTGCCTTAAGCGCGGGAAAACGCTGGTGACCAAGTCGCGATTGGTTTTAGTTTTGCATCTGATTGGTGGAGAAAGCGGCGCGAGTTTTCTAGACCAATCAGAAGAAAGCAAACCAATGCAATTTGGGATTAATTTTCACACAAAAGTGAAACGTGCTTCGTCGGGTCATGGTGACTGTCATCACTGGCCGCTTTATTTAATGTTGCATGAAGGAGATTTTAGAGTCTACTTTTGTTAAGTCATTATTAAATTCCTTGATTTTATCGTTGGACATTCTGGCTGAGTCTTAAGGTTGTGTCTTTAACCTCTGATTTGCTTTTCAATAATCTGAGTCGTTCTCGCTGGTTCTTCACGAGCACATGGAGATGTTTTTAGTTACACATTTTCTTCCACGTATTGCGCGCCCTTTATCTGCTTTTTTTCTTTCAAAGATCAAGTCCAGAAGAAGTTAGAGTCGCTACAAAGGTGTCAGTCATTAGAAGAGGTATGCTCGCAATGTGTATCATTAGTGCAAGAGACACGAAGCCAAAAAAGAGGCGCACATAAATTCTTATCTTTTTATGTATTTTTTCTTTTCTTTCGTTTCTCAGAAATAAATTCTTTAAGAGACTCTATCTTTTTTAGTACAATCAGTATCCTTTGTTTCACTTTCAATTGTTAATGTCACTTTGTATAGAAATGAGGCTTCAGACATCAATTTCTGCCGGTCCAGTTTACATTTCTCTTCCTTCGCTATATCTTTTTTTCTTTTGTCCTTTCTTTCTTTCATTTGTTAGTTAATTGGTTGGTTCATCCGCTCGTTCATTCGCTCGATAGTGGGATATTTATTTTGTTTCACTTGTTGTTTAATTTGCTCATTTCTTTGTCACTGAACAATCTCTTCATCCAGTGAATCATATCATTCGTCTTGTTGTGTGTCCAGGTTCACCGTTTGTACGAGTCAGGTTATTATGAAGATGTGGTTCAACTTCTGATGCCCACACTCCATCAACCACAGCCTAAAACCAAGGTATGATCACTAACAGTATATGTTGTGTTTTCCCGCGCTTTAAGTAGCTTACTTGGTTTTACTTTGCGATCTTATTGGCTCCTTGTGATGGTTCAATTCCTCTGATTGGCTCTTGCGATTCTTTTGATTTTGCCGGGTTTTGCGACACTTCTTTGAAATCCGCTGTAACATTAATGCGCAAGAAATGAGTGTTTCAGCTTCTGTTTTAAAGAAAGCATCGACTTAGCAAAAAAGACTGATCGAACGATTACTTTTAGTTATCTTATATTAACGTAAATTTGCAATGGACACAGGAACAAATTTGAGTTCACAACTGAATTACGTTTTCAAATAACTTTACTCTTTCTTCATCGGCAGGTTGGTGAACTCGGCATGTCTATACCTGAGAGACCGGCTCAGCTGCTGCTACTACAGGACTCGCTTATTAAGCTCAAGGATTACGAGGTTTGTGAACCTTTACGATTATGTCTATCTAGAGTTTGCTGTGGAATACATTGTGGTTACAATACCTTTACCTGTCACTGAACTTGGTATGAGACCAATGTTTTTGTCCGACATAATTGCACACAATCACTTAGTCAATTTTATAAGGTGACTTAGCTCCTCTGCTCTTTGTGGGTTCGCGACTGAGTTTGCACTTCACGATATTAAACAGGAATTTCTATAAGTACAGTTCAAAAACTCTCTCTCTCCATGACGAAACCTTGTTTTATAGTTTAGGCACGTGATCAAGATGCGACGTGACGCTTAGTGAGTGTAAATTCTTTAAAACTTTTGCCGTCTTTTAATTTTACATTCGTATGTAAACGTATTCAAGGCAAAAGCCCTAATATTCAAGTTGCAACCTGTGTCTGCTTCACCCTCTCCTTTTAGCCACCCCACCGCACCCCCTCCCCTCCTTGGTTTACCACCAAAGTAATATGTTCAACGTCATCAGTGGAGTCACTGTGATTTAATGCCTTTTTTCAACAGCTCATACGTTTTTTTCCGGAGTTTAGTCAGCAAAGTCTCACCTTTTTGCATCACATGTTCATTTTGTGTTGTTACCAATACCTCACATGTTCAATATCCTTTGTTAGCGATGTCTCACGTGTTCCGAGATAGCCCTGAACGAGGCCGTGTCACAGATGAGTCCTTGCGAGGCCTGGTCCACTACTCTCTCCAGGCTCTTTGGTTGCATTGATAGGTGAGGTCTGGCACCATGCCTGTGATTGACTCTGACTTTCTAAAGTAATCAGCTTATGAATCTCCCAACATTTCCATTACACTTAAGAGCAGAAAGTCAATAGAACGTACGAAAATCGTCAACCAGAGCATGTTGTTCAGATGAAATACGAAGCTCTCAGAACTAGGCGGTTATAATACACCTTCAGAAGAATATGTTGTCGTTTTGTTTGTTCTATTATATCAAGATATCAAGATCAAAATCTGTTTGTTAGAAATGTGTAAACGTTTTTATCCAGTAGAACAGAGAAGTTGATTAGAATCCGTAACTTGTATTTTCCAAGCTAAGATGTAATTTGTTGTATTGAGTATCGTTCTTGGAGTGGAGATCGTAGCGTGTTTACGTTTAGCATGCAACGAAAAAGTGTGCAATTTCTCTTGGTTTCTTCCTTAAAGGAGTATTCAGGAAGGTGATAACATACTGGACAAGATTCCTCAGGATAAACTGTGTAGACTGACTAACAACATCGTCAAGGTAGAGAGAAACTTAACCCCCCTTACACCCTAACATCAATATGCATATTCTCCATACTGATCTCTACACATTTCCTATGGTGCTGACAAGGAGAATTTGTTGAACAATAAAGGACTTCCGTTATTCTCGTGACTTCAATGTGTGTTAGGAGAAGTTAGATGCCAGTCAGTCTAAGGTCGAAGGTTATAGTGTCTTGAGTACTTGTAGGTCAAGAAGGTCCTCGAGAAAGGTTAGAGAAAGTCATAGAATGTTATGATTTGGAAAGAGTATAAACCCTGTTCACGCAACGCACCTTGCGGTGATTTGTTCCAAGACGTAAAAACACTATGTTCGTCTCTTTGCTTTCAGGTTCTAGAGGCATCCATGAACTCTTCCGACAGTAGTTCTGATCCACCGTTAGCAACTGCGAAACCTTGGGTACTACTCTACAAAATCACTGAACAGTAAGTTTAGATTGATTCAGCTTTACAGAAAAATGGGTAGCATGAGTAATACACACTGCTGCTTTACTATACCACATAATTATCTTGATTTCTCACTTTCAGTCAAGAGAAGTACAATGAGACAGTGGACAGTTCGTCAAAGACATGTGCACCTCCGACTGTTCCTCCGCCTGAAGACTCCCCAATGCCTGAAACACTAAATACTGACAGCAATATGAGCGGCGGTGATGTGATACGTGAGGTGCCTGCAAGTAACCTATCTCCATCGCTACAGTTTCTGCGCATAGCACATGAACATCTCGGAAGGTAAGGAAGACAATCTGTAGTCACAGGGAAGAGTTTCATAAGGTAGGAAGGTATACCTCGATATCTTCTGGTGTCATCTCAGCAAAAGCATAATCATTGGTCACTCCGAGACATACCTTCGGTGGAAGTCTTTTTAAATGTTATTTCATTCAACAGTTATCTGTCTGTTTCTCCTCAAACTGCCATTATCTTTCCTCTTCTTTAAGACGTGGCTGGTGTTGTAATAACGAGGGAGTTTTTCTGTTGCTTAAAGTGGAGGTTCTGACAAAGGAGCTCGCCAAAGCGACGGTTCCCGCCAGAGAGGTTTGTTCTATCTATTACCTAAACACGTTTAGTGGGCTTATCAGTCGCAAGACCAAGATGATCATGATTTGAGGTGACCCCATTTGTTTTCCCGCTTTCACCTCGTCACGTGTTTATTTATCAAGTTCTTATTGGCTCTTAGCACCTTCCCGGCTCGTGTGATTGGTTTTGCAATGTTAGGTCTTATTTTTTCAGCAATGTAACTCAGGAGAATAAATCGAAATGCTTGACTTTCATATATAGGTGTCCGCTTGTTTGTTTTTTACAGGAGATGGTTCGTGATCTTGAGCAGTGTTTCCTTTGTCTTTATGGCCATCCTTCTAAGAAAGCGAAGGTGTGAAACTTTCGTTTTGACGAATTTTTGTCTACTAGCGAAAGGTTCCTTGTGTTGCAGTGTGGCGGCCTGTTCGCCTTCAATCAGTGACACACGTCTTGGAATGTTAACTTTTTACCCTTACTTGGCAGCTCGCTTCCCCTCTCGATATCGTTTAAGGAAAGGGGCGCTTACAAATCGATTAAGAACTTTTAAAATCAAAGAACTTTGTCAAGGAACTGTTTTCAACTCAGCGTCTGAGGTACCTTTGTTAATGATTGCAGACGAAGTGCTTCACAATCTGCTATAACTCAAGGCTTCTGTATTTACTGAAATTTCTGATTTGCAATGGATATTGTCCCAGGCTTTTGTTTTACGTGCCAATCTATTCTCCTTTCAATTTCGAGCGGTACTAAGATACAACTACTAACATTGTTTCTTTTTCTCAAGGCTCGCGGCTTACAGGAACACAATTCCTCTCAGGTATGGTTTTGAATCTCCTGCCCATTTTTTTTTTCTTGTTTCGAAAGTAAGAATTGGTCCTCTTTCCTCTTTGCCCTTTCATTTCTCTTCCCTTCATAACCCTCAAGGGGGGAAATTGGGAAGAGAAAGAAGAAGCCTCACACTAATTGAATTGGGCAATTTATCAATTATTTTTTGTTTTTGTTGCTGGTTCAGATCGCGCTGACGTGGAGCAACTCAGTCGGAGTATTTGATTACTTCAAGCCCCCACAGCCTCCCACGTTTGACAGTAAATCCAACACTATCTCGGCAGAGGTAACACGATCACTGATCGCTCCTTGTACTATCATTTCTATCTTCTCTGTCGTTTTTTTGTAAGCAATATATTTGTGAGACTCTTATACGGAAACAAAGGACTAACTTCTCCTCGCTCCAAATGTGTGGCATCGTAGCTCAGTTGGTAGACGCGCCAATTTTCTCTCTAGGAGGCTTGGGTTCGAATCCCGTCGAAGCCTGGATATTTCAGGCTTCTTCTTGCGATTTCTCTGATCTTTTAACCCCTAAGAGTTATCGGCATGTTATTCCTCCTTACAATATCACTGATGAATCAAACATTAAGGCCATGAGACTAAGGGGAAATGATCACCCATCAGAGAGGCTCTTGATTGTTGAAGAAATTCTCCTTGTCAGTACCGTTGGAATTGTATCGAAAACAGTAGCGGGAATATGCCCACCGATCTTAGGATTTAAAGGGTTAACTGCGGCTCATCTACAAGGATCACTTTCTTTACTTGTTATCATTACTATCATATCATTCGTGGCTATTGTGACGCGGCGTTATGCTACAAGAAAATTACAGTCAGGAGGGTGTTCGCGATAAAGACGAAAAACTGTAGATGTCATTTACCTATTTGCAAATGCTGCCAGCAATTTCGTGCGCAAAAGTATGTTTGGTTAGATGAATCGCTGACCATAAAGTAGTTGACCCTGTCTGTAATGCTGGACGTGCCTGGTTTGTTACAGGTACAGAATCTCCTCCGCAGAATAACGTTGGTAATCCCACAGCAGGAACTTGAAGGTTTGTCCTCTTTTAAAACATTAATCTGCCTTTCAAGTGTGAAATCCTACTGTTTGATCAGAACTTGGCACGAATTTTATCCTCCCATTACTCCTCTTGGCCTTTTTATCTTTATATTTTGGAGGGTTTAATGTTGATGTCCCTGTGTCTTTGTTTACAACGAGTCTCATCGTCATATAGTCAGTCTGCCAGGTTTTCAGTCTGTCTTGTTTGCCAGGCTATATTACCTTGTTTTTTGTTTTACCTGTCTCTAGGTCTATCTGTGCGCGAACCTCTGTCTCTTTTTAGAGTCAATTAGCTCTCACAGTAGTCATTTCGTGTAATTGCCGTCGGGATGTTCTCAATTCGCATTGTGGGATTTAAATTTTTTTCAACAGCTATCAGTTTTGAAAGCGTCCAGTCGTTTATTGAGGGCGGAGATGAGCCAATCCCCAAGTTGCCTGATCGTCTCGTAGGCGTTAAAAGGTGAGCAATGTGCTCATTTCTGATCTCTGTAATTCTTCAGTGTGCTAAGCTGACTTATATGTACCGCTTTTTTTTTTCTTTTCTCCACAGACCTGTGATAAATGAAATATTTTATCTCCTCGCTGATTTCTACTTCAAGAACAAAGAATTTAGGTGGGTAGTGTAAACTTGACGCCACACTAGAGTTAAAAACAGATTTTACTAAAATACCAATTCTTGGTTAGTTGAAGGCCGCGGAAAATGCGAAATATTTTGGCGCATTTTAGGTGAGCCAAGCCAAGCGCAGGGCTACTGCGAGGTTAGTTGAAGAGTTTGGATTGAGTGATTTTAAAGTCAGTAAAGTCAGGAATATAAATTGAAACAAAAAGAATCATGATGTTTGCCTTTTTAGATATAGCTCTCTGAAAACCAAAGCTGCCTAGCTTAAAGTGACTATGAAAGTTGTAGTGGATGTCAAACTATCATCATTTCTGTTCTTTCCAGCAAAGCCCTCAAGTTCTACATGCACGATGTATCTGTCCAGCCCGACAGAGCTGATACCTGGGCCGCTATGGCTCTCGCTCGTAAAAGGAGACTGGAAAACAAGTTAAACGCGGTAAATTGTTAATCTGCTGTTCATTGAAACTTAAAGCGCTTCAAAATTGAGCATCGTAAAAGGGAAACCACACTATTTACAAAAGCCAATCAGAGCAAAGGAAAATTTCAGATAGCGCCATCCGGCCATAAGCGCAGGGAGTACGAGTGACGAAGGCAGGATTGGTGTTAATCTTGCATCTGATTGTTTGATAAAATACTGCGCGTTTTCAAGTCCAATTGTAGAAATTAGAGAGTCAAACCCAATGCAAAGCCATATTATTATCGATACCCAATGGAAAATTTGTTTTCGTATGTTAGCAGTGGTCGCAATCATAACTTTTTTTTTAAAAGATCATGTGCTTGACTTTTAGTGTGAACCTAAAAGTGAAGGACCGATACAAAAGCTGGCTGTCTCAGCTCTCAGGTAAGTCCCGCTTCAAAAGATTATCCACCGTCAATATCCTTTCTGACGGCTCGACATTGTTTAGTAATGATAGTAACAGCGGATTAATCCCTAGTGAATCTTTCTCTTCAGGTGTTTTAAAAGAGCGTTGGAGATTGACGGATCAAACAGCAGCTTGTGGGAAGAGGTAATTTGAGCAATTTCATTCTTTAACCATTAAAGTGGTAATTTCGTTTAAACTGCAGAAGTACATAATCAATGGTTATAACTTCGCAGAAGGATGTAGTTTGTCTTTCTTTGGCGATGCTATTCAACTTAATGTACTGGTATTTTAGCTATTCATTATCCAGTGGAGTTTGCATTGCTGTTTCTGTCGGTTTTTAAAGCCTATTTATTTCCCACATTCTAAATTTGGTTGGTTAGGAAATAAGAACTGATTCAGAAAGATATTTCCCCTGGGAAGAGGAGGGGAGGGCTGATGATTCCAACCCTAGCGTCCTAGTGGTATTTTGGGACATGGGAGTTTGTTTTTTTCCTTGTAAATTATCGTTTTCATTGATGGAGAATACACAGAAGTCCTCTTAAATAAACCCTTGTATAACTTGTTTGAGCTCATTCCTCACATCAAAAATGCATGAATCTCCTTAATGGAGCGTACGTAACCCTTTGCAACAAATGAATAAAGGGGGGGGGGGAGTTTCTAGCTGCGTTGATAGGGGGTATTGCAAGGTAATTTGGTTTTGTCAACTGCGTTCATAATGTGAATTGTTCATCGGAAAGAGATTCTAAAGCTGACGTTTTGCGCGTCAGCTCCTCGTCAGAGTGAATGTCTTTACGGTGGCCAATTCACGTTATCAACTAATTTGATAAAACTAAAGTAACCCTTTATACTCTAACATGAGAAGGCACATTCGCCATACTGCTCTCTACTGACATGGATAATTTGTTTAACAATCAAGAGCTTCCTTAGTTGGTGATCATTTGCGTCATTCTCATGGCCCTAATGTTTGACTCAGCACTGATAATCTAAGGAGAAAGTAAGATGCTAGTCCCTTCTAAGGGTTAAACGCTTTACCTGAATATCAGACCTCCACTGCGTCTGACACATGTATTAGAAAAGAGGAGCATCTTTACGGCCAGTTGATGATTTAAATTGTTTCAATAACTTGTAACAATGTTGTATCAATTGTTCCTGTTCTGTTCGTTCTGCAGTATGGAACACTCTGTTACATGCTATACTCCCATGCCTCCAGGCAGTTAAATCAGGTAAGTGCAATTTTTTAATAGTTTATTGTATGATATTCAAACCCGCAATACTAGTAAGTCGATTTTTAATTTCATTAGGTAATACCGGTGTTGATAAGACTGTTGTCGACGTACGTGTAAGGAGTTTTGGTTTCAAAAAGTCTCGCCGTTGTACTGTGGACGGTGGACTCAGATTGTCGAGTGTCACATGCATGTAACAGCCTTATTCCAAAACCTTCTCTACCTTTTTGTGTCTGGTATTACAAAACGAACTTTTAGTGGTGAATGTTGGAAGTGGTATCGATGCTGTAACAAACCGAAAGGATAGCTTCTTGATTCTACTGTTTGTTTTTCTTTTGTTTTTGTTTTTGTTTTTTAATGATAAGTTTGATAAAGACGAGATGACCTCCGACAACCGTGCGTCGTTGCTTAAGCGACGTGATGAGATGTTGCTGTTATCTGAGAGCTGCTTCACGTCTGCGCTCGGCATCGAGGACGGCGAACCCTGGCTCCATCACTATATCTTAGGAAAGATCACAGAAAAACTAAACAAACCTCCAAGTGTTTATCTGGAGCACTATCAAAAGGCGAGAAACTTTTGAACGATATTTCTCTATTTACACTAACCGGTCTTGTTTGAAAGGCAGCTGATCCCAGTTTTTCAAAGGGCGGATAACGCTATCCAACGGATAAATCGCTATCCAGTTGATAAGTGTTACCATAACGTATTGCACTAAGCATCAGGTAGAGATTTATCCTGGGGATGGCATTATCCACCCTTCCAACAATTGTGGCCTGGTTGCTTGCTCTCTTCTACTTGAGGCTAACAACCAACTTCTTCAAAAACACAAAATCAGACACTTGTGTCCGATTCTAGGCACCAGTGTCCGATTTAAGTCACTAGTGTTAGATTTTAGACACTTTTTCTCATTGTAGACGCTAGTGTCTGATTTGAGACCTTAGTGTCTGGTTTTAGACACTTTTTTTCTCATTGTAGACGCTAGTGTCTGATTTGAGACCTTATTGTCTGGTTTTAGACACTTTTTCTCATTGTAGACGCTAGTGTCTGATTTGAGACCTTAGTGTCTGGTTTTAGACACTTTTTCTCATTGTAGACGCTTGTGTCTGATTTGAGACCTTAGTGTCTGGTTTTAGACACTTTTTCTCATTGTAGACGCTAGTGTCTGATTTGAAACCTTAGTGTCTGGTTTTAGACACTTTTTCTCATTTTAGACACTAGCGTCTGATTTTATACACTAGGGTTCGATTTTAGAACAAGTATCTGATTTTTGGACTGTAGTGTCCAATTTTGAACACTTTCGTCCAGTTTTGATGTATTTTCGATTACCATAACTAAGCCCTAACTGATCTGATTCGTGATTCTCCTTTTTGATGCGATACAATTTCATGTAAATTATGTAAGAGAATATTGTGACATATCAAGATAAATGGCTTCAATCAACTTTGCGATATGTGGTCAGTTTGGAAAAATTTGTGTCTCTGATTTAAAACTTTTTATTTCATCCATTTAGAGTGCGAAATATCTAGATGACGACATCACTAATTATCCGAAGAAAATTAGCTATTACACCCCACCAGAGCACGTCTTGGAAGCTTTGGAGGTAGAAAATTTGCTGTTACTTATTTGTAATCCTGAAAAGGAAGCAACAGTGTTTAGTGTTTTTGTTCCGGGTAAAGTAATTTCTTTTCGCATTGTCTCTGTCGACAAAGGCCTGTATTTGAGTAGAAACCAATTCTCTCCCTGACAATCTGCTGGGCCAGGTGAGAGGAGAGGGGAGGAGAGAGAGTGCTGCAATTGTTTGACATCAAGTAAGATTATCAATGTCTTTAGAAACCGAACAATGTAATTTGTATCATGGGGAGATTTTAACCAAGCCTATAATCCATTCTCCTTCTAAAATCTTGCAGATTTATTTCCGCATCCATGTGTCAGTTCTTAAACTTCTCTTTGACAAGTTCCCGGATGTTGACGTTGGTGTCCTTGAAGATCATCTTCAGAGAGCGTCTAAGGGGCCCTTTTATCACGCGGAGTTTGACACTGATATCGGACCGGGGAACGTCTACAGGACCGAGTCCACTACATCAGGTTTGTGTCATGCACCCGCCAAATTTGAGACAAAGTTTTGGAAGGAATTGTTTGAGCCTGGAAGCATTGAATGCGAGTATCCTTTGGCAGTAAAATTTGAATTAGCGCTGCTCCTACTTCGAGAAAATCGGTTTTGCATTAAATGAAATCTTTGAAACTTTGTGATGAGAAAAAAGTCGTTTCTTTGATGAAACGAGGCTCAGCGTGGAGCTAAAGGATAACTTCCAAAAATGCCTAAGGGCTCAGGAAACATGGGGCAATAACCTACTTGTCTCTGAACTCTTTTGTTGTCGTGTCGTAGAATCTTTGTCAAGTAGCGTTTTCGAAGACACTAAGCAAAGCGAGCCAAAGTCCTCTGAGGCAAGTGGTGTAGCCAATTCTGTAATTTCTCCTGAGCCCCGACAAGGTGAAGACTTCAATCCGCCTCAAGCAGAGGGTAACATTGCAGAAGAACATAAAATCGCCACCCGGGAGGTTTCCGCCGCGGAAGCCCCTACAGTCTCAACAAACAAAGTTGAGGCAGGTTCGCAAAGTGAACAATCCTTGGACCCGACGCCGATGGAAGTTGACTTGAGTAATGAACCGAGCAGGTTTACACCTGCAGAGGAGACCACGGATAGTTCCCAGACCCCTTTAGAAGTTAGTTCTAATGAGCAGCGCGAGGGCTTGGAAACAAAACAAGCTTTTCAAGCCTCGGAAAAAAATGATTCTAAGTATGCTGATCAATGTGCCAAGGGTGAGGAAGAAATGGAAAGTTCCAAAGATACCGAGCTATCTTTAGTTGGCTCAGATGTAATTGGTGATGGGAAAACCGTTGAAGAATTAAATGCGGAGGAAGGTGTAGGGGAAACGGGTATGGAAGTTGAGCATGTCGGGGAACAGGAATCGGTCACGTGCTTGGAAAACAAACTCAAGGATCAAGAAGAAAATGTTAAGAGTCTCGATAAACTGGAGGAAAGCTCTGCTGACCAGGAAACTCAAGAAGCAGTTGAGTCCACTCTAAATTTCGAAGATACAGAAATCAAAACGGATAAAGATATTATGTCGAATGAAGACACTGAGGTCAACAGTAAACCAGAAAAGATGGAGACTGAGGATATTCCTACTCATGGTACAGAAAATGTTGAAATGACGGAAAATACCAGTGCAATTTTATCAACATCGCCTGATGAACCAGTGACAGAGACGCCTCCTGCTGTCTCTGTGACACCGACTACTGACCCCGCTGGAGTTTCCGCTTCTAGCGTGACACCGATGGAGAACACGAAGCCGCCATTGACAGAGGAACAGCAGGCAAAGAAGAGAGAACTCATGGATCTCTGTATTCGTGCTCTTGAGTATTGTCTTCGGCGGTTTTCTCAGCATCACAAGTCGCGCTATCGCCTGGCTTATGTTTACTACTACTCTTCTGAGCATAAGGTAACGCAATCTTTTGTCTTGTTGTCTCTTCGAAATTCGCACTGTTGGCTGGCGTGGGTTTTACGAGTCTTCCTTGAACATAAAAAAGACGCAATAATTTCTGGTTTTTTAATCATTACATTGCATTAAAGTAGTCATTGTGTTCCTGGTAGGAAACCAGTGTCTGTCGTGATTTACTGTTAGGCAGCAATACAAGACAGAGCAAGACGTTTCCCTTCCCGCCTCAAGGACTTTTCAACGAGAAAAGCAAAACAAACCTGTTCTCGGTAAGGAGTTTGAGTTGCTTACAGAAATCTTTATGGTACTGATTTATTCTTTTGTCACTTTCTGTCCGGTAATTTAACGAAAACATTAAATCAAGCGAGGCTGCTGACAATTTTTAGTGGAAGGTTTTCCTGTAAAAGACACTAATTTCTGCTTTCAAAAGGATCGTAAACTATTTGTGTTTGATTTTTAATTATTTCATTTACTTTTGAAAACTGCAGAAACGAAGTCATAGTCGTATACATGTCATCCCTGTCTTAAAAGTTTTGAGCATCCCCTCTACAAAATAATCCCATAAACGCTTGCGCGGTGACTCTCGTTCCCAGACTTTCACTCTTTTCCAAAGTGAGCTCACACGGCAGGTAAAATATATTAAAGACTGGTTTTTTGTTTGTTTTTTTTCTAACAGGCCTTTTGGAGAATTCCAGAAGAAGATATAGACAGGTATTGAAATAGGTCACCGTTTAAAATATGATAATAATGTGATAACGTCTAAGATGTTTGATTCGAATGACGCTTTTTAACGTTCAATTATTTAGTCATTTATTTATTTTTCTACACATTCTTTGTCTCAGTGGTGTCGGTTCGGAGACCCATCTCTTTGACCCCTGTTTGAATCTTTTGGTCTCCTGGATGTTATTTCTTTTCATTCTAACCAATGATATTTCACTGCAGGCCGGGATGTTTTTGCACACACACCTATAAGTCAGTAGCTTTGATGCTGGAAGTTCTCCGCGAGTTAAACGAGTGGGACACGTTGTTACTCATTCAGGCTCTTCTTTATCGAACACCGGAGGCGGGCAAGTAAGTCGCGGAAACTGTTGATAAATGCTCGCATCTAAAATTTTTGGTTGGAAATTTCGTATTAGAAGCTACCTGAAGGTTTCCTGTGGATGGTGTTTTTCAGCCTGACTAACCTCAGCATCGTTTCTCTTTTAATTTTGGTCAGGAAATACTTGAGGGACAATGAAAGGAACTATTTGGCCAAGAAGGTGATAAATATTCCAGTTCATTCCAATGGATTTAAGATGTCCTATGCATTCGTTTCGTATCTTTGGGTAGAATATTCATATCTTAAGTTTGCTTTGCAGGCATTTGAGTATTCTCTGGAAATAATGAAAGTGAGAGTTTCCAAGCAGGACCCTAAGGTATGACGTGGGAAATGAGAACACGTACCGTAATTAGGGTTTCTAAAAATAACTCAAAAGGAATTACCTTAAGAGTGAGGCCGATACAGGTCTCTTACCTCATTCTCTCCTGTGCACTATATTTCATATTGCTGACAGAGAGCTTTTAGAGGGTCGCTATTGTTGTAAAAGCTTCCTCAAGGAGGCAGAGGAGACAAATTTTAAAGGAATCTCCATCCCTAATTCGCTTTCAATAAGTGAGTTTCTTTGTTACTTTTCACCGGTCAGAACGTCAGAAAAGAACTTCCCGGCACTTATGTCATTTGTGCTTTTGCCCTTTTTTCCGGAGGAGTACGAAGACGATGTGCCTCGCTCGATACTTTTGGAAATTTTTATTCAGTTCTATCTCAGAAATTTGCATCCACATCATCACATCATGTCCCTCTATTTTGAGTTTGTTGTGTAAAGAAACAGAGAAACTGGATTCAGTATAATCCCAGCTTAGACTACGTAAAATTGGAAGAAGTTCATTGTGTTAAAACCCGGCTCTTTTTGTAAGGAAATGCTGGTTTCAGCTAATTTATTTCTTTGTTATTTCTGGCTACGAAGGTTGAGGTCTCGTTACTTTCCCAACTGGTTATGGATGCATACGAGTGCTGGAAAACTGGACAAAGATACGAGGCCCATGTCAAGGTACGAAGTTACCAGTTTCTTAGCAGACTGTTGTGATAAGTCAGTGGGCAAGTTGAACACCTAGTTGGTTTTTAGCTATAATTTGATAAAGATAGGTGAAACGCTGTAGCATATTTTCATAAGTCTGTAGTGCTAGCCCTTCGTTGGAACAAATGCCAATGCAGTCAGTATTTTTGACCTAGGTTAACCATTCTTGCGGCTCTTTTCTTCACAATTCTTGCGTACGTCGGCATCAAATCGTCTCAGTTGATTTGTATTGTTTGCTTTACCCAGGCGACAGAGGGTTTACTGACACAGGCCTTTGAGATGTTCACGGCTTCCCAGGTGAGTTTCTTCTGACTCCGCGTTACTCTGTCAACGTCTATGTTTCCAAGAGTGATCAGTATCCATATTCCTTTTACAATTTCAACATGTCATTGATATGATGATTAATGAGAATTAAGAAAATTATCAATAGTGTGAAACTTTTGGGTACATGCGTATTTTTCGGGATCCACCAACAGAGTACTTTATGGCCGGTCGTCAGGAAAGAGAATCAGCTTACAGTTCATAAAGTGAAAACGTCAACAAGTCATATCCATCCTTTGTAAATTATATCGACCTCTCCTCCCTTCCACTGCCTATGTCTCTCATAAGTCTCAGATGTTTGCTCTTGTCCGTGCAGACTGTTCGTAGTCTGTGTTTTTACAAAATCAGGGATTGCTATTCGAGCTTAGAAGATAATCTAGTTGCGATTGATCTAAGGAGAACATTTTCCCTATTATAATACTTAAGTTATTATCAGGGTAACTGCATTTTCTCGTAGTTTCGTCTTCAGAAACATCAAAACTTCGCGCGGTAGCCATTTTGAGAATTGGCGCTTCTCCTTCCGCGGGTTGAGTGTAACGAAATATGACATAATCCTAGACTAATAAGAGCATGCGCATCTCTTGACTTGAGAAATTTGGTAGCCATTTTGAGAATTAGTGCTTCTCCCTCCGCGGGTTGAGTGTAACGAAATATGACATAATCCTAGACTAATAAGAGCATGCGCATCTCTTGACTTGAGAAATTCAACTATCTCGTTAGATAGTCCGAAGTGTGTTGCACCTTTGCTACAATTTTTAGCCCGCGTGGCAGGTGCGGGCAAGAACGCAAGTAACACACGTGAAAGAGCGCACACACGCGTGGGACGAAGAAGTCGCGCGCGTGTGACTCCTTGCTTGCGCGTGCCGATCTAAATCACACACCCCTGGTTAATTTGAGTACCTCCCACGCAGGTTACTATTTTAAAATTGATGCACGAATTTTCTTGACCACAGTCGGCTTCAGGAGAGTCGCTTAAACTTGGTCAGGACACACCAGCAGACTCCCCAACGTCTCTGTTGGATCAGGCTTTGAAGTACTGTCAACAGCTCGTCAAGCCACAGGTAATCTTGCACGTCATGTCTTCCCTTAAACGGCGTGAAACTGATAAGTTGTAATGTCCAAGTTTCACTGACATTACCACGATTCTCCAGTTTTCCTCCCCTCACTCACAGTGCCACTCTCCACTCTTGAGTATACTGTAAACAGGTAACGGCAAGTTGCCATGGGAACCAAACAAGTTCCAGCAACAGGCCTAAAAAACAAACTGCTCACTTAACATAGCACCCTCTTAATTTGGAATATCTTTTTTACCAGACTTCCTCGGCCAATACGTCAGTTTCACATCAAACAAAAGGATCTTCGGGAACCGACACAGGTAACGATCAAACTTCGGGCTCCGACACCGATGTTGTATCAACTGCTTTAGAGCAGACCTTTTCACCTCCGATACCACATCAAAAAGAAAATAATACTTCAGTAACTTCCCCAGTAGGAGATCCTATTCAAGCCTCCGAAACTGTCGTGCCAGACTTGCAAGCAGATGTTGCTATCGAGGGGAAAACGACAGATAATACACTGACTCGTTCCGAAGATGTTCCGATGATAGCCGACCTGATACCATCGTCTGAAGCTCCGATCACGGAGGGCGTGCAACGAGACTCTGATAGCGTAACTCTTGAGAGTGAAAATGAAAAAAATAGAGATACAATTGAGAAAAATTCAAACTCTGCCACTGCGGATAGTATTTCACTACGGGAGATTAACGCTAGCGCATCAGACGACCCCCGGATTACTAGTTTGCCCGCGCAAGCTGGCACACCTGCAGCACCCGTTAATCCGGGAGGTGCTGATATCACCGAAGTTAGTGATGTTCCATCAAGCACTTAGCGACCGCACAGATGTATCGATCACATAAAAGTGTACACTGTGTTGTGCAAAAAGATATCATCGTGTTATGATAAGTACGTCCACATTGCTAGTAATGAAACTTATAACCTAAAAAGTATAAAGAAAACAGCGCCATTACCAAATGAGGTTTCTTGGCTAAAACCAGGCGCATACTGCTGAGCCATGTTGGGTGAAAGCTCCTGGTCACTAAAACACACAGAACCTCCTACTTCAGTGGAGACAATCTACTTTTATCCTTCAGATTCTAAACATAAAACAGTATACAACTTCAAGTAATTATATTGGCTTGTTCGATGCAAAAAAGTAATCCACGGTCGTTTCATTTCGCGATTGAACTTTGAGTACTTTTTCCTGTTTGCCTTCATTCAAAGTTTGAGGGTAAAGGGATAAAAATAAGTATATGTCCGTGGGGGAAATATAGATTTGGTCTTAGGCAAGCGACGGGTCTTCGAGATAGAGGGGTTAGAGATATCCAAGAAAATTCCCAAATTGTCCCTCGTAAGAATTCTAGGGAATACAATTTTTTTACAAGGTAAAGGAAAGGAAAAGAAAGGAAACTTTCAACATGAAGGAAATGTTGAGAAATCCGGGTTACACTGCATTAATCCCTTTATTTCTACACGGCAACTGAAATAAAGATGTATTTTTCTTTAATAGAAACATATGCCCGTTTAAAAATATGACATCTCTTGTGGCTAGGGTTTTTTAATATTACAAAAAAAAGAGAGACTCGAGAAATATGCCTCAACTGCACCATACCTATATAACAAAACTTAAATACTTTACGCCTTATAACATGAATAAAACCATTAAAAAAATTCTGCCTAGTTCTTATCCTTGAATTTCAATTGACAACCTAGCAAACCGTAACAAAGAAATTATTTTCTCCGCGTCATCATCATTTTCTTTTTCTATTTTTCATTTTAAAACGTCTTCTAAATTCTCAAGCCAGATATTCTGGTCTGTTACATTTTTATTAGAAAATACCGGAATTTATACAAACAGTACACCTACGAAGAAAATTCTCCTTTCACCGGCAAAAAATCAATTTTTTGGACAACGTGCTTTAAAATTACGATGTGTAAAAAGATACAACTTGTCGGACAAGTGCGTGTTAAAGTTGAAGTTAAAATTAAGTAGGATAAAAGTATGGTTATGTTTAAATCCTATCAAAACTACTTAGTCTAAATCCGTGCAGTGTCCACTCAAGGGGCTTTACTTAAACTCATGGCAAACGGACGAACAGATACATAAAAGATATTCTCTGCTTCTTTTCGACGTAGCAAAATGTGAGTTACATGCTTTAACGGTTTTTGGCCAGCTTCTCCAACAATCGACTAACCAGAGCCGTCCATCCTGTTTGATGGCTGTGAAGAACGCAATGTAACGTTTCAATCAACAGAACATGGACAGGAGTGGTATATAAAAAAGTCTTAAGTTGGGAAATATAAGGAGGAAACCAGTTTCTTGAGTCAATCTGTCTTCCAACAAAGAGATAACTCATAAATAAAGTTAACATGACGTTTGACGAGAGTCGACTGATACAGAGTTGGCGTGAATACTCCCGACCTTTGTGCCATAATTGTCGAGTTCTGTCCTACTTAGCGAGGAAAAAATCAAACGAGGGCACAAACCTGTACCACTTCAGTCTTCTAAGCTTTCTTGGAAGAATGATCTAGTTTGGCAGCTCCACGAACGAACGTGAAATTTATGAGCCAGGGTAGAACTAGCCTTCTCAGTCTGGGCATCTTAACACAGTACCCTTAATTTCACGACTTACCTAGCTCCGCATCCTCGTCCCGTCTCAGGATGAAAGTACTCGTAAAACAGCACCAAATTATTCCAAAACACATCATAGGTGTACCTGTCATCGTCACCATGACACGGCCGCCGTCCTTGTTCATTTGGCAAAAACAGAGACACAACACGTCGACAGAGCTCAAGGGCTACGTCACGTAAGCGCATCAGGTTTCCCGACCGGGTGGGGCATTCAATCATGAATTTGTCACCATAGAAATAGTCGTAGCGTTCCAGAGCCTCAATTAGAAGATAGTTCACTGGAAAACAAGGAAATTTGTACCAGGGAAGAAAATCAGAAGTGCACTCTCTTCTTCGGCTCAAAAAGTGGTCTACCACCTGACTGAGTGCTATTTGAGTTTTAATTTTTGCGTTCAATAAAACATTGATTCGCATAAATCGCGCTAACTTGGAGAGAGGTATGTTGCTCCGTCTTTTCAGGGACTAGAAGTCATGCCAAATTATGCAAAAGTTTACTGAAAGTGAGCGATCTACGAGATCCACCATGCGCGCTTGACGATTGGCACTCGGAGATTTAAGGCAATTTCTTAGAAAGAAAAGCTGTGACTAATTTTAGGCAGCAAGGCGCGAAAATGCGCCGAGCGGGATGCAAAGTGCATTGCTAAGGATCACCTTAAACCACCTATTAGTAACTTTCCTGTTGACAGGCCCATTTGACCAATCTCACTAGAGTGGTGTTGGGCATAAGTTTACTCAGTACTTACTACAAACCCAGATGGGTCCTCGCCAGTTGCTGTTCCCACCAAACATGAATGTGTCCGATTCTCCTGGCACATACTGCACGCTGTAAACTTCACCGCTTAGTTCTAATTTAAATGGGTTCTTCTCGTGAAACTTGGACAGGGAACGGATACCAAAAGGGGACAGGAATTCATCTTCGTCTAACATGTAGCTGAGTACACGGTGCAGCTGATCCTTGGTGGGTATAGCAAGTAAATGGTGATATTGGCTCTCGCCATCCCCATCCATGTACGACACCTACAAAAAGAAAAGTGCGACAAGGTTTTCAAGACCCTGAAGTTGCCGAGCACTGCAAAACATACAACGCGAAATTTCGCACCACTTTGGTTTTCTTTGTCCTCTTCCGACCGCGGATGAAAAAATGAGTCTCGCTCAAAAAGGGGCATCACGATAGGTTACTCGATTTTACCTTTCTTTTCATATAGTAAAAACAGAACAAGTGTGTGGACACCGATGTTTTCTTCTTCTTTCCTGGAGCACTGATTCACTACTCAGTGTCTAGCAGGTCACTAACCTGAGAAGCAAGGTCTGGTCGGTTCTTCATGAACCACTCGAGTCGTTTTCTAAATCCAGGAAGTTTTTCCATGTATTCGTCATCAAGCACAAGGCATGCCATCAAAGGAACGAGGCCGACCATGCTGCGCACGCGCAATGGTAAAGAACACGTCTCGGTAGTGAGATGATCGTAATAAAATCCATCGACTGGATCCCATAAACCAACACCGTCAGACATTTCATTTATAGCGTCTGAAATTTGCGTGAAGTGCTCGAAAAACTTAGATGCCATGTCTTCATAGGTGTCGTCTTTCATTGAGAGATCCAGAGCGATGTTCAACATTATAACACAGTAGAAAGCCATCCACGCGGTGCCGTCAGCCTAAGGTGAGAATAAGAAACAGAAAGTCACCAGAATCGTCCATGAAAGTTTAAAAGGACGCAACTGTAAATTAAATTGCCACTGTTTACGTCAACATTGTTTTTCCTAGGCGAAGCAAATATGAGAGACTTCAGAGCGTCATTTTACATCGACATTCTCGCTTACTAAGACAGGAGGAGACCTGAATGAAAGAAATGACAAAAAGAAAAACAACCGTACCTGCAAGAGATTTGCGTGAATAGGCAAATCCTTTGACCGATCAAATATTCCTTAAAAAGAAATTGCAAGACGTTAATATCCATTAATAACAAGGTGGAAAGAGCGAAGATTTTCCTAACTTCCAATGATGTGATAATAGCAGATGTGACATACATTTTCAATACTACCATTTACAGGAATGGAAAGTATTAACAAAGTGGATTGACAGTTAGCCGTGCTTGGAACGCATTCAAGAGTTCGCATTACTCAAGATTGCTCACCAATGTTATCAAGTCCAAGGAAACCACCACCAAATATGTTCTTTCCTGAGGGATCCTTTCTGTTCACCCACCTGTTAACAAGTAAGGAATAGAAAAATTCTCTGATCAGGAGAAGTGCTGCACTCTTCGTCTTACAACCGTGTAAACTTTAACTTATTAAACAAAGTTGACAAGTGCAGCAGCTCTCTTCGCACGGAATGAATTTTCTCTCTACATGCGATGATTTTTAAGAGTGCAACTAGTTAAATGTAACGTTCTCTTACCACGTGAAGTTTATGAGCAGTTTCTGGAAACATCGAGCTAAAAATTCGTCGTCCCTTGCTCCTTTACGGCCCGTCATCTTGTAGACCATGAGACATGCAAGTGCATGAACCGGGGGGTTCACATCCCCCAGGGCAAACTCATAGGCTGGGAGCTGACCGTTGGGGGCCATGTACCACTCCCGGAGGAACAAAAGTAACTGGTCTTTGGCAAACTGTGGATCGATTTTGCTGAACGCCAGCATGTGGAATGCTAGGTCCCATGTGGCATACTTAAAAAAAAGAGTTGTTCGAAGAAACGGTTAGTCACTAATAACAGTCACATTTAAAGATCTGGAAACTAGTGGCTTGGTTTGATTAAGGGAACGTGTTTCGCATAGTCTTAGTTTGATGAAGTCGGTTTTTTTTTTTACGAGTCACTGTAAGAGACTGACTCAGGGCCCATAACCTATGTCCTGTAAGCGAATCAAAACGCAACGTACGCAATATAAAACCATGTTAAGAAGACGATAAAAGCATGGAAACCGATTTCTTAACAACCACATCCAGATTTTTGGAAGGAGCACACCCTCATTCATCGACACTTCCTGAGATCAGAGCAGTGTTTCAAACGTAGGGAAAAAATTGAGTCGGGAAACGGTGAAGCCGAAATTGTCGCACCGATTTTCACCCAATTCTAACGTAACTTTGTCCCTTCCCTTCCTGTCTTGAATCAACCTGGCCCGATCAGTTATCTTCTGGTCTCCAACGATGGTGTCATGATCTCATAGTGCCACCTTAAATTGGAAAAAAAAACGTTGATAATTGTTCGACTCACCCATGGATACTCCCACTTGTCTGGCATGGAAACAACATCTCTGTTGAATAGCTGGGCCCATTCTGCCTCTGAGTTCCTTCCTCTGAGTCTGTCCCTCGGTGGAGCCGGCGTCTCCGGGTCTCCTTTTAACCAGTCTTGAATTATGTAATGGTAAAACTGTTTGCTCCACAGCAGACCAGCGTACGACTGTCGAGAAACTTGGGTTTCCTCGTCAGTTAAGCCATCTAATGAATGACAATTTGTCAGAGGGTAAGGATGAAAAGCCTGCATGTGTGTACCACGATGGAGGTGGGTTTTGTTTGCTAAACTGAGTAGGACTTTCCTAAGCTTACTGTGCAATAAGATTACAACCAACTAACTAATTATAGCAAATTATTTCATAATCGTCAATCGAGGATTTCCGAAAAAATGGTCTAAAAAAGAACCACCTAGAATATCAAAGTTGCTCAAGGTTCCGATCAGAATTTCAGCATCATGACTTGTACCTACTT